TGGCTCAGTACTTTTCTTGAGGCGTCTGTGTGAACAAGAAAACGTTTAGTTGGATCAGGAGCAGCCAGTACAGGGGCATTGGTCAGAGCCGTCTTCAGCTGGTTGAATGCCTGTTCACACTCTGGGGCCCAGACGACCTGCCGGGGCAGGTTTTTCTTCGTCAAATCAGTCAGGGGTTTGGCCAGGGCACTGTAGTTGGGTACAAATTTTCTGTAATACCCTGCGGTACCTAGGAAAGCCAGGACTTGGGTTTTGGTCCTAGGGGTAGGCCACTGGGCTACAGCTTCAATCTTTGCGGGCTCAGGCTTCTGCTGCCCGCTACCAACCCGGTGTCCTAAGTACTGGACCTCTGCCATCCCTATGTGGCATTTGCTGGGTTTCAAGGTAAGCCCTGCCTCTCGGATCCGATCTATTACTGCCCCTATGTGTTGTAGGTGTTCTGACCAGGTCTGACTGTAGATGGCAATATCGTCCAGATATGCACACGCATAGTCCTGGAACCCGTCCAGTAGCCGATCCACCATCCGCTGGAATGTCGCGGGGGCGTTCTTCATCCCGAATGGCATGACTCGAAATTGGTACAAGCCAAACGGGGTGACAAACGCCGACTTAGGAATGGCGTCCTCGGCTAGTGGAATTTGCCAGTATCCCTTACACAAATCTATGGTAGTGAGATATTGACCCCTGGCCATCCTATCAAGCAGTTCGTCTATCCGAGGCATCGGGTAGGCGTCCGACACAGTTTTGTCGTTCAACCTCCGGTAGTCTACACAGAACCGGGTGGTACCATCTTTCTTGGGAACCAGGACTACCGGCGATGCCCAGGGGCTGAGTGTTCAATAACCCCCAACTGCAACATCTCTTCAATTTCCTTCCTCATATGTTCCCGCACGGATTCAGGAATCCGATAGGGAGTCTGTCGCATGGGAAGCTGTCCCGGGGTTTCTACTCGGTGGGTGGCTAGTGGAGTGTACCCAGGTAGGTTAGAAAAGGTAGCGCCCTTTGCTGCTATCAGTTCTTGTACCTGGATACGCTCTTGAGGACTTAGCCGCTCCCCCAGTTGAACCCCCTGGGAGGGTTCCTTCTGCTCCTCCTGCTCTAACAGATCTGGAAGGGGCAGGTTCTCCTGATCTTCGGAGGCGGGCGTGCAAATAGCTGCCACGTCCTCCGTCCGCTCGTGGTAGGGTTTGAGCATGTTCACATGGAGCATGCGTCTCTTCCCTACTCCGGAGCATGGGCCGATCACATAGGTGGTATCGCATCTCTGCTCTACCACCTGGTATGGGCCCTGCCAGACGGCCTGTAGTTTATCGGTGCGGACAGGTTTAAGGATTAGCACCTTCTGCCCCACTTGAAAACTACGGTCTCTGGCCCCTCTGTCATACCAACGACGCTGTCGTTGTTGGGCGGCCTGGAGGTTGGTGCGCACCGCCTGGGTCAATTCCTCCAGGCGATCCCGGAACGCCAGCACGTATGGTACAATAGGGGTCCCATCTGCACTACTCTCTCCCTCCCAATGCTCTCTAATGAGATCCAACGGCCCCCGGACCCTTCTCCCAAACAATAGTTCAAAGGGGGAGAAACCCGTAGACTCTTGGGGCACCTCTCTGTATGCAAACAACAGATGGGGAAGGAATCGTTCCCAGTCCTTATGGGTCTCTCCGAATGTCCGAAGCATCTGTTTTAGGGTACCGTTGAATCTCTCACATAATCCATTGGATTGCGGGTGGTACGCGGAGTTAATGATCGGCTTTATGCCACATATCCTCCATAACTGCTGAGTAACCTCAGCCGTGAATTGGGTCCCCCTATCTGAGACCATTTCCTGTGGGAACCCTACTCGGGAGAATATTTTCATCAAGGCTTCGGCTACGGTCTCCGCGTGGATATTAGTTAGGGCAATCGCCTCGGGGTACCGGGTGGCGTAATCCACCACGGTCAGGATATACCGTTTCCCAGAGGGGCTGGGTTTTGGTAGTGGCCCTACTATATCTACGGCTACCCGGCTGAACGGTTCCTCAATTATGGGTAGGGGACATAGTTTTGCCTTATGGCGATCCCCCCTTTTGCCTACCCTCTGGCACACATCACAGGAGGTACAATATTGCCTCACGTCTTTGGAAATCCCGGGCCAAAAGAAAGCGTGCGTTAAGCGATACCGGGTCCGGGTCATCCCTAAATGGCCGGACAGGGGAATATCATGAGCTATTCTCAGTAACTCCTGCCTATACTTCTGGGGCACTACTAGCTGCTTGGTTTGGAGCGTCACAGAGTTGCCTATTGCCCGTTCCGCCACCCGGTACAGTAACTTCTTTTCCCATATGTACCGTTCTCCCTCCCGCCCCACCTGGTCCGTGTCTACCCTATCTCGGTACACCTGCAGTGTGGGGTCTGTCTGAACCTCAGCTTCAAATGTGGTCGGGGTGTCCCAAGTCATGTCGGTCAAGGGGGGGTCATGGTGTCTTACCTGAGCCTCAGAGTGTGCGGGGAATGCCGTGGTGCGAGCCTGTTGCCGGGTGGTTACCGGATGCGCCTCTTGGGAAGGAGCCTGAGGAAGAAAAGCAGAAGTCATCGGGCCCAAGTCATTCCCCAAAACAACATCGGCCGGTAGTTTCTTCATTATGGCCACCTCTACAACCCCCTCCCCAGCACCCCAGTTCAAATGCACTTTGGCCGTGGGTAACCGGTACATGGCTCCCCCTGCTACCCGGACTGCCACTGATCCGCCAGTGTGGGCCGTATCTGGAATTAAATGGGGGGCCACTAAGGTCAAGGTGGCTCCCGAGTCCCGCAGCCCCTGCACTTCTTTCCCTCCCACAAATACAACTTGGCGGTGATGCTGCCGGTTGTCCGTGGCTTGCACAGACATCACCTCGTACAGAACCCCCAATGGTTCTTCGGTTGATAGACTTGTCAGCTCCGAGTGGTCAGGTTCGGTGTGGTAGAAATGGGCCGCTGCCCTTGGAGCGGAGTTTTGCCGTACCTGGTTCCACGCCTGCCTGCTCCGATTCTGGGTGCACTCCCGGGACATATGCCCCCACTGCCGGCAGGTATGGCATTGTATGTTGGCCCTGCCATTGTAGCGTGATGGCGGTGGGGGGTTTCCTGGTGGTGGCCGGAATGGAGTAGCGTTGGCGGGTGTGGAGATGGTTGGGTGGTGTGGTACAGCTGGTCTCAGGGGAGCCCTGTTGGGAAGCCCATGATGCCTTCGGGCGTCAAAATGCTGATCCGCCAACCGGGCGGCTTCGGTTAGGGTGAGGGGTTTCCTGTCCCTTACCCATTCTTGTGCCTCAGGTGACAGTCCGTTAAAAAATTGCTTCAGCAAGATGAGTTGGCGCAGTTCCTCCATTGTGGTAGCTTGGCTCGCCTGAATCCATCCTTGCGACGCTTGGTCGAGCTTATGTGCCCACTCAGCGTGGGAATCTTTCTCGGGCTTCCTCAATGCCCGAAATTTACGCCGGTACGCCTCCGGGGTTATGGCATACCTCTCCAGAATTGCCCTCTTAACTTTAAAATAGTCCTTGCTATCTTCTCTGGGCACAGCGCGATACGCCTCGGCTGCTCGTCCTGCCAACTTGCCTGCCAGTAGGGGTACCCACATAGCCTGTTCTAGATCGTGTAGGTCGCACAACCGCTCAAAATCCTGCAGGTATCCGTCAATCTCGTCTTTCTCCTCGCAGAATGCTTTAAATGCCTGGTAAGGTATTTTCTGCTTCACTGGAGCGCAGAATGAATTGGCGATGGATTCTGCCCTGGATGGTGACCTCTGGTGTTGCTGTGCCATAATATAATCCTGGACGTCCGCCATCAGTACGGTTAAGATGTCCAGGGTTACTGGCTGTGGTACAAATTCCAGCCGGGTTCTCAGTTCCCTCTGGTATGGTGTTTCCTCTCTGGCAGGTGGGGGTGGACTGCTGTGCGCTTGGTCGCCCTCCATTAGCTCTGCAATCAGTACTGCTTTCGATTTATTGCTAGCGCTTTTTCCCTCTAGCCTCCAGCAGCTCCTTTAGCGTCTGTCTCTTTAACGCCGTGTAATCAGTCCCCATTCACTGATCGCTTTCGTCTGCTTGTTTCATACGAATTGCCTTTCCGTTCGGTTGTTCTTTCTATTCGAATGCGCTGTATTCGGCTGTAGAGTTGGATCCCGTCGCTTGCCACCAATTGTAGCGGAACGCCAATATAAAATCCATGAATTCCGCTGGTCCAGAAACGAATCCACAGTCAAGCGCTGAAAACACCAAGGCAATATCCCCAACCTCCCAATAACCGGACGAGACACAGTTTTGGGAGTCAACTGACAATCCTTTAATCGGCACGACAATTTATACAAGTCCCCATGCAAGGGGTTTCCTGAGTCCCTTCCCAGGGGCACTCCCAGAGGGGACTACATGGGGGACTTACAGTATAACATATTTCTCCCATCAGGCACCGCTGCACGAGAGGGATCATCCTCCCAGAATGCACCGTTAAGGGGATTATCCCCTCGTGCAGCAGAACCAGCAATTCATACAAAAATACATAACTTTTAAAATACACGGTGGATTTACACGAATGGACGTTCGGTGGATAGCTGGGGTCTGGGTGCATCATTCGTGAGATTGCCGCTCAGATCCCAGCTAAAATAACCGAACGCCGCACAGAAAACACATTTCTTTCAAAACACACGAAAAGAACCGATTGCTTTTAGTGAACCTGGTCCTGAAACTCCCGAACGTCCTGGAGGCTCAGCGGTGTTCGTGCCGTCGAATAACTATTGGTAATGCTATGCGTTCGACGACACGGCCCCGCTGAAGAACAAGGGATCCAAGATGGCCGACCGCCGCATGGTGTTGCAATCGGTTAACTAGCGCCACACGCCTCTAAGTGTGTGGGCTATTAGGGGGTATCGCGTTCGGTTCACGAACGGCTTTCTAAAGTGCCGTTCGTGAAACGAAAGAGAATCCCCATACAAAACCGCCATTTGCATTCGGCGGAAACAGCATTACAGGCAATACGGAAAATACATTAACATCTACATAAGTGTAAAGCGCATATCTCGCCCGACCTATTGGCAACCCTTAAAGGCACAGTCTCTAGTTATTGTCCAAGTGGCTAGGTTTGCCACAGTGTGTTTTTAGGATTTTTAAAAAAAAATTTGTAGGATTGCAGAGACAGGGAGAGTCGGGTGTCCCAAAAGGAGGGCATAATCTGCAGGTGAGAGTCCATGGCGTGGAAGCAGTACAATAACAGGTTATCAGCAGTGGGAAGAGAATGGGTCTGGAGAACATCTGAAGGAGGAGATATAAGCAGAGGCATGGTTATGGAGAGATTTGGAAGTAAGCACAAGAAGTTTGTATCGAATCCTAAATGAAATAGGAAGCCAGTGTAGAAACAGAAAAAGGGGTAAGTGTGAGCGTTGCTGGATATAAGGTAGGGGTGTCTGGCAGAGATGTTTATTATGGACTGTAGAGGGACAATCTGGGCACGGGCAACCTGAACGAGAAATGAGTAAACATGGGAAGTGTTTCTTGTAAGGTGCAAGGGACAATATTTAGTGATGGATTTTATGTGAGGTGTGAAGGAAAGGTCGGCGTCAAAGAGCAAACCAAGACAATGTGTCCGTGGGGTAAAGGTTATGACAGCTTAGCTGATCTTAAAAAGGACACTCCACTACAGAGAGGGGAGAATAAAGCAAAAAAAAAAAAAACACACAACAAATGTTTAGTAGATATCCCACTCTAGTGAAAACATGCATGCAATTAATTTATTTTTTTCCTTTGGGTGCGTTTGTCTATGTTAGGGGAAACGTCCTCAAACATAGACAAACGCACAAGAGCAGGGAATCCCTCTAATCAATGTTCAGAGAAATTTGATGGAGTCCCTGCTCTGGTGCGCTTTTCTATGTTCGGGGAAACTTCCCTGAACATAGATTAGAGGGATTTCCTGCTCTCGTCCGTCTGTCTATGTTCAGGATAGACATGCGCACCAGAGCAGGGAATCCCTACGACGGCTCCCACTTACGTCATAAGTGCGAGCTGTCGTAAAACAGGTAGGTTGCTAAATGAAGACCACCTGTACACACAATGCTCGCTGGGAACCTCTCACATTGCTGCTCTGCTCCCTGAGAGTAGGAGGAGTTACTTTTCACCTTTACTGATCAGGAAATATTTGTGATCATCATTTATATAGAGCCATCATACTGTATAGTTTATAAGAGAATGGAACAGAGACAAGCTACACATTGTACAGCGCTACTGAATTTGCGGGCGCTTTATAAATAATAAAACACATGGGGGCTTCCTAGGAAACTACATTAATAGATTTTCTATATTGTATTTATATTATCACCGTACTCTTGATGGCCTTGCTGTCAGTTGACAGTATGTTTTAAATACTCCTCTTGTTTAACACCTTAAGGACAGCGGGCGTACTAGGACATCCTTGGGGACCCAGTCCTAAACGCCGGCGGACGGCATAGTACATCCCCGCCGTCCTATGCACTTACCTGCTCGCCGGCGATCCCACGCAAGCGATCGCAATGGGGGACTTGCCCGGCATCCCAGGGAGTCCCCCTGCTGCTCATCCGTCCCTCCCAGGCCATGTGATCGCGATGAGGACGCGATCACATGGACGGAATAGCCGTCCACAGCAGTGCCTGCAGGGGCCTGTCTGAAATGACAGGCAGTCCCCCTGCTGCCTGTAGAAAAGTTAAAGTTTAAAAACAGTGTAAAATTAAATTAAATTATATATACACATATATATATATATATATATGATCTAAGTATATAAATATACAAACATGCATACACATACAGTAAGTCTCTAAGTGTATTTTAATATTATTATATATTAATATTAAAAAACACTTAGAATAATATTAATTTTACATATATATATATATATATATATATATAAATTCAAGAAGAGTTGAGTGCACTCTGCTTGAATATATATCTAACGGCTGAGGTAGCACCAAGGCGAGTACAAGACCGGAACATTGAATTGTGGGGCACTGGAGTTTATATATATATATATATATATATATATATATATATATATATATAATGAATAGTTAAAAATAAATAAATAAATAGAAATTGTATATACGTGTGTATTTTCGTTCTAAAATCTATTTTGATAATATATATATATATATATATATATATATATATATACACATACATATATATACACATACATATACACACACACACACACATTGACGTTGTGGCAGGCTTATGCAATGTATGATCATATAATGTAACTAAATCCCCATTATTTTTGCCTAGATTAGGTGTTTTTAAAAAAACAAAATCTTTCAGTAATGAAGTTGCTGTTTAGTGGATAGGTGAGTGCGCTGGATCTTGTGTAATATATATATATATATATATATATATATATATATATATATATATATATATATATATATATAAAAGAATATCTAAATACACATAGAACAAAATTATATATCTATATTAATAAATAAAAATAAAATTACATATATACACACACACAGACACATTTAAATTCTTTGTCTATATTTGTGTAATATTTTTACATAATTAGTTTTATTAATTATAGTGTGAGGGACCTGCCTGACAAACCAGACAGAAAGTCCACAGAATTTGGTTGACAGGCCCTATATTTAACCTTGTAACTTTCCAAGGCACCATAAAACCTGAACATGGGGGGTACTGTTTTACTCGGGAGACTATGCTGAACACAAATATTAGTGTTTCAAAACAGTGAAATGTATCACAACGATGATATCGTCTGTGAAAGTGCTATTTTTTTGCATTTTACACACACAAACGGCACTTACACTGACAATATTGTTGTGATATATTTTACGGTTTTGAATTACTAATATTTCTGTTCAGGGAAGTCTCCAGAGTATAACAGTGCCCCCAATGTACAGATTTTATTGTGTTTTCAAAATTTAGAGAGTCAAATATAAGGCTTGCATTTAATTTTTACATTGAAATTTACCAGATTGGTTATGTTGCATTTGAGACTGTATGGTTGCCCAGGAATGAGAATTACTCCCATGATGGCATACCATTTACAAAAGTACGCAACCCAAGGTATTGAAATGGGATATGTACAGTCTTTTGTAGTAGTCACAAACAGTGGCCAAAATTAGCGTTAAAATTTGTTTTTTGCAATTTTCACACACAAACAAATATGAACGCCAATTTTGGCCAGTGTTTGTGACTAAGTGGCTACTAAAAAACAAAAACATACCCCATTTGTAATACCTTGGGTTGTCTACTTTGGTACTAATTTGGTATGAAAAGCAACAAAATGTCGGCAAATTTCATGTATAAACTGAAAAACGTAACGTGCTATATTTGACCCTGTAACTTTCCAAAACACCATAAAACCTGTACATTGGGGGGTACTGTGAGTAAATGCTGAATACAAATATGTGTACTTTATTGCAGCAACAGCATTATGCTATTCAAAGTTAAAATAAATGCCATGCAGAACTAAAAAAATAAATCTTAAAGGGAAACTCCAGTGCCAGGAAAACAATCCATTTTCCTGGCACTGCAGGTCCCCTCTCCCTCCTACCTCCGGTAGCTGAAGGGGTGAAATCCCCTTCAGGTCACTTACCTGAGACCCCACCGATGTCCTTCGGCGGTGGTTTCTTCTCGCTGCCGCTCCTCCCAGTCATCATGTCGGCCAGTGGGCGAGACTGATCCTGCCCACTGGCTGGGGAGACCTAATGTGCATGCGCGACAATACCGTGCATGCGCATTAGAACTCCCCACACAGCGTGAGGACCTCCAGCGACGCTCTAGCACAGGTTTCCTGTGCTACAGAGCAAGAAGTGTCCTCTAGTGGCTGTCTAGTAGACAGCCACTAGAGGAGGAGTTAACCCTGCAAGGTAAATATTTGTTGCAGGGTTAAGGGTAGTGGGAGTTGGCACCCAGACCATTTCAATGGGCAGAAGTGGTCTGGGTGCCTGGAGTGTCCCTTTAATTTCTCATTTTTTAAAATTTCCATATTACATCATTGATGTGACATTAAAGCCCTGTTTCTCCTGAACAAAATGATATATAATAAGTGTGGGTGCACTTAATGTGACAGCGGTGAATTACAGTTGGACAGACACATAGCGCACATTCCAGGTTTTGATCACAACAATGGTCTCAGTCCCTCATCTAATTTACTAATAATGTACCATTATACCAGGAATGGTGGGATCAGTGTTATGGAGGGCTGTGGGTGTCTGTCTGGCGATGCCTGTGATTGCTATTGCTGTATAGCGAGTGTCACTGTAACCTGTCACACAGCGAGCAGCAGGGAGAGAGAGATTGTAACCGTGTCAGTCCGCTATATAAACAGTAATAACATTGTATCGTGTGATATCATCTTTTTAGTCCAATGTAAATAAATAGTGTATTAGAAGGCCCGCATTATTCCCGTGTTCCAGGCAGGCTCCAGGCAGTAAGCAGGTTACAGCACACCCTGCTCCCATGGCAAGCTCCAGGAATATCTGGCTGTGGCAGCGGAGGACTCTGTATCCCATGATGCCGTGCGAAGGCCACCCACCCCCCTCTCTCCAGCCTCGTTTTCCGGTGGGCGGTACGAGACGCTCCCCCCTCCTCCCAAGCTCGGCCAATCAGGCGGCCGCTGCACCGGTGACGTCACGGCGCAGTCGAAGAGGGAAGAGGAAGCAGATCGTGGAGGGGGAAAAAAAAGAAGGCGGCGGAGCGCGGGGTCACGACCTCTGACCTCTCAACTCCAACCAACCAAAACTAACCGCGACCGGCGGGACCCGAGGAGCGCAGCGATAACCGGAGAGGAGCCGGGGCCGCCGGGAGTGTAGGGGATGCGGCTGTGAGAAGGACCTCCTCCGGGGTGAGGTACGACAGGGGTTCCCGGGGCCAGGCCGCTCTCTGACTCTCCAGGCCCGGCGCTGACCGCACTGGAAAGTGAGCTGCCAGCGTCGGGGCCTGCACTTTATAAGCAGCGGGAGAATGACAGCACAGGCAGCCAATGAGGGCCCAGTATGCTCAGCCAATCAGCGGAGCGGGGTCCGCGCAGGCAGGGAATGACAGCCAATCACAGGCCAGGGGTGTCCGCGCGGGCAGATCGCGGTGGCCAATCAGAACTCGTAGAATGGCGGTCCGGGTTGCCGCACAGCGCCTGTCAGACCCAGGGTGACCTCAGGGAGGTTCCAACCCGGGCTCTGCCAGTCACAGCCTGGAATACCTCCACCTGGCATAGCGCCAATGTGCCTTCCCGTCGGCGCTTTGCCTTTATTTATGTAATGTGTAAGGGGCGGGACACGGGAACCAATCAGGCAGCAGGTAACGGAGTTTGGGCGGCTCTATAGAATAACTGACAGGGCAGTGAGCCAATTGGAGAGCGAGGGAGGGATATGTTGTTGGTATATTGTTTTGTTTGCATAGCGCCATCTAGAGGCTACTGGCAATACTACACCTCAAGTCCATCTAGTGGTGGCATGTGATATTGCAGCTCCGATTTGATAAGCATCACAAATTCAATATGCGGCTAGTGGATATTATTAGTTTTAATACAAAAACTTGATATTACAATTGTTTCACTCAGTAACCATTGATATATGTTATATACTCTTGCAAACATGTGACTTCACAGAATCTGTGATATTATAGCACATCAGTCTTCCAAAGTCAGCCAATTAGTTAGCAAGGTCTGGTGGCCAATTTGAGAAACTTGTTTTCTGTAATGGCTGGTGGTGTGTGCACCTGATTAACCTCTTCATGAAGGGCAGAGTAGACATGTGCACAAACCATTTTCACCTGCAACAAGCAAGTCAAATGTGTGTTAATCCAAGACTGAAACAATAGTTCCATCACGAAAATCCTAGACAGATTAATGTGTTTGGACATAGAATAAAATAATTTTTTTTTTTTTTTTTTGTAAATATAAGTTTATTTGTGTAGATTTGCTGTAGCATATACAATCAAACATGCAATAGTGGATCGGGAGACACGCAGGTCTCACTTACAGTGACAATTAGTTAAGTATTTAACATTTACCCAGTATTCCTAGATACTTATAGGCTTTATTAATCTCATGTGTCTATAGGTTCCCTATCTCCTTCGTTCCCTTTCCCTTCCTCTCTCCTTTCCTTCCCCCCCTTCCCCTCCATCCTGTAGTTCCCCTCTTCTCATCCTTCTTCTCCTGTACCCTTTCCTTCTCTGTCTCTCTCCCTTCTCTACCTCCCCTCCCCATCTCCTCCTCCACCTTTTCCCTGTTCCCCTTCGTTTTTGCGTTCTCTGGAGTCATGGGGCGCTCTTTTAACTATAGAGGTTAGGTTTATTTCCTTCCGCTATGGGGATCCCTATCTCATGGTCCGTTTCGTTCTATCCGGGCATTGGCACATTCTCTGGACATTGGTAGCCCCCTATTTTCTGGACTTCTATCTGTGTCGGATTTCGGCCGGATGTCCGGTGTGGGCGGTTATACTAGTGTCCTATGTACCTTTACCTCTTGCATTTTATTCTTGAGCGTTGTGTGTTATACTGTGGTTCGTTTGTGCATCTTTATTGTTCTGTACATTGTGTTGGGCTTGTCTTACGGTCCTGGGTCTCCCTTCCCTTGGTCACTACTTCAGCTAATGCATGTTTGTCTTTACCTCCGTTTGAGGTTGCTTTCTGAGATGGCCGACCACCAGGCAGTATATACCGCTTTCGTGGGTGACCATGTCTTAGAGTGCTCGTGGTTGTCTCCGTGCGTTCCAGTCAGCACTAGAACTGTAACTAGGTGTGTTTGTTTAATGGTTCATTCTGAGTTTGCTTTTGTGTGCCCAGTGTGTATTGGCATGTAGCTGTTCCTTTAGCTGTATTTTTACTATGGTGTGGTGTGGCACCCACCAGGTTGTTATGTTTCCGTGATCCTTGTGTTATGTTATAGGTTAGGATAGTTAGAGAAGAAAAGAAGAAGAAAAAAGAGGAGGAGAGAACAAAAAAAAAAAAAAAAATGTGGGGAGGGGAAGGTGTGGAGAGCGTCCACCTGTTTGACGCATGGGGTAACCTTCTATGTTACATATGCCAGCCAAGGTCTCCATGTCTCCGTATGTCGTTCTTCTCTCCCCAGTATCTCTGCTATTTTGGCTTCCGCCATTCGTATGTCTTCCACCTTACTTTTCCACTGTTCTGTCGTGGGTGGTTCTTGTTTCTTCCAGTGTAGCGGTATCAGCGATTTAGCAGCGTTCAGCAGGTGTCTCAGAATTGACTTCTTGTAAGAGCCAAGTGGTTGTTCCGTGTGGTGTATAAGGGCGGCTGCCATAGTCAGGGTTGGAGGGTCGTCTAAAATGTTCCGAACTTCGCGTTCGATTTTCCTCCAGTATGGCTCAATGACTGTGCAGTCCCACCAGATGTGTCGCAGCGTTCCGGGGCCCGCATTGCATCTCCTGCAGGTGTTCGGTATAGACGGGATGTATCGACTGAGGACAGAGGGTGTGCGGTACCAATGTGTCAGTAGTTTGAAGTTTACCTCCTGGTAGTGAGAGCTGGAGGAGCTCTTGTGTTGTAGTATCAGGATTTTGACCCATTGGTCATCTGAAAACGTATTGTCCGTCCATTCCTCCCATTGTCGTTTGTACAGGTTGTTGTTTGTTCTATTACCTGTGATTAAGGTTCGGTATATCGCCGAAACCCTCCCGTCCGCTTCCGGTGCTTGTGAGCATAGTGTTTCATACCATGTGAGGTCCCTGTGTATTTTAGTTCTGTGCGGCAGGTTATGGTAGTAGTGTAGCAGCTGCGCGTAATGGAACCGGTGCAGGATCGTGAGCGAGTTTCCGTCTGCCAGCTCCCTAAGTGGTTTCACTCCCGTATTGTTGAGAACCGTATGTATGGGTATGTACCCGTCTGGAGTATCGATTGGCCACGCAGATGCCGCGAGTCCATCCCCCAGTTGTGGATTATGAGTTATGGGGATTAACGGGCTTGGCTTGGGTGAAATCTGTTGTTCGTTCCTCATTGTGGACCATTGTTTTAACATTTGTGTAACCGGGGAATCCTCTCCCAAGGTTGAATGCGCTTCCGTTTCTTTGTGCCATATCAGCGAGTGTAGTCGGTTGTCGGTGGTGTCTTTCCAAAGTGTCACCCACCGTTTTTGTGTTGAGGCCATGTGTATTTCTCTTATCCTTTGCATGACTGTTGCCTGGTGGTAACGTTTGATATCCGGAAGTGCTAGTCCTCCCCAACCTCTCGGGAGGCTGAGTTTGTCGAAGCTAATTCGCGCCCTGTCTCCCTTCCATATGTATTGAATGAATGCTGTTTTCAATCTTGCGAAGAAAGTGCGTGGAATTGTGTGTGGCGCTGTATGAAATAAGTATAAAATTCTGGGGAGGATATTCATCTTGATCACTGCTATCCTCCCCAGCCAGGAAATGTGGGTATGGTTCCACCGCTCGAGGTCTCTGAGTATGGTAGTCAGAAGGGGTGTGTGGTTGTGTGCATAGATGTCTTTCGATTCCTGTGTGATCCATAACCCCAGATATTTCATCCGTCCTTGGCACCATTGGAATGGGTAGTTGCTTTTCAGTTGTGCGCTTTCCCTTTCAGATACAGTAACGTTTAAAATTTCACATTTCGTCAGGTTGAGTTTTAATCCCGAGAGGCGTCCGTAGTTTTCGAATTCAGTCAGGAGCGGAGATATGGAGTCTGTTGGGTTCCTGAGGAAAAAGAGCATGTCATCTGCATATGCAGCTACTTTATGTTCGTGGGTTTTATAGCATAGTCCCCTTATTCTCTCATTTTTTCGGATACGGTCTAAGAGTGGTTCCAATGTTAGTGCGAATATGATCGGAGAGAGCGGACATCCCTGCCTCGTGCCGTTCTGAATGTCGAAGCTATTCGTAAGGGCCCCGTTGACCCGTATTCTGGCGGACGGGCAGCTGTACAGTGCTGAAATCCAGGTGAGTATCTCCTGTCCCATGCCCAACGTGCGTAGTGTCTCCATCATGAAGTTCCAGTTGACCCTGTCGAAGGCTTTCTCCGCGTCCGTTGATAATAGGATCAGTTTTGTCTTCGTTTGTTTGGCTAGGTGTTGGATCGCGAACAGCCTAAGAGTACAGTCTCTGGCTTCCCTTCCCGGGATGAAACCGGTCTGGTCTGGGTGTATCAGTCTTGTAAGAAATGTTTGAAGCCTCATCGCTATCACCTTGGAAAATAATTTTATGTCTGCGTTGAGGAGCGATATAGGGCGATAGTTTCCCACCTGCTCTGTATTTTTACCGGGCTTAGGGATAACCGTAATGGTTGCTGTCAGCGATTCCCTACTAAAGGTGTGTCCTTCTCGTATGCTGTTGATCGCCTTCGTTAAATGGGGCACAAGAATGTTTCCGAATTTTTTGAGGTATTCTATTGGGAAGCCGTCTGGTCCCGGTGCTTTTCCGGTTTTTGCCATTTTCAGTGCTCTCTTGATCTCCTCTTCTGAGATCGGTGCGTCTAGTGCTTCTGCTTCCTCTTGTGTTAGGGCGTCCGGTCTGTAGGCTCCCAGGTAGTCCGTCGTGGCCAGCTTCCTCGTATCGCGGGTCAGTTCGTCCTCGTCTTTTCGAATACTGTATAGTTGTTCGTAGTACCGTTGGAATTCGGTCGCTATCTCTTCCGGAAATTGGGTTATTGTTCCTCGTGTGGTGCGTAGGGCATGTACCTGCGCTCTACCCTGTACTCCTCTCAGCATGCGTGCTAGTAGCTTACCCCCCTTGTTGGCGTGTCTATAGAAAAATGAGTGGTTTCGTTGGAGGTGCCTGGCATGTCTCTGCTCAAGCAGTTGAGAGAGTAGTCTTCTGTTTGTTGTGAGATCCCTGTAGGTCTGGTCTTGTAGGGTGCGTTTGTGGGCCATTTCCAGATCTGATATCTTCTTCGTCAGTTCCACAATTCGTTTTCCCATTTCTTTTTTCTTTCGGGAGGCCATGCGGATTAGGTGGCCTCTGATGACGCTTTTGTGTGCTTCCCAAATCGTCATGTCCGAAACCTCCCCATTGTTGTTTTCCGTAAAGTATTGGTTCAAATGATCAGTGAGTTGGGTTCTGAGTGCCAGGTCCATCAAGAGGGAGTCGTTCAGTCTCCAAGAGGTTCTTGCCGGCCTATATAGGGGAGATGACATGGTCACCTGCGTCGCGCTGTGATCCGACCATGGCGTGGCAAGGATGTCCGCTCTCTGTAGGTGTGTGAGACCCTCCTGTTGTATGAATATGTAATCGATTCTTGAGTACCTGTTGTGGAGCGTGGAATAGTACGTGTAGTCCCGGTCGTCTGGATGTCTTGCTCTCCATGTGTCCACCAATCGTAGATCCCGTAACGCTTTTTGTATAGTTGTGCGCGCCGAGTAGGGCATGCTGCTTCGCCCTGTTGACGTGTCAGTGAGGGGATCTAGGGGCGTGTTGAGATCACCGCCAAAGATGAGTATCCCTTCCGTGAACCTTGACAGCTTCAACAGTGTGCGCCTCAGGAAGCTCGCTTGTCCAGCGTTGGGTGTATATATCGTGGCGATCGTGTATGTTTTGTTCGCTATCTCCCCCTTGATGAAGAGATATCTTCCCCCTTCATCTATCTTTTGGTCCGTGAGGGTGAATTGCAGGTGTGCGGCCAGGAGGATCGCGGTTCCCCCTTTGCGAGAGGTCTGGTGATTGCTATAGTAGTTTACAGGGTAGTGTTTGTCCTTAAGTAGCGTGTTTGAGACCGATCTGAGGTGGGTTTCCTGGAGGAGTGCAATGGAGACATGTTGTCTCTTGAGACTTCTTAGAAGGTGAGATCTCTTTTCGGGTGTATTTAGCCCTCTGCAGTTCTGCGACCTTACGACCAGCTCAGCCGGTATGTACGCCATCTGTGGTCCTGTGTGGGCTATTTGGTGGTTCCGGATTCTCCTACAGCTCCTTCGTCCGTCTATTCAGTTCTGATTCCTTTGGTGATGTGGGTCCAGGTGTGTCCCAGAGAGAGGCCTCTCGTTGTGGTTCTGGTGGAGAGAAGGAAGGGAAAGAAGAAGGAGAAAAAAAAAAAAAAAGGGGGGAGTAGAAGAGAGAGTAAAGAGAAGAGGAATTGAACAGTAGTGGAAAAAATGAACAGCTGTAGCGACTACAGCTCAGTGAGGTTCGTGTATGTGGTGTGTGACTATTTCTTCAGGCTAATTTGGCGATTATTCGTCGTCGCCGTGTGTGGCCTTAGTTGGGTTGTGTGTAGCGTGTCAGGGCGTGGGGTAAAGTAACCGTTGCCCCAATTTGGGGTGACTCCGTGTACCTTGGTGGGCAACCAATGCCGTACCACCGGTTTGTGTCCCGGCAAGGCTTCGGCCTTGGCTCCCCCAATGGGTCTGTCTACACGGATATGTGGTCAGGAGGTGGCCTGATCCTGCAATCGCAGTGACTAGATGTTGGGTGTGTGGCTCGGTCGAATGTGGCAGCAGAGTCAGCGTTCCCACTATGTTGATCTCAGCTAAGGTGTGCATTAGTCTAGGTTATGGTTAGCTCATGTGAATCCTTGTCAATGGGTCAGATAGTTAGGTTGTGTTGTACTTCCCCCGTGTCTGGTGGCTTACTCATCTCTAGAGAGTCGTCCCGGGCAAGGTGCGTTTGAGTTTGCGGGAGTTGATGCGCAACTCAGACGTTCTGTTGCCAGGTCTGAGGTGGGGTGCTCGCGCGTGGTGTATGCAATGAGGGTGCAATTCTAGTTGTAGTTTCTGTTGTGGTAGCAGTGTTCTGCGTGTATGTCCTGTCTGTCAAGGTCATTCTGGGTGGGAGGCTCCTGGGCAGGGGGGTGTCCTGTATCCGTACTTTAGCGATGTTTTGGGGTTAGCTCCGTGTGTCTTTAGAACGTGTTCGTCTACCTGTCTATTAATGGGGTGGGTTCCCGGTCCATTCTAGGGTGAGGCCGATCATGATGTAGCCCTCTGTTCCAGCCCCTACAATAACTTCCATTGCCGTGACTTGTGGGCATCTTGCCTTCCTTCCCGTTGCGTCTCCCGTCTATCCTCACTCCCACTACCTCTTTCTGTGAGCGGTGCCGTGGAGTTATCTAGGGTATTGTCATGGGTCTTGCGGGATCGGGGGGTTGTGCCAAGGTGACTCCCTCTTATTGTTAGTATACATATATATATATATATATATATATTTTTTTTTTTAATTATTTCCCCCCCCCCCTTTTTTATGAAATAAAATTAGTATCGCCCCCCCCTGTCCCCTCCCTCTCCCCCCGATAACTGCAGTTTGTGATAGCGTCCCAGTCTATCCCCCCTCTTACGTCCCTAGACTCTCTCTTCCCTTGGGATGTGATTCCCATCTCCCTAGTTTTCCAGTTTCCCCTACCTCCGCAGGGGCGCCCCCCTCCCCGTACCAGCCGTCTCCCGGCAGCGGCGTCAGCTTCTTCCTCTCTCCACCACCTCGCTTGCGTATCCCTATTATTAAGTCCCTTATGCAGTCCGCTTCAAATTTCCCCCCTTCCCCCCGTTCCCCCTCCCCCAGTTTTCAAAGTATTCGTACTCCCAGTCTCGGTAGTTAGTCTTTGAGATTGCAGTAGCATATGAATCCTCCACCCCTGCCCTCCATAACCTTCCCTCCCAAAGTAGAGTCGACCCAAGGTAATGTGTCCATAGTTGCGGGCCCTCTCAGGACGTTGTCCCCCTTGCCCCTCGCCTTGACGCTCATGTATAGCTACAAAAGTCTGTGAGAATAAAATAATTTTCATTAGTTTACTGCACGTGAAAAGGACTTTTGTGCAAGTTTAAAAAACTGTAATGCAAATTGTATGAACCCTGTACACCTTATTTGTCATGAAGAATTAGAAAACTTGCAACTGTGTAAGGTCATACCCAGCGCATTTTTGCCCATGCAAGAGCATTCCACACATGTGTATGTCTGGTCGACAAGCAGGGCTGATGTGCCACTTTTCCAGCACTTTGGTCACTGCATGTCACCAGTTATTAATTTTTATCCCTAATTGTTTAGTTAAAATTGGCATGTAGAAAAAAAACACCTGAAGTTACGTTCTTAAATTGGTAATAAAACTAGTTGTTTGAATACTTCTGTACTTCATGATTTAAAGAGATCCTCCTCATGACTATTACAGATTGCCGTAGCAGCTATCCTGATTAGTTTTGATGACATCCCTCGTTTTAACCTCAATCTATTGAAGAATTGTGTGATATAAACCAAGGTCTTCTGGTGGTGACAGGCCAAACCCATTTCAGCCACATTACTGATGCAAAACGAACACTGCCACATTATCAATGGCAGTTTCTTTCATCTTGGATGAGAATGCTGAACTGAAATGCAAGAGCTATTATCTTTAAGTTTGATAAAATTATAATGCAGAAGCATTATTTCTGTATTATAATGTGGGTGGTCCTTTTTATCTGGGAAGATCCTCTGTTTATAGCAAACTACTCTTAAACAGCAGGGTGTTTTACAGACGGAAGGAGCCAGGGAACACTAGGTAGCATAACCACTACAGCAAAGTGTGTAATTCATATGTCCGTAGAGAATGCTAAATATACATTGGTGTTTAAGAATAATATTGTCTCTCCTTTTTATTCTGATCGTTTGCCACAACAAGTGTTTTAATGGCATTGTTTGTGAATATAGACCATTTTTTGTGAACATGTAGGTTAGGCATAGATTTCTCTTTGGACCATACTCACAACACATTTTCCATTGTTCTCCTTATTTAATGTCTTCGATGTCCTTATCCTACACTTGCTTCTGTTGCTCTAATGATTTCTCTGTTGGTTTTATCTGACATGTCACAGGTTGATGGCAGTTTCTCTGTCAGCTGTTTCTGCATGTTCTGGAGGCAGAGACATATTGCAGGCCCCAATCCTCTTTAATGCCTCTGCCGTTTATCAGATTGACAGGAGGTTGCATTGTCATATAGCATCTTCAATTGATTGCCTGATTAGAGCATTTACTGCTATTGGACTTCACAGAAACTACAGATTTGTCAGCTTATGGAGAACGTTTAGGAGATCTGATGATCTGCCAAGAACCTCAGGGATATACATGTGTGGCTTTGCTCTATTAATCCTTTATTCACTTTTAACAAAAGTATATTTCAGGAAGTATTACTTTAGAGAGGTTAGTGGATGCATGGAATAGCAGGCCAGCTGAAGTGGTAGAGGTGAAGGAGTTTAAGCATGCGTGGGATAGGCATAGGGTTATCTTAGACTTATGATAAGGTCAGGGACTGCCGAGCAGACCAGACTTGCTCCTATGAGCTCCTGCATCTGGTTCCGAAACTGGGGGTTTAAACCCAAGCCACTTGTGTTATTTGCTTGCGGTAACCTTTCTACTGTGGGGGCCTCAATGTACCGACTGACACCTCACACAAGCTTCTTACACAAAAGATCACCTAAACTGAGGCTTGCAGCCTACACAAGATCGAGCTGTGGAGAGGCGGACTTTCTCCTAGTTCTTTGGCTTACAATCTGACACTCAGCTGCACCCCGATGGAAATTGGTTCTGGGTTGCGCTCTGCCAATGGGGGTGGGGGGGGCTAATGTGCATGCGCGGTAAGCGCATTAGGCTCTCCCCATAGGTAAGTATTGAATTAATGGTTTCCTATAGGTATTTCTCTTACGCTGGATGTCCTTACAGAAACATAGAAAGTGACGGCAGATAAGAACCATTCGGCCCATCTTGTCTGCTCAATTTTCTAAATACTTTCATTAGTCCCTGGCCTTATCTTATAGTTAGGATAGCCTTATGCCTATCCCACGCATGCTTAAACTCCTTTACTGTGTTAACCTCTACCACTTCAGCTGGATGGCTATTCCATGCATCTACTACCCTCTCAGTAAAGTAATACTTTCTGATATTATTTATAAACCGTTGTCCCTCTAATTTAAAACCATGTTGTTATTGTGGTTTTTCTTCTTTTAAATATAGTCTCTTCCTATAAGCAGAGTGTGAGGTTGTCCAGTGTCAGGCAAAAAGTCACCTAGCAAGCAGGAAGTGCCTCTAATGGTTGTCAGGTACACAGCCAGGAGAGGTTGTCTTACTGCTGCAATGTAATAATTGCAGTTTCTCTAAGGGCAATAGGGACACTGTACCCAGACTGTTTCAACAGTGTCCCTTTAAAGCAATCCTATCTTTGTGGTTTGTGTATTTTAATTTTTTTTTCCAAAATAAGTACGTGTGCCACATCTTTGTAAATGGGAGAATTTGTTGGTAATTTCTACTGCATTCCTTGGCATATCTCCTCACCATAATACAAAACTGCAATTAGAATGGCATTGGCATGGTCTGCCACATTCTCTAGTGCCAGAACATATATTTCCCATTGGCACCTGCTACATATTGTGCCTAAAGATTGCTCATTATGACAGATACTGTGATATTTTTGCCTCCATAACCTTTTTTAGCATTATACCTATGATAGCTGAGTGACGTTTTTTTTTTTTGTTTTTTTGTACAATATATGAATACGATTTAACTAAAGTAAAATTTCAGCAGTATGAATATGCCAGTCATATTACCTGTAAGGATGGCTTTGGCGGCCCCTTAGGGCCTGGACTCAGACAGAGGCCTAGAGTTTCAACTCTGGCCCTAAGGAAGCACTCCCTGTGCCTGGCAGGAGTTGAATAGATTTCCATGCTTGGCCCTGTGCTGCCCCCACCCTCCACCTTCCTTGGATGCATTGTGGTCTACATCAATATAGGGTCCAAGTTACTTTTAGAGTTTTGAAAAAAATTAAGATAGAATCAGCGCTAGTAATACCACTAAGAAAATATATAATAGTGTAAAGGCAGCACACCTAAAAGGGGAAATACCCTTCTATCCCCTGCAATAGATTAGAACATAAAAAACAAGAAAGAAAGGGCGCGCCTATTATGTTGTATGTATCACGAAGAGTACACACTTTAAAATTATAATAAAAAAGACACTAAAAGATAAGTAATATAATTTATGAAAATGTAAAATATATAGAAAATATTAAAATATTAGGAAAAATTATAAAAATTACAAGTCCAAGATAAAAAATTCAAAATGCACAGAGATGATTCTTGTATGTGGATAGGAGTTCTTCCCAGTGGAAACTTGAGTTTTCAGTCAGCCATATGTAGATATATGTATAAAGTCATCTAATATACTCACAATTTCCAGAGCTAAAATCCAGCTCTGGTATAAAGCGCGTGAAGTGGATTGATCCCCACTCAAGGATATATGGAGTAATGAATCACCAGGAGTTCCGACCAAAAATTAAAAAGAATAAAACATATAGTGCTCACTGAATAGCTGGAATATAAGTAGAGAGCATGAAATGTACTTACAATATACTGAGCAGAAATCACTGCTCCGATAGTAGCGTATGGGTGGTATAATCCCCACCTAGGGATTCTTTAGACACTTTTCGCCACAATAGGCTGACTGAAAACTCAAGTTTCCCATGGGAAGAACTCCTATCCACATACAAGAATCATCTCTGTGCGTTGTGGATTTTTTATCTTGGACTTGTAATTTTTATAATTTTTCTTAATATTTTAATATTTTCTATATATTTTACTTATTTTATATTTTCATAAATTATATTACTTATCTTTTACTGTCTTTTTTTTTTTTTTGACAATCACGTGTTTATTAGAATTTTAAGTAATGAATACAGAACAGAACATAGTACAAGAAGGAAATCCCCAGCACCCAATTATATGATGGTGAAGTCTTGCGGTTGCCTCGATGCCCGAGTGCTGCGTCCCCTGTCCCCTTCTGCTAGGACTCCCCCTCCTGTTCCCCATCTCGTCACCTTCCACCCCACCCCCCCCTCACCCTCTCAACCGGTTTCTGTACCACGATATGTAATACCAGGGCCAGTATACGAGTATTAGTTTGTTGCCCGTCACATCCCCTGCTCATTTCACTATGGCTAGGGCTCCTAAGGTTCTTCGCCTCAAGCATCCCTGTTCCATGCGTCAGGGCCTGTGCCGCAAGTCCTTCCTGATAGCAGTTTGGTGTGGGCGTTGCGTCTGGTGCCCCCACGACCACTGCCGGTGAGTTTTGTGGAGTAATCTCCTGTCACCTCTTGGCGGGCGCCCCCCCGAGGCTGTCCCCCTCTCCAGTCCCTCCAGTGTGCTCGTGAGTCCTAATATTGAATTAGATCCATTACATCTCGTTGTCCCCACTCCTCCCCCTTGGCTATGTTATTCCACACTTCCACCTTATCGTCCCCCCCTTGTCCCTAGTCCCTAGAGCTCTAGAACCACCTTACCCACCTTCCCGCAGCGTATGGCTTAGGTCTCCCCTGCCCTCCCTCCCCTCCTCCCCTCCCCTCCCCATCCGTGCCTCTACACTCCGTCCTATGTCAGGGGTGTTAACTAGTCGTCTGTCCCTGGTTAACGTTGCTCTTGTGCTAGGCTTGCGCCCAGTGTGTCCCCATCCCAATCCCCCCGCTCCCCCCACTCGCAGCAAGTCCCCCCCCCGGTCACCCCCCTGCCGGTACTATTGTCACTCGGAACCTGCGGAGGTCGTCGCCGGTCACCCCAGGGCATCTCCCCCCCCGTGGGTCGGCAAGGTCGGCGGCACCGCGGCACCTCCTTCTCCCTCCCCCCCCGGAGCGCCCCCCCGCCTTGCTCTCTTGGTCATGTAGTCCACCCACGGGAACCAGGTCGTTGCACATTTGTCCGTGCGTCCCTGCAGGGAGGCAGTAATCATCTCAAGGTTATATATATCTTCCACCTTATCCACCCATTGCTGGAAGGTGGGGACTGTGCTACTTTTCCAGTGAATTGGGATTAGGATTTTCGCTGCCGTTAGCAGGTGTATGGTCAGACCCTTTTTATAACTCCGCAGCGGTGTTTGCGTGTGATTAAGCAACATTTGCAGCGGCTGCAGGGGGAGGTCTGCGTCCGCTATATCCCTAATTGCTTCGTGTATCTGCTTCCAATATGGTGCTATTAGCGAACACGACCACCAGATGTGAAGTCTTGTGCCCTGTTCCAAGCCGCACCTCCAGCACTCCCCGGGGATTGACTCGTGGACATGACGTAATACATCTGGGGTTCTGTGCCAGCCCGTTAAGATTTTGTAGTTACATTCCTGGTATTTGGAGCAGATGCTCCCTTTGTGCGTCAGCATAAAGATTTTGTCCCACTCGCTGTCCGTGAGACTCGTTCCCGTCTCTTGTTCCCAGCGCTTGGTGAATCCCAGGGGTTCCCGCCGCTCTGCAACTGGAGCATGGCATACAACGTGGACACTCCGTGCACGAGGTGTTGCCTGTCCACGCATGCATGCTCCAGCGGTAGCAGTGTTCTATGGATGTTGCCTTTTCCCGATAGGGAGAGGTAATACCTGTGCACTTGGTGGTAGCGGAATTCATCCAATCCGGTCGGGGTGTGTTCTGGGATTAGATCCTGTAGTGGTTTGAGGGTTACCTCAGTACACCATTGCCGCAGATAGGTCCATTCCGTCGCCGCGTAGCTCTCGAGGTCCGCCCTCTTAAGTCCTCCCGCAAGCCGCGGGTTGTTAGTTATAGGAATCAGCGGGTTTGGCATCGTGGTCAATTGCTTCACGTATCTGGTCCTACACCACACGCGCAGTGTGGAGTCTATCATCGGATTACCCGTGTGAATGTCACCCAGAGCCGTGCCGTCCAGCCACAGCAGGGAGGGAATCCGTCCTTGCGCTTGTTGTCGCTCCATGTCCACCCACTGCTTGGCGGTCGGGAACACGTGCCAATCCACCAGGCGGCATAGATGGGTCGCCTGGTAGTAGGTGATCACCGATGGGAGACCCGTGCCCCCCGCATGCTTCGGTCGTTCCAGGACTGACCTGCCAATACGAGCCACTCCCCGAGTCCAAACAAAGTTCCGTATGGCGGTTGTTAAGGACTGGAAGAACGACCGCGGGATACACGTCGGCAGCGTCTGGAACAGGTAAAGGATTCTTGGCATTGCGTTCATCTTAATGGCGTTGATCCGCCCAAACCAGGAGATGTACTGGGAAGTCCATTTTTTCATGTCCCTCTGTAGGGTCGTGAGAAGAGGCGTAAAGTTGAATGTGTATACGTCTTTTAAGTCGTTTGGCAGCCATATTCCCAGATATTTGAGCTTCGACTGGCAGACCCGGAATGGAAAGTGCTTGCGAAGGTGCCTCAGCATGGCGTCTCCTGAAGTCAGTGGCATGGCCTCCGATTTGTCTAGGTTGAGCGAGAGGTTCGAGACCACAGCATACTCTCTGAACGCTTTCAACAGGTTAGGTATTGAGATCCGAGGCTGCTCCAGGAAAAATAGCATGTCGTCCGCGTAGGCCGCCACTCTATGTTCTCCCCGGCCCACGCGGAGCCCCGTGATACCCCCGTCCTGTCTGACCGCCTCCAGAAATGGTTCTAGAGTGAGGGCAAACAGAAGGGGGGACAGCGGGCATCCTTGCCTCGTACCGTTGCAGATCGTGACTGGATCAGAGAGTGCACCATTGACCCTGATTCGCGCCGATGGTCTCGCGTATAAGGCCTCCACCCAAGTGCGGAGGTGCTGCCCAAATCCCATATGCCTTAGTGTCTCCAAGAGGAACGTCCAGTCCATGAGGTCAAACGCCTTCTCAGCGTCTGTAGATAAGAGCACCAGCTCCCGCCTGTTGGTCCTCGCCACGTGTATGACGTTTAGGGCTCGGATCGTATTGTCCCGGGCTTCCCTACCCGGAATAAATCCGACCTGGTCGGAGTGTATGAGGTCAGCGCCACCCGAGCCACTCGCAGTGCCAGAGCCTTGGCGAAGACCTTCAGGTCCGCGTTTAATAGCGAGATGGGCCTGTAGCTCGCGCAGTTCGTGGGGTCCTTGCCCTCTTTTGGGATGAGCGCTACCGTTGCCCTTAACGTGTCCGCCTGGAACCGGCCTCCCGTGTGCAGTGAATTGCACCCCTCCAGGAGTCTCGGCAATAGGACCTCCCTGAACTCGCGGAGGTATCTCACCGGCAGGCCATCCGGGCCCGGGGCCCAGTTGGGCTGGGCTGCTTTCAGTGCTCCCGCAAGCTCCTCCAGTGTCATAGGTTGATCGAGCTCAGCTTCCTGCTCCGGGGTTATCTTGCGGGCCACGTGTCTGCCCAGGTAAGCGGCGACCTGCACCCCATGCCGCCTTCTCTGGGATTCGGACCGGGTGCCAGCTAAATCGTACAATGCCTCGTAATATTTTTGAAATGCTCGCAGGATGCCATCCGGGAGGTGAGTGACTGTTTGCCCCTGCGTGCGAATCTTGTGTATATGCTGCGCCCTCCTCTTATCCTGGAGCATTTTTGCGAGTAGCCTGCCGCACTTGTTGGAATGCTCGTAAAAGAACCTTGCCGCCTTACGCGCAGTATGTAGCATGCCCTGGGTTAGTATGGTGCGGAGCTCTCGCCGTGTCTCCGTCAAGAGGCAATAGGTCTCGTCATCTAACATGCGTTTATGTGCCTGTTCCAGCTCCGCCACCCGTCCCGCCAGCCGAACCAGTCGAGCTGTGCGTTCCTTTTTGCGCTTCGTGCTGATCGCTATGAGGCGTCCCCGGATGACACACTTGTGCGCCTCCCAGAGCGTCAGTGGGGCTATCTCTGGCGAGCTATTAATGGTAAAGTAGTCCGTCAGTGCTTGTGACACCTCTGCCACCAGGAGGGGATCGTCCAACAGGGTCTCATTTAACCGCCACTGCCTTTCCGTGGGTTTGAAAAGGGGGGCACTCGTATGTACTATCATGGGCGCGTGGTCTGACTGTTCCATGCTCCCTATCTCCGACCCCTGCAGCACTGCCAAATACTCTTGCGCCAGGAATACGTAATCTATGCGGCTATAGTGGGCGTGGACCGCCGAGTAGTAAGTGTAATCCCTATCCTCGGGATGGTTCGCCCTCCAGCAGTCCACTAGGCCCAGTTTGTGCAGTGAGCGCAGAGTCGCCCGCAGGCAGTGTGTGGGGATCGTGCTAACACCTCTGGACGTATCCCTACGAGGGTCCAACGGGAGGTTGAAGTCACCTGCCACCACCAGCAGCCCCTCTCGAAATCTCCCCAACTTGGCCAGCGTCTGCCCGATGAACGTATGTTGCCGTCTGTTGGGGCAATATAAGCACGCAAAGGTGTATGTGGTGTCCGCTATATTGCCCTTGATAAACAGGTACCGTCCCTGGGGATCCGCCTGTAGGCCCGTGCAGTGAAACTGTGTCGTACTCGTGAACAATATCGCCACTCCCGCCTTTTTGGCCTCCGGATGGTTGGCATAAAACCCGATGGAATATCGTTTATCTCCCAGCTTCGGGGCGTCCCCTTGACGAAAATGCATCTCCTGCAGGAACACCACGGACGCTCTCGCGGCCCACAGCCGCCGCATAAGCGAGGAGCGCTTCTCCGGGATGTTGAGGCCTCTAACGTTGAGGGACCAGAATGTTAGTCCAGCTGGTGTGAATCCCGTGCCGCCCCGCCGTGCCCCGGAGGGGGGATCCGCACTTGCCATAACCCCGGTGCGACCCACAGGGGGGAGACCGCGAGGGAAGCAGCAACGCGGGGCGAGAAGAAAGGGAAAAGAAAGAAAGAAGAAGAAAAAAGAAGGGGAAAAAAAAAAGGGGGGGGGAAGGAAGGGGAGTCGGGAAAGTACTTATTAAGGATGTGACTGTAACCCTGTACCGGATTTCGTCGGTCAGTTGTGGAACGTCCCCTCCGTCTCCAAATGCCCCGGTATTATGTACAGTATGAGTCTGTCACAGTGAGGTTCTACCGTGTCTCCGTCTATATGGAGCGGTCTCAGTCGTCTATGTCGTGCCTACCCTCTCCTCCCGTGGCTCCCAACCTGTCAGAATAGCTATACTCCCGTGTTTGCCCTGGGGGCAGCCCGCCATCACGTCGGCAACCGCCCTGTTCTCTAGAAGCCCACGGGCCCCTCCGGCCAGCAAAGGCCAGCCCAGTTGCCCTGTCATCCACCTCCAGGCTACCTACTCCTCCCATCTCGACCCTCTGGTGCTTCCGCAGCCAACCGTGCTCGCCTCCTGATCCCCGATCCCATCTGCTCCCTCAGTGCCTCTACCCTACCCTGGGCGAGCCAGAAATACAGGTGTCTTACCCCCAGCCACCCTTCCACCACCCCAGGCCATGTCCCACCTGCCCCCCCCTGCTGCCGCCCCGTCTGGGCTTTTTCCATGAAAGTACCCCCCCTTACCGCAGGAATTCCTGCGCAACTCATCAGGCGCTTCAGCAATCCTAGCTCTACCCGCTCTCCTACCGTGGGCCAGGTTAAGGCTTGACCCCGACCAGCTAGCTTCCGCTCCTCCCCCCTCTCGACCACTCTCAAACTTCCTCTATCTCCGTGCTTCCTCCGTCCGCCGGTTCTAACGGTGTACCCGTTGGGGGTGAAAAAAAACAAGCACGCCTGCGGCACTCGAACTATGTACACTCCAAGCAACCACCCACAGCTCCCCTCCCGCTGCCCCTAGTGCGCCATGTGGATGTTGAGACAATCCCCCATACTCCTGGGCATACAGTAACTGCACACACCCCCGAAGACCCCCCAGGTCAGGTCCAGCAGTCTCTCCCCGATTCCCAATGGACGCCAATGTGCATCCCGTGGCCCGTTCCTCCCTCCCCACCTCTCTTTCTCCCCCGTCCAGCCCCCCCTCTAGTGAGCCACCATCACTCCCGTGGGCCTATCTCAAACCCCCCCATACCCCCCACCCAACCTGCTGGAGCCCCGGGGGTACCTGCCCTCCATATATCGTCCACCCTGCCGTGTCTCTGCTCAGCTCCGTTGCGGCTGGGGCCCGGGGAGTCCGGGTCCCTGCCGGCCAGGGCAGCGTTCCGTCGTCTATTCCTCCGGCCCCGCTGGGCCACCCCTGCGTTGCTGCGCTCCAGGCGTTGGGTGGAAATTATGGGCCACCTCACCGGTCCTGTCGCTCGCGCCGGTGGTCCCTCCAGAATCCAGTTCGGGATCCGCACCTCCTGTAAGCTAGCCGCCACTAGAAAACGCGGCACCTCATTCGGCCATCGGATGCTGTGCCACGTGGCTCCGATCCGCGCCTGCAGACTAAAGGGGAACCCCCACCGGTAGGGAATCCTCCGCTCCTGCAGCAAGCGGGTAAGTGGTCTCAAAGCTCTCCGGGTGTCTAGAGTGATCGGTGAGAGGTCCTGGTACAGCGAGACCTCAGCGTCCATGTATAGGATCCGTGGCTGTGCCCTGGCCGCTTGCATGATGGCCTCCTTAAGCTGGAACGAGGCCAGGGCGCAGACCACGTCCCTTGGTAGGCCATCCCTCCTGGGTGCTATCAAGGCCCTGTGGGCTCTCTCTATGCCAAAATCCTCCGGGGCATTCTCCCCCAGCAGCTGCGTGAAGAGGCCTGTGAGTAGCTCTTGCGGCACCTCTCCCTCTGCTTCCGGCAGGCCCCGGATTCTGATATTATGTCGCCGTCCTCAGTTGTCTAACAGGATATTCCCCTGCCGGGTAGTAGCCAGGTCTGTAGCCTGCTGGCGCTGGTCGGCTTGCAGGTGGCCGGTCTCAAGCCCATCTACACGCTGCTCCAGGGCATTGAGGTCAGTCCGCAGCACCGCCACCTCCTCCCTGATGATGGCGCGCAATTCGGACACCATGTCCGCCTTGTCTGCGCGCGTTAACATGCTGGCTGTGATTCGGGTGACGTCTGCCACCAGTTGATGCAGGGTACCCGCCATCGGGGAGCCTCTACCTGAGGTAGTGGCGCTTGATCCAGGGGATGCGGGGCCCGGTGTGTCAGAATCCCCGCCATCACGGAGGCCTCGTGGCGTCGCCAAAAACCCGTCCATCGGGCCAGGCGGGTATCGGGTCCCCGTCGGGCCGGAGTGGTCCTGGGATGCTGCTCTTTTAGTCTTCCCCATTGTGGAATGAAATATCGCTGGATTCAAGCTGTAACACCAGGCTTGACAGGCTGGGGCCTAGGAGCTCTGATGGAGTGCGACTTACTCCATTGACGGTCAGGCCACGCCCCCCCTTACTGTCTTTTTTATTATAATTTTAAAGTGTGTACACTTCGTGATACATACAACATAATAGGCGCGCCCTTTCTTTCTTGTTTTTATGTTCTACTTTTAGAGTTTTGTCTCGGCTCCTTGGCAATTCTCTATCACTCAGACTTCTGCAGACAGTGCTCAGAGTCATTGAAACAGCTCTGGACAGTGAAGGAGTGGTCTGCACTCGATATTGGTACAGACCCACAACGCTTCTTCACCAGACCATTAGAGATCCTGCATACTCTCCACCAGACCACAGAAAACGTAAGCAGGTGGTGGGCATAACACACACAACACTCATCCTCACTCAGGCACTCAGACTCCCTTACACACACATCTCACCGAGACAACTCCAAACACAGAATTCAGCCACCACACACAATATTCAACTTGCACACTCTGCCTCCTATTGCTATTCTATGGGACCTGGATAGCCGCAACTCAGGATTGTTCCAAGTTACATTTTCTGAATGATTGTGTACTTACTTCAGTAGAATTTGCTTGAGTGTGCCAGTAATCAGCTTCTCTTATGGTTGAGAAGTCACTGCTGCTTTCTTGCCTGTAATTAGTTTTCTTCCAAACTTGTCTAAAACATTTCTTAGGTTTTAACAAAGGAGTCAGGCTGAAAAGGACATTTAAAGTCCTGCTCATTACGTAGATGTTCATTTCTTACTGTTACTGATCTGACAGATGCCCTACATTTTAAGACTCATTTCCCTTCATTAAAACATTGAGAACTATGTTCTGAAACAGATTGCACAGTTTGCCACGAGAAGAGTTTTTTTTTAAAAATTGGTTTTCTTTTTCCATCCTGCATGTAGTTAATTAAGCAGAAACCCCTAATGGTGTATATAACTAGAATAATGAGCAAAGATCCTGTGTGTATATGTCTGAGGTGATAACGTTATACAAAACGGGTCTGAAAAACATGTGGCAACTGAGTTTTTTTTGGTTGTTAATTTAAATAGACACTCTAAACACCATAACCACTACTGTGTGCATTTTTGAACAGTTTGAAACTGGCCTGGATCTCATGAGTGCCAGCAGTTCTTTCAATCTTCTGCTACATCATTCATTGGCTGAGAAAATCAGCTGACACTCTTGTCCGATGAATTATGTCTTAATAGGTACACTGTAGATATTGCTAAAGAGTAGTGGAGGAACTTTAACAATATCAAGAACATTGAAAAGACTGCTAGTATCTGAGGGATACAGGTAAGTATCAACCCATTTAAAAATTACTTTGACTGCTTACAGTGTAATGGTGGCAGGGGACTTCCTGCATCATAGCCGCTGCGGCCTTCTTCAGTGCATAGACTGTCCATTTAATACTCTTAAACATAAGTCCAACTTGTACGTACCATAACTGGTATTAAAATGACTATACACTGTGACGTGGCATTTCTGTCATTTGCTGACAGGTTCAGGAATCTTTAGTGATGACCAGCTCCTCACAGCGCATCCAAATTATTTCCACTGACTCTGCTGTATCATCTCCGCAGCGCATTCAAGTAAGTGCATAAAACCCATTCGACCAATGATTTTATCCGCTCGCTAAGAGATCCACTCCCTTCATAAAATGGACACATAATCAGATGCTTGAAAAAGAAACACACAGTAGACTAAGTGAAATAAAAAGATAAAAATATTTAGCTTGATTGCGTGTGCCATGTTTTCTTATATGTAAATGTGCACATACCAGAAGATACAAAACAAGCCTCAGTGAGTGATCATCTAAGACCATTTTCAGCAGGTTCTTCCCCAGGCCTCCCAACCATCCTCATTAGTGGCACAATCCCAATTGTAGGGCCCGTTCCAAGTTTGAATTGTCCCTAAAAAGTGTAGAGTAAGCACATCATAAGATGCTCTTCTGCTACGCTATGGGCACTAGGTCCATGCAGAAAGCACTGAAATGTTGCTCCCTGCATAGTCTGCCCTCTGTGAGCTGGCCTGTATGATTAGCAGTGAGCCTGGAGTGCTTTCACTCCAGGCTGAACTGTCAGTTCTATGGGGATTACTTAAATGCTTGCTCTACTTGTCTTAAAGTATACCTGTCACACATTGTAAAGGGACATCTTTAGCTTAATGAAGCAGTTTTGGTGTATAGATAATGCCTCTGCAGTCTCACTACTCATTTCTCTGCCATTTAGGAGTTAAATCCCTTTTATTTCAGTTTATGCAGCCACACATGCTCTGGCAGTCACTCCTACAACCAACATAAAAAAGGTCTCCCTTTTCACTTATCACACCTTTCTCAGATTGTGACCGATCAGCAGACTGGTCAGAAGATTCAGATCGTGACCACCGTAGATTCCTCTGTGTCATCCAAGCAGCAGTTTATCTTGACCAGTCCAGATGGGTCCGGAGCAGGCAAGGTGATCCTTGCAACCCCTGAATCCCCCAATGCAAAGCAGCTTTTCTTTACCACAGAAAACATTGTGCCTGGGAGAATACAGGTCAGTCACATTCTTGTTACTCATGTTTGCTAAAATAAAGACTAATATGATAAATATATCTTTTAATTTAAACTCCTGTTTACTTTATTCTCTAAGCCAAGATAATATTGATTAAATCAGCTTACTTACATTTTACCTTTGGAGCACAAGCAATAAATTAGCTAGAATAGGGATCTATTGTTTTAATGTTATGTTGGAATATCGTACATTTATGCCAGGAAAAAAAGGGGAATTGGGGGCAGCAGTGGTGATACTGTAAAGATCAACATTTATACAAAATACAGATTAAGGAACAGTGCACATACATAAAATCCAGGTTTAATCGGCTACTTGAAATCCCTTGTCTTGACAAACCAATATGGAGATTCAGTTCCAGCATTGGCCATATTGGGTTAAGCCCACCACTACATCATTGTGTTCTACATGTATACCAGGCTATCCAGACATAAAATAGGCCATGGATACTCTGGAATGTAACTTAATTTGCTGGTAACATTTAAAAAAAATAAAAAATTAATTTAAAGCATCACTAATACATTATGTAGCGTTAACACTAGGGACACTGTAGACACCCAGACCACTTCAGCCCATTGAAGTGATCTGGGTGCAAACTCGCATCACCCTTAAAGGGACACTCCAGTGCCAGGAAAACAAACAGTTTTCATGGCACTGCAGGTCCCCTCTCCCTCCCAGCCCCCATCCCAGGTTGCTGAAGGGGTTAAAACCCCTTCAGTGACTTACCTTTATCCAGCGCCGATGTTCCTCGGCGCTGGGTCAGGGTCCGCCCACGCTTCTACTCCGCCGACGTCATCCGGCGGGGGAGACCTATTGCGCATGCGCGGCCAGCAGCGGGGGAGACCTAATGCACATGCGCGGCAATTCCGCGCACGCGCATTAGACCTCTCCATAGGAAAGCATTGAAAGATGCTTTCAATGCTTTCCTATGGGGATTTTAGCGACGCTGGAGGTCCTCACATAGCGTGAGGACATCCAGCGACGCTATAGCACACTGTGCTATAAACCAGGAAGTGCCCTCTAGTGGCTGACTAGTAGTGACTAGAGTTAACCCTGCAAAGTAAATGTTGCAGTTTATGAAAACTGCAATAATTACACTTGCAGGGTTAAGGGTAGTGGGAGTTGGCACCCAGACCACTCCAATGGGCGGAAGTGGTCTAGGTGCCTGGAGTGTCCCTTTAACCCTGCAAGTGTAATTATTGTCTACCAGACAGCCAGTAGAGGGACTTCCGGCTTCTTAGACGACTTTTTGGTTGTCTGAACGACGCTGGACATCCTCACGATATGCATGAGGACCTCCAACGTCGCTGGGTCCCCATAGAAAAGCATCGAATAATGCTTTCCTATGGACAGGTTTAATGCGGGCGCGCATGTGCATTAGAACGGGGGAGGAGTGTGTACAGAGCCTGATCCAGCGCTGAGGGACATCGGCGCTGGATTCAGGTATATTTCTGAAGAGGTTTTAACCTCTTCAGTGATGCGGAGTGGGGGCACTCCAGGATTCTGCAGTGCCAGGAAAACTGATTTGTTTTCCTGGCACTGGAGAATCCCTTTAATGAAAACCTCCTCTGTGGAAGTTTCCTTTTGCGTGTGCTTTTGTGGCCGTAAAGCCATTGTTCTAGGGATAGTTTCCTTTATAGCTGATTAACTTCTTGGATCAATCCTTGTTCAAAGCAGCATGATGTTTGTGTTGATGGAACCCTCAGTGGTAAGAATGGAGATTTTTTTTTTTTTGTCACAAAAGTAGCATCTTTGTTAGTGATTTTAAGTGCTTTCCCTTTAATCCCTTAAGGACACATGACATGTGTGACATGTCATGATTGCATTTTATTCCAGAAGTTTGGTCCTTAAGGGGTTAAACATTGCGTGCTTGTAACTTGTGTTGACATTTGCAGGTTGTATGACATGGCAATAATTTATGCAGGCACATATTTACTAATATAGGTCGCAGGAGCAGCAGGGTAATTAATGGCAGTATGTTACAATCATGTTCTCTGTCAGATTGTAACAGATGCAGCCTCTGTGGAGAGACTCCTGGGAAAAGCAGAAGTGCAGCGTCCGCAAATCATAGAATATTGTGTCGTTTGTGGTGACAAAGCTTCTGGTATGTTTCTTTGGAATTCCTAACAATGCAGGTTTGAATTAAACCTAACAATGTGGTATTTATTCACTAGACCATTAATTGTAGAAAATTGATAAGGGAATTGTAACTTCTATGGCAACATAGCCATGTTAGAAAAATTGCTGTTTGCAAATGTCTCCAATTTGTCTGTTTTAGCCTAAAATTTGCAATTCCAATGTCAGTCCTACACGATTTCAGTTTATAAATATATGGTGCCATTAAAGTGTGCATGGCATGCAAATAAGACATGGTGGCATATTTTGGTTATGCTATTTTTATCTCTAATTTGTCTTTTGACGAACTGCCAGCAAATGCTTTATATAAAAGTAGGTTTACCCCATCCATGGTTTCATTACAAAAGCATTATCAATCAGTTCATCTGAGAACTTTAAAGGGACACTATAGTCATCCAGACCACTTCAGCTCAATGAAGTGGTCTGGGTGCCAGGTCCCCCAGGTTTTAACCCTTCAGATGTAAACATGTTTACATTGCAGGGTTAATCCAACCTCTACTGGCTGTCTTCCTGACAGCCGCTAGAGGTGCTTCGTGCAGAACGTCCATAGGAAAGCATTGAGAAATGCTTTTCTGTTGACTGTTTGAATGTGCGCGGCTCTTGACGCGCATGCGCATTCCGCTCCACTCGAGAGTTGACATTGGGAGGAGAGGGAGCCTGGCGCTGGATTAAAGTAAGTAGCTGAAGGGGATTTAACCCCTTCAGCACCAAGGGAGGGGGACCCTGAGTGTGGGGTTTGTTTTCCTGACACTATAGTGATTAAGGTAAGTAGCTGAAGGAGATTTAACCCCTTCAGCGCCAAGGGAGGGGGACCCTGAGTGTGGGGTTTGTTTTCCTGACACTATAGTGATCCTTTAAATGTAAGATTCCATTTCACTATACATTTACTTGTGGTGGATGTTTCATTTTTAAGCCAAGATGGGTAAAACACAGTTTTCAGGTACATTAAAACTCACTGTTTAGTAAATCTGACCAGAAATATACTAGATAACTTTTCAGTCCCAAACCTGCAGATATATTTATTATGAATGCTCATTCCTAAATAGACAAGTATATGAAAAATGGCTTGAATCCTGCCAAATAGTTAGTTATTTAAAATTGTTTTTACATTGACATACTTTAAGTGTGGCCATGGTTTTCTACCAGTATTTTTAACCAGTTGATCAATAAAAACATTAAGTCTGACACATGTGCTACTTGGACTTTTAAACTCACTGCCCACTCTGGTTGAAAAAGATGCTGCCAGTGCCAAACTTTTTAATCCAGACACCATGGCATACTTTTAGTAATCTTTGAGCAAAACTGGAAATTTTAGACTAAAACATCCATAAACATGAAATTCTCCCACTTCTCTAGTGACTTCTTGGGGAGCGGGGGCTGACAGTGCTTTCTAAGAGCTCCGTCACTAACGAGCAAAAATAAGCCTCTTCTGACCAAACCAGCATCGAACGCAGCTCCGAGTGCCCAAAGGACAGAGCAGAAACAAGCAGGGACCACGGGGATACCCATTTCGAGCTGTTACGTCACGAGAATGCTCTGTCCGGCCATGCGGTCTAGTTCTGAGCGGGACCTGGTGTCTGCGGGAGGCAGCCGAGCCCCCGGCACAGGACACACACTCGCATTAGAGAGCCTACAGCAGCCCTGCTGCCCCCCACCCCTTTGGGGTTATCCCGGTCCCCGCTGGGGATACTTACTTCAGCATCGCAGCATAAACCCCTGCAGCCACGGAATGTCCCTGAGATGGCAACCACAGCAACACCCATTCAATCCTGGGAGAGCATTGCAAGGAAACACATCCTACCCATCGTCCATATACCCAGAGGGGCTTTCAGGAGACAGAGCTCCCGAGGGCCCACTGTCCTACCACACATAGCAGGGGGACCCATGAACACAGGGAGGAGACTCCCATCTCAACCTGGGCTGGAGGACCTGTGCTGTCGTAGCACTACCACTATGGACTTACTCGACATCAGCTGAAATACTGTTCCCTGTGGAGTCCTGAGGTGGCAGGAGGCTGCCTAGCATTCAACATGGAGAACTCTCTATCATGGCCTGCATGGGGTGCTGGCTGAATGGTGACAGGAGATGCTGCTTGCCATTCAAGCAATGCAAAGTGATGCTCCATTCAATAACTTAAGTTTATCTTATCAATATCCAGCGGTGTGTGTGTGTGTATATGTGTTTATCAATGTATTTAAAAAAAATAAATATATATATATATATATATATATATATATATATATATATATATATATATATATATATATTTTCTTATTGCTTCTTGCACTCACACTTGTTAGCCTTTAACTTATTCAAAATGCCAGGTGCATTCTAGCCATTGCCAAAAAATATTATACAGTTAATGAAGGCTTGCACTCACGGTCTTTTTCATAAAAATTTTCTTTTACTTCATCCCATTAAAATATGATCGATGTTTCAGCCATCTTCTGTGGCTTTCATCAGGATCAAAACTGCTATAATATATACACACACAGTGGGACCTCGGTTTACATTTTGTTTTCGCAATACAAAGCAAGTTTCCCCAGGATGCATTGCACTTGGGAGGCTTATAGCACCTCCCACTGCATGCTGGAGCCTGTGGGTAGCACGTGGCATCGAATGTGGAGGTGTTGGAGCGGCTTTTGCATTGAGTTTTGGAGCCATTCTGGAATTTGTTTGCAGTTGTTTTGGGACTTTTTCATGCATTTCTTTAGCTGTGGAAAGGTAGGGAGCTGAGCTTCATCGTTTGCATGCCTTTTATTGTGTGTTCTGCATTGTGGGTTTGTTTCCATGCTAGCTCATTGACTTTTTTCTGACCTGCAGAACAGATTAATTGGCTTTCAATGCATTCCTATGGGAAACCGCGTTTTGATTTACAAATTTTTCGCAATAAGAAACGTCCCGGAGAACGCATTAAATTCGTAAACCGAGGTCCCACTGTATATATATTATAGTTTGTCTAGCATGTTAATTACTTTTGTTTAAAAACAAGCCTCATGGTTAGCTATGGGACTTGCCTATACTCATGGTTAGCTAGTATAGCACTCTGTTAATCACATAGCGATTTAAATACTGACTACTAGCTAGACATACCCGACTAGCCTTGTTTTTCACTAACCCTTATGTAATAGTACTAAGTTTAATCTTGACACCTAGCCTGTATACTGCAACATGTACTAAATTTCATTATCGCATGCACACAGCCGTATAACTTTATGCCAAGTCGTTACGCTCAACCTGCGCAGTGACCATAATGTATTTCCTTTACTCGGATATCTCTAAACCATGCACCTTTTCTCGTGTATACTGTCTAACCATTGCCACCACCCTGCACAATAAAAATAAATAATTTAAAAAAAAAAAAAAAAAACTTAGGGGGCGGAGCCTGCTTGCAGACCTGACCAGGTGCCATTCCCTTAAGCTCCTCCAGGCACGCTTAGAATCAACTCAATATAGGCTAACCCTGGGCCAATCCATCATCATAATCAGCATAACCAGAATCTGCTGCATCGATTGATGCCATTTTTCTAGCCCCAAAAACAGCCTTAACAGCGACGCAGATTTCGGGCCTACCACTCCCTCCCCATCCCCGGCCTCGAGGCACTCCTTAGCGGAGACTCTGCAAATCACCCAAGAGCTGCTTCACCATCTACATCGCCCTGCATGCCGGCTATGGGTCGCAGATTGCAAAAACCCACCTCTAGGACGGACAGCAGAGATATTGGGGCAATGCTGCAAAGGCCTGTACAGCCCAGATAAACACCAGTGGGAGACCGGCGGGAGATAGACCCCAAACCGGACAATTGGGAACCTGAGGTAACACTTCACCCTCAGGCAATACTTACCATACCTGAAGACTCCTCAGATGATTCAGCCCCAACCACAAAACGAGACCTGAAGGTTCTCCTGGCTGACATCCACAAGCTACTGGCAGCGGACTCAGCCATACTCAAAACAGAGCTGCAAGCAGTTACCGAAAGAGTAAGAGTCACGAAGGAAGATATTGTGGACACTCAAACTAACATGATAGCAGTGCAAGACTCAGTACACCAACTCCAAACAAACCAGAGAATCCTGTCTGCTAAGATCACGGCCATAGAAGACCGACAACACCGCACACATATTAAAATCAGGGAAGTCCCTGCTGTTGTGTCTGGAGGACACTTTACTGTCTCCCATAGTGGCACAGAAATTGACTGTAGATGGACTCTACCGCATTCCCAGTACAGACCACACCAAACCAAACTTGAATCGGGATGTCATTCCTCACAGTCCATGATAAAATCCTAATAATAAGAGCACTAAAAGCCAAAACGCCTCTTGCCTTCGAGGACTCCACCTTGACCTTTTTTCAAGATTTAACCAGAGCAACACTGTTATGGAGAAAGTCCTATGGGCCTGTTACCACCCAATTACGAGCAGCAGGATTGCCCTACAGGTAGGGGACTGATAATTCTCTGATGGTCAGACAGGCTGGAACCACCCACGTTCTCCACACCATGACTGACGCAACATCCTTTCTAAAGAAATTGGTACTGCCCACACTAACTGCAAACCCGGAAACTCCTGGGATCCGACCAATGTCACCCCCTTTGTTCCACGTGCCAAAGGGGCACCAGCACAAGTTCCATGATGGCGACCGCAGAAAGCCTGTGCACCTACGCACCCATTTCTAACGGCGGCTCCAGTCTCCCGCCACTTAACTGGGCCACTTTCATGGAATTATACTCTACAACTGGTTATAATCGTTCTATTTGTTTTATCGTTACCCTCAGTTAGGGACACTGCACTCACGTGCATTTCTTCTCACCACACTATCCCGCCTTTGGAGTAGCTTGCCTACCGGCGTCTTGCCTAGACTATCTAAGTTGCCCACCTATACTAAAGTTTCATGAAATGCAAATTTAATCCTAATTGGAAACTAGCATGATTCCACACTTATGTCAATGGCCATTTGGTCCACTAATTCAACCCCAGTGAAACTCTCTTTGACATACCGACACCACTAATTATAAGGCTTCCGTTAGACTGATGGCTATACTCCTATTTATGTGGCTTCGTGTTTGCCCTTGATAACTCGTTATCCTGTTGTAAAAGAAAAAAAAGTGCACAACGCAAGATATGTATGACCTTCGTACACCTCGCTAACTATTGAACAAATATCGCTTGTTAATTTTTGTCTCCCGGTGTCACTATACAGCATGCGGGAGCAGAGAGGAGCTGCAGGAAGATCATTGCTCCAGGGCAGGCGCCGTCTGGCTACACTTTTCCTTGAGCCGGCCTCCTCCCTGCTCCACAGCTCGGGCAGGCAACTACAATACTCCCTGAGCTCCATTGTTTGCCCAGCCTCTCTTTAGCTAAAGGGCTGAGGATGTGTTGAGCCTTGTATTAGCAGATTAAAAAAGAAGTGAGATGTGGGGGACTGCTATTAAAAGGAGCATTCAAAGTACTATATTTACTAGGGGTGGTTTGTAGAGAATCTAAAGCAATATCCAGCTTTCCTCTACATGACTATTAAATATGCAGCAGTATAAAACAAAATGGTTTGCAATGCTAGATGTCACACTTGGCACTGTTGGAGGCAAAGCACGGGACTGAGCAATCGCACAAATAGGCATCACACAATATAAATATTTTTCCCCCCCCCACCCCTTTTCCTCTCAGGTCGTCACTATGGTGCTGTTAGCTGCGAGGGATGTAAAGGTTTCTTTAAAAGAAGTGTTCGAAAGAGCTTGGCGTATAGTTGCCGCAGCAGCCAGGACTGCGTCATCAATAAACATCACCGGAATCGATGCCAGTTTTGCCGGCTTAAGAAGTGTTTAGAAATGGGCATGAAGATGGAATGTGAGTATTGCTGCTTCCTACGCATAATGAGCTCAGAGTGTAAACTCAAATGTATCCTCTATTTCTAATAGCTTGAAATGTATTACTAAATACTCCTGTCCAGGAATTTGAGAAGCATGTAAATGTTTTAAATTAGAATCTGACTCATAATCTGAAAGCTACTGCTACATCATGTGTTAAAGAGAGCCTGCCAGGAGACAACTATTGTTAACTAAACAGCAGTTTTTTGTGAGTTGACTTTACACTTCAAAATGTAGGCCAAAATATCTTAGTTTTGGAATAATCTTCGGCACAAAAACTATTTTATTTTTTTACCTCAATGAAATTTACAGGGTTTATCATTAAAGTGAGAATTCAAAGTAAATTTTAATAACCAAATCAGAAAAAAAAAATCTAAGTCAGCTATGCTTTTACTTCAGCTACTCTGGTGTAAAATTTGAAATTCTGCTTCCTGCAAAATCACTGGTTCAGTTCATTTCGAGCCAAATAAGGGACCAGTCTGCGTATATAATGGTAGTACACATAGCCATTAAGACCTGGGGAGGAGAAGTTTTGTTTAATACAAGTAGTTAAAACAAAGACTTAATTCACATCTCTGTAAATGAGCAGATGCAATGTTAGTAATACATTTACACATACTGGAGCCAAAGAGTTGGACAAAGAGTGTAAAACATATGTCTAATAGAACACTTAAATCCTTCACCACCACGTTTTTTTTGTTTTTGTTTTTTAAAGTAACATATTATTTATTTGAATTTGCCATTTATAGTTACCATATAATAATAGGGCAGGTTTAAAAAAAAAAGTTTCTAATAGTATGTCTTGTGTCACCCATCTATAGTAGGGTTAGGCAGCTACCCTGTTGAAATTGTGTGAGCAGCAAGGGTACATGAAGAAAGCCGTTAGAAGGAAGATTATGTTGGACTGGGCCACAATTAAAGCCCTGGTTGTAGAGAAGAGATTTGTTTTAATCTGTGTATGGAATTGGTCTGGTGGAGTGTGTATCTGCCTACAATCTACATGTTCGGGAGTGGCCAGATCTGCAGCCTGTGACATAGCAGAATACCAATCCGTGCTCTTTAATGCTTGAGATTTTAACTTCTCCCATGCTGTGGAATTGTTGATCCTCGCGGTAATTAAATGACCACTATTAACACCATAAGCACTACAGCTTAGTGTATTTGTTATTTTAAAGAAAGGCTATTTGTGTTGTCCCAATATGTATTTTTATTTATTTATTTTTAATCCATACAGAAAAGAGGGCTGCACTCTCTCTAGACTAGGGATACCCTGCATCAATGGATGATGAACACATGTACTGTATACCATATTTACTTGCACAATTAGAATTCAAATGTATAATTAAAACATCCAACCAAGTTGCAATTTAAAAACAATGGATTAATACTTATGTATAAAAAATAAAGCTATTGGTAATAGCTTAAGTTATTGAATCAAATATATATTGTTATCTCCAAAATAAAAGTAGAAAAAAATCTTTAAAAATATACAAGCAAAAAATTATATTTAATGCTGGAACTTCCACTTCCCTGTTTTGAATGTCCTCTGTATTGCTTCCCAGCAGCTGTTGAAGTGGTCCAGTGAAAAAATGTACTTGACTTCATTTTAGTGTCAGTCAGACAGGATAATATGAGTGTTCTTTCAGGTAGCAACTTGTCTCAAACGCTTTTCACCTTCCCTTGGCTTTTTAAATGATAAAAGCAGTAATAAAATATGAGTGGGATACAATAAAGCCTCACCTATTTACTATATAAATATATTATAGACAGACAATATTGTCCATTGTGAGCAATAGTGACACCTGGAATTATCTTTATGTGGTATAACATTTTATGTATTAAAGATGTATTCCTGACCTTATAGTGTTAGAACCACAATCTAGCCCACCATGTCCCCACTTGCTCCCCTAAATATAGCAAAATCTTACCTTCACGCCAGTCTGCTGCTGCTGGCTCTGCCCCTGATCTGCCTGCTTGGCTAATATCTGAAATGTTGTTCTGAGCCAATCCCAATGCTTTCACATAGGAAAGCACTGGATTGGCTGAGACTGTCAAGGTGGAAGATCAGGGGCAGAGCCAGCACAAGTCTAACACAGTCCCGTCCTATCAGCATCTCTCATAGAGATACACTGTGCAGCACTGCCCCATGAAGCACCTCTAGTAGCCATCTGAGGAGTGGCCAGTGGAGTTATCACTAGGCTGTAATGTAAACACAGCCTTTTCTCTGAAAACCGTGTTTACTGCCAAAAGCCTGAAGGAAATGATTATACTCACCAGAACAAATACAATAAGCTGTAGTTGTTCTGGTGACTATAGTGTTCCTTTAAGTCACATGTTTTAAAGAGTGGTTACTGGTTCTATGTATTTATAGTACACAAGGGCACTGTTGACCATTTTTTTTTATTTCTAGTAATGTAAATACTGCCTTTTCTCTGAAAAGCCTTCAGGGACAGGCTATACACCCCAGAACAACTATATTGAGCTTTAGTTGTTCTGGTAACTATGTCGGGTGAATTTCCACTCTCCGTGTCTAAATGTTCATTTGCCAATGATTAGTGGCTAGTGTTAAAGTTCAGACATTGGCTTTCTGTACTGCCTGCATTTAGACCTCTGCACCGTCTGCCTTTTGCAATGCAGTTCACTACAATTCTATGATCATTGAATAAGCGTCTCTCAGCGCTGAATCCCTTTAGTAACTTAGTGCAAAGGGTATTTAATTGTTTGAAAGCAAACACAATGGAATTCTTTTTAAAGCAACTTTTGTCTGTTTGTCTTAGCGGTACAGAGTGAGAGGAAGCCATTTGACATCCAACGAGAGAAGCCATCAAACTGTGCAGCATCCACTGAAAAAATCTACATCCGGAAAGATCTGCGGAGCCCACACATAGCAACGCCAACTTTTGTCTCGGACAAAGATGGAGGGAGGTCGGTGTAGAACACTGGTAGGGTGTGTTTGTACAGATTGGGGATACAGTCAATAACTGTCTCACCACAAATGGCTTGCTATATGTGGACTTAATCTGCCTGGAAGACCCCATAGAGGGGTAATAAAAAGTATTGCTACTTCTGTTTATTTTATAAATGATTTATGTTTCCTTGGTATATAATAATTCTTAGCTGTCACCATTAGTTTAGTCCCTTTTTCGATAATGATATCATGGCAGGATAGCTGAGGATATTGAATTGTGCTGTTTGTCTCCTCCACTCCTCTCCTGCAATATTATTTTTTGGAAGATGGGCTGAATTAATGGAGCAACTGCTGCCTGGAACTGAAACCAACACTAATTTCAAGCCAGAATACTTATATGTTGGTGCTTCCCAAAGAGTGGGGACTGCAGGCATTGCATATATAAGTATATAGTGCATTAATAAAACAAAAAACTGCTCGACCAAAGTAAAAGTTAAAAATAGTTTGAGTGGAGTTTTTTTTTTTTTCTAAAAAAATGTAAATCTAAACTGCTGCTTTTAAGCTAAAAGTCAGGTGTAACAGCATACAAGTACCCACTACCTCTGTGTAAACACATCATACATTTTGTCATTGAAGGAAGCAATATCCAGAGCTTCGATAATGTCACTGCTTGTGGATTTGATCTGGTCCTTTGCTGCCTCTTCTTCTGCAGTGATATTTTGCATTCTACAATCTGATGCTTAGTCAAATCCTGTCCTTGTATTATGGGATTGGCGGTAGTGAGATCCAAAGATGAAAGAATTTATGTACAGGGCATTCCCATTGCTATGTCTTACCACTATATGCTGCATAAAGTGTTCCATACTGAGTGGAAATAGATAAAAATATAATTTGCATACAAAAGGAAACAAAAAAACCAAATACATACTCTGTAAGCAGCCTTCTTAGATGAGTGGCAAATATCCAACAAATAAAGAATAAGGAAACAAGAATGTTAAGTATATTACATATTGGTTGAATTTATTTGTTTTGTGATCTTGCATTACTAGACATTTCATGTTGCTATATTAAAATGTGTTTTTTCCAGAATTGTTATTCTTCATGTAACAAGATTGAAGTAATCTCTGTCATCCTTCAGTCCCGACTCTCACATGTGTTGTTGGGATTTATTCATTAAACTGTGCACTGTGGAGTAATCAATTTACATTGCAAGCTCCACTTTAAATAGAGGTCATGCTTTGTACGAATTGATGTGCGTTCATTGTTTTTCTGATCAATTTTTAAATCTCACCAGGCAATCTGGACTTTTAGACCCTGGGATGTTGGTGAATATTCAGCAGCCCCTCATCCGAGAAGATGGCACTGTGCTCCTGTCTACTGATTCAAAGGTCATTTCTGTTTGCTTAGGGGGTTTATTAACTTTTCTTTTGCATTGCACTGAATTGTTGCTAGCTTTCCTTTAAACTCAGAGTTGCAAAGTGTTGTTAATTTGCAGCTTGTAACCAAGAAAGTTCAGAAAGTCTGATGTTTGAGGTTGTCATTTAACGTAATAATAGAAAATAATTGTCTTCATGGTAGTTTTGAATTATTATTTACAAGTAATAATTCTTCTTCCAGGCAGAAATGAGTCAGAGCGGACTTGGAACATTAGCAAACGTCGTTACTTCTCTTGCTAACCTGACTGAGTCACTAAATAATGGGGACACTTCCGAAAATGATCAGCCAGAGGACCAATTCTCCAGTGAAATCACTAGGTTAGTTTTAGAGTTTTCATTGCAAAAAGAGGGTTGCCAAAAAACAACTGCTCCTAAGAAATGTTACTGCTGATGCTTAATGTGTGCTATTTTTGTTTTGTTTTTCTTTTCAAATGTTTACTTTAGAAGTCCAAATGATATATTTACTAAACATTGAATAGTTGTGAATTGAAATCCAGTTTACAGAATTTGATGGGAGTTGGCTAGAAATGTTTCAGACTCCGACACAGATAATGTGTACAAAGGAGCACAAACTTTGCAGGAGCAGGGTTTAAGGAATATAATATTATCAGAGGTTGCTGTTCTTATTCAGTCCAGTTACCCCCTTTACAATGACAATTATATATACAGTGCCGATATAATCCGCCGCGCTGTACAATAGACAAAGCTATTATAACAAAACATGTTTGACATATGCATACAGCAGGTGATGAGCTTACAATCTAATAAGCGTCTGCCGTTGGTCACTCGCTTCATTTAGATGCTAACCTGTATTTTGGCTTAAGAGTGATGTTTAAAATGCCATCCACTGAAGAGTAAAAGTGTTGTTTGCATATTTCTGCATGGAAATCTAGATGGGATGTTTGCATCAAAGCATTTAGAACTGCTGTATATAAGGTTTACATGTTATCTTAAAGGGACACTCTGACAAGTTCATCACAATGCTGCATCAGTCCGATACCATCATCCAGACTTTGGGGTTTAACAGTTTAAAGTAAAGTAGGTGCAATCTGCACCTTGGATCTTTTTTCACTCTAACTACTTAATTGCCATAGAGTTGCTATGGTGTCAAGACTAGTCCTTTTAGGAATGCAGAAGTTCTGAATTGGTATATCTAAGGATAGATATTCATGTTAGCATTTTTTTTTTTTTTACCTTTTGTGCCGAAATTATGCATCAGTAAATTTTATTTATTCAATTTATCCCCTTAACAAATATGTATTTGCGAGGTGTAAAAAATGTAAAATTAAATATGGAAATCCACAGCTCTTTATCCTGAAACTTGGATCCTCCATCTTGGCTCCCTTTAATCATTGTTACAAGCGATGTCCTTAGCACCTGACATCCATAGTAGTAATAGTGTAGAAAGCATAAAGGGAAGAGGGAAAAAATAAACTTTCTAGATGTCCTTTTAATTTGTAATGTTTGCCTTGTCTGCCTTGAATTCGGTTATGATGTCATTTTTCCATGTCATTTTTGATGTCAAGGTGACCGGGCATCTGATAAGAGAAAAAAAAAAAAAAATGCCACAAGTTATAGGTGAAGTTTTAAATGATTTATTCAGTTGTGCAAATTCATGAGAAATGAAAGTCCCCTTATTAAAAATGCATATGCATGTATATACATTTATAGACCATGCAGCATTGCTTTATGTGAAAGGAAAAAGTCTGAGGGAAATATATTTCTTTAAAGAAAAATATGATACAGTCCATAGAGTATATTGGGGTTGTCCACACAACCAAGGGGTTTAAGCCCCTTCATTTATACCATCAAAAAAATAAACATGGCACACTGATCCTAGAAGGGGACCCCATCATGGACTCCTCAACGGGACACCGTAGCATTGCCCAACTCCGCATACACTCCATGAGGAGGCCCATGGGGGATCTGGACCTTGTAAACTGCTGGAGGACCCTCCACCCCACCAGCAAGGACTATACGTACTACTCCGCACTACACGACCGATATTCCTGCATCGACTACATCTTCATTCGCCAAATAGGTCTACAAAGATTACTCTCAGCCAACATGGAACCCGCGACATGGTCGGACCAGGGCCCGGTCACTGTCGAACTTGAGTCACCTCTTTTCCGGCCCTCTACATGGACATGGAGGCTTAATGAAGCTCTCCTCCTTGACCCTGCGACACGCGAGCAAATCACTGGAGCATTAGATCTATACTTCCAGGACAATGTTGTATAGGATGTCTCCCCAATTTCAATATGGGAAGCCCACAAGAGCGTTATCAGGGTCACAATTATCTGAATAGCCTCACAAAAGAAAAGACGTCACACGGGAAATGGCAGACCTCTACAAATCTATTTCCACACTGGAACAACAACATAAAAGGACCCACTTGATGGAGACGTACGGGGAACTTATGCAGGCCAGACGACAACTGAAAGATCTCCTCACAAAACGCTACCTTAGATCCATACAACACTCCAAGGGGTTCTTCTATGCTCATGCCAACAAAGGTGGAAGATACCTAGCGCGCCTTCTAAAAGGTAACGCCCCACGGACACAAGTCCGCAAACTACACCTCTCGTCGGGCATCGAGTCGACCTTTCCGAACAAGATAGCGGAAGAATTTAAGAAATATATTACCAATTGTTATACAATCTACATGTGACGGACGGACGAACTGACCCGGACACAGAACGGATACAGAGGCAGGAATACCTGGAGGTCGCCATCGAGAAGACGATCGGAGCAGAGGCAATGGACACCCCCATTACTACAGAGGAACTCCTGGCAGCCCTGAAATCGACCAAAATGGGCAAAGCATCTGGCCCCGATGGCTTCTCCACAGGGTACTACAAAACCTTTTCCTCCACACTGATGCCGTGGCTCACGAAAGCTCTTAATATGGTAGCTGAAGGGGGAACTTCGGGGCAGAATCACTAGCGGCCATCATAACTGTCCTACCGAAACCTGGAAAGGACCCAATGATATGTGGTAGCTACTGCCCAATCTCACTTCTGAACGTGGATACCAAGTTGTTCACCAAGGTACTGGTTACCAGTCCGCCCTGCCGGCCCTAATACACCCAGACCAAACAGGATTCATACCTGGTCTGGAGGCACGAGACAGTACCCCACAGCTATTCGCGATACAACAAAGAGGGCGGTGGGCACGACACCAGCTTCTCCTACTCTCCACGGATGCCGAAAAGGCATTCGACCGGGTGAAATGGCCATACGTGATGGACACTCTCAGTAGAATGGGTACGGGTCACAAGCTACTCACATGGATTCGAGCGCTTTATAGCAACCCATGAGCCGCAGTGCGGGTGAATGGGGCACTCACCTCACTGACTTTTGAAATCTCCAATGGCACGAGGCAGGGTTGCCCGCTGTCCCCGCTGCTTTTTGCCGTATCCCTGGAGCCTCTCCTCCAAACTATCAGACAACATCCTGATGTTCAGGGATACCCATGGCAAGGAGTGGAACATACGCGGATGATCTCTTATTTTTCATCACATCGTCCCGAACCACGATGTCTTGCCTACTAGAGGCACTTAGACAATTTGGCAAGATATTGGGTTTTAAACTTAACCTGTCCAAACGTGAGGTGCTCAACATCACCATCCCAACTGAAGAATTCTCTGCTCTGGAACCACTATTTCCTTTCCGATGGTGCTCCCGAAAAATGAAATACCTTGGGATCTGGGTAACAACGGACCCGGGAGATCTCTACGCACAAAACTTCACCCCACTACTAAAGACAATATTGGCGGACCTAGAAAGGTGGACATACCCACATATCTCCTGGCACGGAAGGATAGCAGTCCTCAAAATGAACATTTTACCTAGTTTTCTATATCCGTTCCAGACACTCCCACTGGCTATACCCACAAACTTCTCCACTGGCTATACCCGCAAACTTCTTCTCCACGCTAAAGTCGGCGGTCATCCGCTACGTTTGGAGGGGGGTGAGGCACGATCTACTCTGCCTACCACGACAAAGGGGAGGACTAGCATTGCCAGATTTCAAATGATATCATCACGCTACGGTCCTCCAGCGTATCCTGGAATGGCACGCGAACACACAACACAAACAGTGGGTAGCCCTAACCAGAGAAGGACAGGAGGCACAACTAAAAGCCGCCATATGAGGGGGCACCAAGAATGGTGGTTGGTGGAGGGAATAGTGGCACAGATGCTAAGCAGCTGGAGACTCATGAGAGACCAACCACATATCTCACCCACAGCTCTGCTCTCCATCACCCATAATGAAGCGATAGGAGGGGGGATCCCACCGAAAGCATGGCCTTTCGCGGATGGATGTGAATACGTCCCCATCTCCACTATCCTACGGAATGGCAACATACAGACACTGGACTCCTTACTAGGAGAGACTCCTCGGACGCCCCTAATAATGCTACGCTACATGCAGATAAAACACTTCTGATACCTTACGCAACAAAGACCGACTACACAGGGACCTCACCTGGTTCGAGGTGAGAGGGGCTCCTCAATGGAAAAAACGATCTCCACCCTATACCAACACCTTTTGGTTGGACACCTGATGGAGAACACCTTCCGTAGACAGTAGGAGGTAATGTTGGACACCACCTTCACACCCCGCCAATGGGAAGGTGCACTAATCTGGCAGCACAAAAGTTCCATTAGCTCACTTAACAAGAAATGAATTACAAACTAATCGCACTCTGGTACAGAACCCCGACATTACTCCACAGAATCTACCCGACAAACACGCGGAAATGTGGCAGCCATGGTACGCATTTATATCGCGAAGCCGGTAGGGTGGAATGGGAGGAGGCGGGGGGGGACCCGCGAGGGGGGGACACCTGGCCCGAGGAGCATGACCACTCTCTTTTGTTTTCCCCTGACCCACCCGCTCTATAACACTCAATTGGGATTTTGCACCCATAGATAGACCAGATAACAGCTACATCATGCACACCTCACACAACTTACACCCGTGCCTCACGGGCAAACATCAGCTCACAATGGACAGAGGTATCATAGCTTCCTAAATAATGTCAAGAATAATATAAAGAAATCCGTCCCCTCCCCTCCCCCCTCCCCCAAAAAATGATTGGTAAGAGTTTGATGAAAGTGTCAAGAAAATGTGCTGAATCCAAAAGAAAAAAAAAATTGAATTCCATATAGTGTCCCTTCAATATGAATATCTTATTAGTAACCGTAGCAGGGTTTTTTTGTTTTTTTTTGAGTGTGTGTGTTTTTTTTTTTTTTTTACCTGCTTTACATTTTTTTAAAAAAATTTTTTTTCACTTTCAGGGCATTCGACACATTGGCAAAAGCACTTAATACAGTAGATGGCACTGCAGGGCACAATCTGGAGGATGGGGTTGATCCAACAGCAGGAGGGAACATCCACATCATTAGCCGGGATCTGGCTACGCCTATTCTGGAAGTGGAAGGACCCCTGTTGTCAGACACGCATGTCACATTTAAGGTGGGTTTTTCTGCTTTAGAAACAAACTCATGCTCCAATGTACACACATACAGAGACACATACATACATACATACATACATACATACATACATACATACATACATACATACATACACACCCATACACACAGACACATGTTACAGCTGCGACCCCTGTAACTGTGGTATGTATGCCAGTGTATGAAAGTAATGAAAGAAACATTTAAAAAAATAAATAAATAAATATATATATATATATATATATATATATATATATATATATATATATATATATATATATAATGTGCTCTGAATTTAATACGTAATGGATAGTATATGAAAGGGCAAAGTTGGTTGTGGTGTGCCGAAACAAACGTACAAGTGGGCCTGTAAATAAGAGGGCCCACCAAGGAGAATGTAATGATAACAGGGTGTAGGTGGGTTGGGACAATCAACTGAACCGGCAGAGGTGAGTAGGTGCTGGGAGTTTAAGTAGGGGACTTACTCCTCCCACAAATTCAGACCTAATGGCCTTTCTACTTGTGCTCGGAATTTAATACGTAATGGATAGTATATGAAAGGGCAAAGTTGGTTGTGGTGTGCCGAAACCAATGTACGAGTGGGCCTGTAAATAAAAGAGGGCAAAAGAGAAGTTCGAGAAAATAAACACTTTATTGCCTTTTTTTACATAAAGAAAGTTCCTGAAAGCTTGACGAAGCTCTTTCTCTGGACGTGGTATATATGTATGATATATGGAGGATTTCCAACGACCCAGTCTCTTGATGATGTGGACCGGGGTGTTTGTGCTAGAAGCTGATGAAGCAGCTCCTATGCGGAATGAGTGCCTGGAAAATGAAGCCGGATTGTAACCCAGTTTGAATAGTAGTGTTCTGACGTGTGCCGTGAATTTAGCTGTGGTGAGCGGGTGCCCTTGTAGTGATAAGAGCGGAGAGTCTAGTAAGTGCACGTGACGGGTTGACCTTAGGTGATCTAGCACCTTGACCGGACACCAGGCATTATCGGTAGGGAAAAGAGGAATTATGGTGGGGTGTTGAGTGTGATTAGTTTTAGTTGATGGGATCGTAAGTAGGTAGTGATCCTCCACCTTAGTGAGGTGTGATGTTTTTAGGCTGTGCCTGATATCTCCTTGACCAACAACGGTGAACTCTCTGGGTCTGAGAAAACCGTAGAAAGCAAGATAAATAGTGGATTTAATTACCAGGTTTGTGTTGGTATTGAACGGGGATTCGTCAAGGAGATTGCTAAGTGATCTAAACATAGGCCCATCTATAGGTAGTCTTGTGGTGGTGAGTGGAACTGAAACCTTTAATATACCTTTCAAGACCTTTTTAATGGGATATAATGACAAGAAAGGGGTGTTAGGAAAATTGGTGAGACTATGGTGCTGAACCCCGGTGAGGTAAAGTTTAATGGTGTTGTGAGAAAGTTTAAGATGTAAATGGCAGAGGCAAAAGCCACCATAGTTTGTGTAGAGAAGTCGCCTTGTAAACCGAATTCTGCAGTGAATTTGTTAAAAATGGTAAGTGCCCTATTGTATGAGATAGCTGTGTTGGGTGATAGTGCTTGGTGAGTGAGAGTCCTAGCGTGGTGCATAAGTGTGCTTAATCCAGGATTAGTGTTTGAAATTGTGGTGTCCTGGATGGCTGGTGGTGAGCCGTAGGGAGTGCCTGGAAGAATACCTGGAATTGAGAGCGTCCGTGTTGTGGGTGCCCGGGATGTGAAAACAAACTATATGGAACTGGACGGTTGCTGCCAGCCAGGTCAGCTTTCGAATCAGCCGCATGATGGTAAGGGACGATGAGCGCCCCTTGTTTATGATTTCGCAAGCCGCCGAGTTATCAGAATAGCATTTTACTGCCTTGCCGGACCAGAGATGACCCCAGGTGTGTGCGGCCGCCACGATGGGATAAATTTCGAATAGGGTTGAGGTCTCCCTGAATCCTGGCAAGGCATCCGTCTCAGCGGGCCAGTGACCCCTTAACCAGTGGTCCCCGAAGATGGCTGCGAAACCAGAGTTGGCTGCAGCGTCTGTGTGGATGATGGGTGAACAAGTGGAGAGAGGGGGGATAAACAAGGAGATACCGTTCCAATCTGCCAAAAACTTCCCCCACATAGCTAAGTCGGCCTTTGCGTGGGGGTCCAAAGAAACTGGGCAAGAGTCCGGTACCCCGTGGAGCAGGCAAATAAGCTTGGATATAAAAGACCTTCCCTGCGGGATGAAGCGCATGGCGAAGTTAAGGGATCCCAGAATGGACTGAAGTTCCCTTCTGGTGCAAACATCATTCAGCAGGAACATGTCTATCTCCCCTTTCAAGCGGATCAGTTTGTCGTGCGGAAGGCTAGCACGGAGGGTAACAGAGTCAAGCTCTATCCCCAAAAAGGTTAATTTAGTTGTGGGGCCGATTGTTTTTGATGGAGACAATGGTACACCAAGTGTGGAAAAAGTGCTGTAGTATTGCTGATAGCGGTGGGTGTTTGTGCCTCTGGCTCTCAGTAAGAAGTCGTCTAAGTAATGGATAACAGAGTGACACCTGAGGACGTTCAGAAGCAGCCAGCATAGCGTCTCAGCGAAGATATCGAACAGTTTGGGGCTGCTTCTATAACCGAAAGTGAGTCGAGTGGAGAAATAGTACTTGTCTCGCCATTTAACACCGTGTAAGTGCCAGAGTGAGGGGTGCATGGGTAGTAATTTGAAAGCATTTGTGATGTCTGTTTTGCTGAGCCAGGGGCGACTACCAGATGAGATAATGGATTGTATGGCGTCGTCAATTGTTACATACTGAAGTGAGAATTCGTCTGCAGGTATGAGTGCGTTTATTCTGGGAACAAAAGAGGAGTGCGGTGCAGATAAATCAATAATTAGATGTTTTTTATTACAATATTTGTGTATTGCGACACCAATGGGGTTAGTGCGCCAGGAGGAAAACGGTGAGGAGGTGAAGGGGCCGATCATGAAACCGTTGGTAATTTTGGAGGAAAGGAGAGTGTCTGTGGAAATTGGATCTTGGCATGCTGACAATAAATTGGGACATTCCAGTGTGCCCGTGGGGATGGCTACAATATCCATAAAAAACCCCTGTGTGAATCCAGTGGTCAGATATTCCACCAAATGCCTGCTAGGGTGTGTCCTTAGGTAAAAAAACTGTTTGTTGACATGTCGGTGTCGATGTCGGTTAGTCATTTGTTAGGGGACAACCTGGCCAGGCACATGGTCTTGGTATGGGCCCTGAAGCATATAGAACAGATGTGCAACAATCTACAGGCGCTGAAACTGCAGGAACCTGCGTTGAAATTATTGCACACCTGGGCTTTACCTAGGAAGGAGATGGGCCTACTTAGCTTATCACGTAGACCGCCCGCTAATTTGTTGTGAGGGGTGAAAGTGGGATTAAGTTTGGGAGTGGAGGTGGTGGGATAGGCTTCTGAAGGACATAAGTCTGCCGTATGAGATGTGGAGCCTGAGACCAGCGAAGTGGCGACAGAATAGTTCTGTGTCCATCTGACACCAGTTAATTCTGACATTGAACTGTTTCAGATGGGTCGCCGCCTTCGCTGATACCTACTTATGATAGTTGTAAAAAGAGGAGCCCCCGTACTTGATGCCTAAATCCACCACCTCGTGGAGGTAGAGGTCTAGCTCTTCTCTTCTGTGGGGATACACCGTGCAGATGACATCACGGTATATCCCAAAGGCAATCACGAACTGAGGTTTGGTTAGTTTTTTGTTGAGTCTGGGGTCTCTAGTATTAAGCACCACTGAGATGTCCCCGTAATTGTATGCCCTGTTCTCCAGTATGTCTTGGGATGCTATAAGCAGAGACACCAGACACACGTCCTTCCCATCTAGGATTTCTTTCCTGATGGAGTCTGGGACGGAGTGAGCTGGTGACTCGAAAGGAGAAATAGCTGTGGCTGGTGCTGGAGGAGGGAGTATGGGGGGGCATGGTGGTACAGCAGGGACTGCTGGGGTATTACCTGGGGAGGCGATGGCACTCTCCACCTTAGAAAGCCTGTTGTTTAAAGTCTGTAAGTTGGCCAAAATTGCTGCTAGGGTATCCTGGGTGGACGTGTCAGCGCTTGGTGGCTGTCCTTGAGAGCTAGTACCTGGCCTAGGTTCAGGGGCTTGGTAGGTGAGCAGTCTGTAGAGTTCCGCCTTTCTAGCTGTAGCTGGAAAGGGGATTCCCCTGAGCTTAAGTTCGGCCGTAATTTTAGGGATAGTCCATGCTCTCAAGGACGTGGGAGTTGAGGGGGTGAGAGATTCGCATGGAGACTCTGGTCTGATGGGCATAAACGGGATCTCCTCTGGCAACTCTTCGATGGGGGCTGGTTCTTGAGACATTCTAAAAATGATTCAGTGAATGAGATATTAGAAGGTGAGTAGGGGAACCGGGAGGGATATGAGGGGGGTATTTTATGAACTGGCCTGTAATGCTAATCGCGAAGCAAAAAACGTAACTGTGAATTATTGATAGGTGAGGCCCTGCTAATGCCAAGTAGCGGTGAGAGGCTCTACCTATGATTTGGCTTAGAGAAATCGTGGCCACAGACGTGGTGGCGGGGTGTTGGCCTCTCGGTGACTGTAAAGAGATTCAATACGTGTGGCCGTGACAGGTGAGGCCCTGACTACAGCCCTGTAGTAGGGCGGGCGAGGCATATAACTATGATTTGGGCGTGGGGCCGTACCTCCGTGTTGAGGTGGGAGATGGCCTCGCTGGACGGGATTTTTTACTAGGGTGAGCTAGGGCGGTAGCCAAACCCTGCAAGCCAGTTCACTTGTATACTAAAGGTTGAATGGTAATTCTGGTGTAATGTGTGGATACTAACCTTGAAGGGTTTATAATAGAGAGCTGGAACCTTTGAATGTTTATATGTAGCGAGTCTTTGCTGCTGCTGTCCTCGTACAAGAAGCCTAAGGATTAAGACAGATGTTGATGTATTTATGCGTAACGTGGTGGCGTATGATTTGTGGTAGTGAATGCCGTAACGAATAAGGACGTAAGTACCTGGTAGTGTGGCTGAGTACCGGGTTAGGTAGGTTGGTAATTTCTTGCCTTATGGCAGTATGACCGTATTCCTGGTTAAGAAAAAAGGAGAGAATTTAACACACGAAGGACGTAGGACCTAGAGTAAGTCGTAATGAATCGAGACCGCATTAGGTCTTGTATGAAAAAGTCCTGTAATGAGTAGAGAAATATACCTTGATTTGTTATACGGGTACTAGAATGAGCGTAACTGGTGTTCCTTCGTAGAAACCGGTGGAGGCCTAGAAAAATTCTGGAGCTATGGATTAAACCCATTAAATATTTAATAATGTGTGAATGCTGTGATAGTAAGTTATAAATAACCAATTTCACTGTGATAAGTTTAGAGTGCATGCAGTATTGAGGCATGGACATGATTGAAAGCATGATGAGTAAATACTATACCTGGGTTTGTAAATACAAGACCTTGAATTTGCTAACTTTAAGCAGAAAATAAGAGAAACCAAGGCAATCTGTGGAGCCAAAGAAATGTGACAGGGGCAGGATTAATGACGGCGTAACTTTAATTTACTACATTTTCTCCTTAAAATAAAATTTTAGGGGTTTTTACCAGTGTTACCCTAGGAGATCATGTAATAATATATGTATGTTGTGTTTCAACAGGGTTGTTGTGGAATTTATAGAATTCTGCTCTTTTGTTTGGTGTCAGGAGGAATTTATTTTATTAGATAAAGGAACGTAAAACATAGATTACTAACCACATGGGTGTAGAAAAAAGAACTGATTATTAAGATACAGTGGCTATGGTTTTAATATTTTAGACATAGTTAACCGGAAACACAGTTTAGGTGATAAATGGTTGTAGTTTTTTTACATGTATTTAATAACTCCTACTGACAGGTAGTACAAACAGTTAAATAACCGAACAGACAGTATGAGTAATCATATGAATTCGTGTGCACGAAATGTTTGTATTATACTGAAAGGGGATTGGTAGTTTTAGCCGAATGGGGGACCTGCTTAGGTTAAGTATAATGTGTGTTCGTTTACTCCCGCGCGATAGCATGAATTAGGAAAGTTAGCGAGGGGTGAACAGGTTTACACAATTCGCTTAAAATGCCGAACGGGTAAGTAATAAGTACATAGGTTCGTGCGTATGACCGAACGGAAAACAGAATTGGAAAGATTAGCTTTAGAGTTATGTTCGTACGTAGTTCGGCATTTTAGAACGTGCGAAAGCCCCCATGAAACGTAAGTATAGCGTCTAGTTTAGTGGTGCGAACGCGGAAATTCACGAATAGGTAAGTATACGAAAATTGATAATGTGATAGTAAAAGGGAGCCTACCCCTACGTTTTTAGGCCCGAACGGAGGGAAATAGCCGAACGTTATTTCCCTCACAAGCTTACGTGAGCGTGCCGGTCTCGTGACCGGAAGCAAAGTACCGCGGCTGGGAAGAAGGCTGGTGGCAGGGCTGCAGGACGGACGGAAGATTCCACTGGACACCTCTTACTGCAGGAGACTGGAGCCGTTTGGCGGGAAGCTCGGACCGGAAGTACTGTTTGCTATGGAGATAGACAATCAACTGAACCGGCAGAGGTGAGTAGGGGCTGGGAGTTTAAGTAGGGGACTTACTCCTCCCACAAATTCATGCCTAATGGCCTTTCTACATATATATATATATATATATATATATATATATATATATATATATATATATATATATATATATATATATATATATATATATAAAAATAAAAATGGTAGGTAACAGCACTCTAAGGACTTCAAAAAGTAAATGGTGAAAAAAACTTAGCTTTTATTCAGCAACTGCCACACACAATCGACGTTTCAGTTCTTAATACAGAACTTTCATCAGGATAAGGTGCATTACACAAACCAACATTAATATATAAAAACAAATAAGTACATAACATGCAAAACAGGTGTAGCTTACCCCAATCCCTGTGTGGTCCCCATGGTGATTGCCAAAAAAAGCGGGTAAAATTAACCCCTGGAAATGTATTCAGCAGCTGGGATGTGCTGCTGTGTAACCTCATAATGCTGGCAATAGCTGGAGCCAAAGGCTGTCTGTATTACCATATCGTTATGGTAACCAAACTGCTCGTGTGGAGGTGGGCGGGGCGGAGCATCAGGTGGGCGTGGCTATGGTCCGATCTGTAGAGTGTACTCAGTGCACAGAGGGCGGGTGTCTGGTATGGGGGAGGGATCCTCTCTCTGCATACTTGTGATGCCTCACTGGTTTAAAGGATAGATGGCAGAGGGATAATCTGCTAACAGGGGTAGAGAGCACAGACATAAAGGACACTACATTGTGACTTCCATGTCAAAAACATGGCAAAGAAGTAGGTCTAAAACAAAGCTATTGTGTGACCATAGAGGGCTGGGAAAGTGACCTATATAGAATACCTCTAGGTTAACTTGCAAATAGCAGGGTCTGAGGCTGGATATAGAGTGGAATCAGGGCTATATTACAGATGCTGACTACATGTATGTAGTGTAGCATAGCAGGAGCTAGATGTCATAATGTCTGATATTGAATGAATAAATAGACAAGGAGTAAACAATAAGCCCTTGAATAGATACAAAGGGCACGCTGGGTTTATTATTCCCAGGGTAGCTGTATAATAAGTCAGCCCTTATGGCATAATCATACATGGATAATGTTATATCCAAGGTTAGTACTTCAACCATGGATAGAGCATGACCCATAAATGTGTTAAATAATAATACACTGTCATAAAAAGAGTAGTGGTGATTCTAAAGTTCCTGCGGGGACGTGTGTCTAGACAGACCATTGTCATTTATATATGCAAGGAATACATATAATGTCGGTGCTGTCCAATGGTAATGTGTCAAACTTTAGTGCGCTCATCGGTCCACAGTATAATACGCATACATAAAGAACATACAGGCTATAAACTAATATACAGAGGTGGTTAATTCTTAGAGTCCAATATATATACACAAAAACATTTTTGGAGCATTAAAATGAGAGAATATTTTTGGTCCAGTCCTGGAGATATATCATAAGAATATACCTAGAGTATATTTTTCGTTTAGTCCTCTGGGTTGCACAGTATCCAGTGTTCGGATCCAATAAAGTTCTCTTTGTAGTAGGAGCTTCTTACGGTCGCCACCTCTTAGGGGTGGTGGGATGTGATCAATAGCCAGAAACTTCATTGCTGGTAAGGGGTGATTTTTCTCCAAAAAATGTTTCGCCACCGGCTGTTCTGACCCATTGTCTCTATAGGCTGTACGTATACTTGAACGGTGGTTGCGAATTCTCTCTCGTAGTGGTAGATCAGTTTTCCCCACATACATCAAACCGCAAGGACACCCCAATTTGTATACCACAAAGTCACTTGTGCAAGTTAGTCTATGTTTTATGGGGTATTTTTTTCCAGTGTGTGGATGTACAAATGATTTACTGGGGATCATGTGGCTGCATGTCACGCAGCCCAAACATCTGTGACACCCCAGGTTCTGGTAGGTAGTAGGTTTGCTATAACAATGTATGGGGTCAGTTTTAACCAGTAGGTCCCTCAAATTGCTGCCCCTACGGTAACACATCATTGGGCGCTGTTTAAATTGAGGTGGTAAACTGGTATCATTCTGTAGAATTCGCCAATTACGGTCCACTGATTGTTTTATCTCGTCAGATATGGTGGTATATGTTATTGGGAATATCAATCTTTCAGTTGGTGCTGTTGTTACTGTATTCTGTGTCGGTGTTTCATAACATCTGTCCAATGCCTTAGATAGATCCACGGGCTTGTAACCCCGTGCAAGAAATTTTTCCCACATATCTTGTAGTTGGAGTTGGGTATTTGCCACATTGGAGTTATTACGTATTACTCTCATAAATTGTGACTGTGGAAGTGACTTAATGAGATGTTTCGGATGGTAACTTTCAGCATGCAGGAGAGTGTTCCTGTCCGTGGGTTTGTTAAATAGAGTATAGGCTATTGTGCCCTCTTCTTTATACAAACGAACATCCAAGAAGTCAATCTGCTTGTCATTGGTTGTCATTGTGAGGCGGACTGGTGTATCCAGATTGTTGATGGTATTCAACATTTGATTTGGTGTTGGTCCCCCATTTTTCCAAATGATAATGATATCGTCGATGAATCGGCGGTAAAGCAGTATATTATCCATGAAGGGTGTAAGTATATGTTCTTTTTCAAATGCATACATATAGCTATTAGCGTACATTGGCGCCATAGCCGCCCCCATCGAGGTTCCTGCGATTTGTTTGTACCAGGTATGCTCAAATCTAAAATAATTAAGACTGAGTACAAGGTGTAGTAATTCTAGTACATACTCGACAGGTGGTCCCGTGTATGATGTTGAAGATGTCAGGATAGTCCGCATAGCATTGATGCCCATGTCATGTGGGATAATAGTATACAAGCTTTTAACGTCACACGTTATAAAAGTAAACTCAGATTCTTGTCCAGTAAACTGTTGTAATAATTTAAGAAGACTTGGGGTGTCTTTGATACAAGTGGGCAACTCCTCAACGGGTTTCTTGAACAGGTAGTCTAGCCATTTGGCTATTGGTTCAAGGGCCCCTCCTATTGCTGAAACAATGGGTCTTCCTGGTGGTGATATGGGATCTTTATGTATCTTAGGTAATGTGTATATTACTGGTGTTCTCGGATTTTTTTGTAGTAAAAAATCAAAAAGCTCCTGGGTGATGTAGGTTGCCTCCAGTCCTCTTTGGAGGGTCTGTTGGATAGTTTGCATTATAGTTATAGTAGGGTCTGCAGTGAGTCTTGAGTACGTAGTCAGATCTCCCAATTGTGTGAGAATCTCCTGTCTGTAATCCGTATAGTTCAGAAGCACTATACCCCCACCTTTGTCAGCTGGTCGAATGATCAGACTTGGGTCCTTGGCTAGCGAAGTTATTATATTTCTTTCTTCTTTAGTAATATTAGTTTTATGTTTTGTTCGTTGATTAAGGTGCAGTTGGGTTTCATAATTTAAAGATTTTAGAAATGTCTTTATTGTGGACTGATTGGGTAGGGGATCCCACGTACTCTTAACTTTGAACATCTTGCTCGATGGTTCTTGTGTACTCTGTGATTTAAAGAAATCTTTCAATCTTAAGTTTCTCCCAAACTTATATATTTCCACCTCCTGAGTAAGTGGATTGGGGTATGTAGTTGGTACAAAAGAGAGGCCTCTCATCAGTAATTTGTTTTCTGCGTTGGTAAGTTGCCGTGTTGATAGGTTGAAAATTGGTACTATCTCCGGCGTGGTGGTCTGCCTCTTGGCCCAGTAAATCCTACCCTTCTGTCCTCTTCTTGTGATATATCGCTTTCTTCGATATCTTGTCTGGCGCGTTGTCTCGTAGTAGTGCCTGTTGCTGTATTGCCTTTCTCTAAAAAAAGGTTTGTTTGTTGTACGTTCTGGGTTCTTGGTTGGGAGTCTGAGTCTGAGGTGGAATCCGCTGAGGTTTTATCTATTGTATATTGCCTTGGTCTCCTAATGGGTCTCCTGTTCCTTGTGAAGCGTGGGGCCTCGTTCTGGCCACTCAACCACCTATATACCCTGTGTTCCGTGTAGTCACTCTTGACTTTTTCTTGTTTTTCACGCTTGAATCTAATCAGGTCGGTCTTATATTCTTTAACATTTTGTTCAAGTTTCAACAGGGTAGGGGCTGCTTCTTCTGAGGTTAATAATAAAGCCTCTTTTGCCTCAAGTAGTGTAATACGTTGTCTAATTTTAATAAGATCTTCCTTTACGTCTTCTATGATAATAAGAATCAGGTCTAGGGAACATTTATTTAGTACTGCAATCCATTTCTTGCAGACTTTTGGTTTTGTTCGCCCTATTGTGGGGATGTTCTTAATCCTAAACCCCCTTGGTATTTGTAGTCTCCTGTGGTAATCCGATAGGAACAGTCCGTGCAAATCCAAGTCGGTTTCTTTCTTTTTTAACCGTATCAGTTCCAAGTAGATTTCTTTGAGGGTAGTAGTCTGGGGGAGATCTGTGGTCAGTTCATCCCACCTAATCCATTCTGCGTCTTCCTCAGTATATTGTAAGGTTTCTGCCTGTTCCAGTAAGCCGCCTGCTTGTGCAAAAAACTCTTCCATAGAGATTAAGCACCCGTGTGTATGTAATGTACAAAAAAATTTTGGGGGTATATATCTATTACTGGTGTATACCAGTTCTGGTTGCACTCTTGCTAGAAAAAATTCTGCAAGATGCCCTTAGTAAAAAATGAGTGGCAGCACTGAAATAGTTAAAAATAAGCTTCAATAGTACAAATAATATAATAGTACAAAAAGGTACAAATAAGCAATAACCAGCCCCAATATTGTTTGACTGAGGAGCTATATTGCATGTACATCAAAATTAACACGGGTGCATAATTGGTCCTTTGCCATTCAGACCGAAAATACAAAATATTCAAATACTTGCACTCCTGTAGAGATAGATTAATGCCTGGTGCTAATAAAGCAAATAACATAAAAATAAAAATGGTAGGTAACAGCACTCTAAGGACTTCAAAAAGTAAATGGTGAAAAAAACTTAGCTTTTATTCAGCAACTGCCACACACAATCGACGTTTCAGTTCTTAATACAGAACTTTCATCAGGATAAGGTGCATTACACAAACCAACATTAATATATAAAAACAAATAAGTACATAACATGCAAAACAGGTGTAGCTTACCCCAATCCCTGTGTGGTCCCCATGGTGATTGCCAAAAAACGCGGGTAAAATTAACCCCTGGAAATGTATTCAGCAGCTGGGATGTGCTGCTGTGTAACCTCATAATGCTGGCAATAGCTGGAGCCGAAAGGCTGTCTGTATTACCATATCGTTATGGTAACCAAACTGCTCGTGTGGAGGTGGGCGGGGCGGAGCATCAGGTGGGCGTGGCTATGGTCCGATCTGTAGAGTGTACTCAGTGCACAGAGGGCGGGTGTCTGGTATGGGGGAGGGATCCTCTCTCTGCATACTTGTGATGCCTCACTGGTTTAAAGGATAGATGGCAGAGGGATAATCTGCTAACAGGGGTAGAGAGCACAGACATAAAGGACACTACATTGTGACTTCCATGTCAAAAACATGGCAAAGAAGTAGGTCTAAAACAAAGCTATTGTGTGACCATAGAGGGCTGGAAAAGTGACCTATATAGAATACCTCTAGGTTAACTTGCAAATAGCAGGGTCTGAGGCTGGATATAGAGTGGAATCAGGGCTATATTACAGATGCTGACTACATGTATGTAGTGTAGCATAGCAGGAGCTAGATGTCATAATGTCTGATATTGAATGAATAAATAGACAAGGAGTAAACAATAAGCCCTTGAATAGATACAAAGGGCACGCTGGGTTTATTATTCCCAGGGTAGCTGTATAATAAGTCAGCCCTTATGGCATAATCATACATGGATAATGTTATATCCAAGGTTAGTACTTCAACCATGGATAGAGCATGACCCATAAATGTGTTAACAATGTCACAATGTAGTGTCCTTTATGTCTGTGCTCTCTACCCCTGTTAGCAGATTATCCCTCTGCCATCTATCCTTTAAACCAGTGAGGCATCACAAGTATGCAGAGAGAGGATCCCTCCCCCATACCAGACACCCGCCCTCTGTGCACTGAGTACACTCTACAGATCGGACCATAGCCACGCCCACCTGATGCTCCGCCCCGCCCACCTCCACACGAGCAGTTTGGTTACCATAACGATATGGTAATACAGACAGCCTTTGGCTCCAGCTATTGCCAGCATTATGAGGTTACACAGCAGCACATCCCAGCTGCTGAATACATTTCCAGGGGTTAATTTTACCCGCGTTTTTTGGCAATCACCATGGGGACCACACAGGGATTGGGGTAAGCTACACCTGTTTTGCATGTTATGTACTTATTTGTTTTTATATATTAATGTTGGTTTGTGTAATGCACCTTATCCTGATGAAAGTTCTGTATTAAGAACTGAAACGTCGATTTTGTGTGGCAGTTGCTGAATAAAAGCTAAGTTTTTTTCACCATTTACTTTTTGAAGTCCTTAGAGTGCTGTTACCTACCATTTTTATTTTTATGTTATTTGCTTTATTAGCACCAGGCATTAATCTATCTCTACAGGAGTGCAAGTATTTGAATATTTTGTATTTTCGGTCTGAATGGCAAAGGACCAATTATGCACCCGTGTTAATTTTGATGTACATGCAATATAGCTCCTCAGTCAAACAATATTGGGGCTGGTTATTGCTTATTTGTACCTTTTTGTACTATTATATTATTTGTACTATTGAAGCTTATTTTTAACTATTTCAGTGCTGCCACTCATTTTTTACTAAGGGCATCTTGCAGAATTTTTTCTAGCAAGAGTGCAACCAGAACTGGTATACACCAGTAATAGATATATACCCCCAAAATTTTTTTGTACATTACATACACACGGGTGCTTAATCTCTATGGAAGAGTTTTTTGCACAAGCAGGCGGCTTACTGGAACAGGCAGAAACCTTACAATATACTGAGGAAGACGCAGAACGGATTAGGTGGGATGAACTGACCACAGATCTCCCCCAGACTACTACCCTCAAAGAAATCTACTTGGAACTGATACGGTTAAAAAAGAAAGAAACCGACTTGGATTTGCACGGACTGTTCCTATCGGATTACCACAGGAGACTACAAATACCAAGGGGGTTTAGGATTAAGAACATCCCCACAATAGGGCGAACAAAACCAAAAGTCTGCAAGAAATGGATTGCAGTACTAAATAAATGTTCCCTAGACCTGATTCTTATTATCATAGAAGACGTAAAGGAAGATCTTATTAAAATTAGACAACGTATTACACTACTTGAGGCAAAAGAGGCTTTATTATTAACCTCAGAAGAAGCAGCCCCTACCCTGTTGAAACTTGAACAAAATGTTAAAGAATATAAGACCGACCTGATTAGATTCAAGCGTGAAAAACAAGAAAAAGTCAAGAGTGACTACACGGAACACAGGGTATATAGGTGGTTGAGTGGCCAGAACGAGGCCCCACGCTTCACAAGGAACAGGAGACCCATTAGGAGACCAAGGCAATATACAATAGATAAAACCTCAGCGGATTCCACCTCAGACTCAGACTCCCAACCAAGAACCCAGAACGTACAACAAACAAACCTTTTTTTAGAGAAAGGCAATACAGCAACAGGCACTACTACGAGACAACGCGCCAGACAAGATATCGAAGAAAGCGATATATCACAAGAAGAGGACAGAAGGGTAGGATTTACTGGGCCAAGAGGCAGACCACCACGCCGGAGATAGTACCAATTTTCAACCTATCAACACGGCAACTTACCAACGCAGAAAACAAATTACTGATGAGAGGCCTCTTTTTTGTACCAACTACATACCCCAATCCACTTACTCAGGAGGTGGAAATATATAAGTTTGGGAGAAACTTAAGATTGAAAGATTTCTTTAAATCACAGAGTACACAAGAACCATCGAGCAAGATGTTCAAAGTTAAGAGTACGTGGGATCCCCTACCCAATCAGTCCACAATAAAGACATTTCTAAAATCTTTAAATTATGAAACCCAACTGCACCTTAATCAACGAACAAAACATAAAACTAATATTACTAAAGAAGAAAGAAATATAATAACTTCGCTAGCCAAGGACCCAAGTCTGATCATTCGACCAGCTGACAAAGGTGGGGGTATAGTGCTTCTGAACTATACGGATTACAGACAGGAGATTCTCACACAATTGGGAGATCTGACTACGTACTCAAGACTCACTGCAGACCCTACTATAACTATAATGCAAACTATCCAACAGACCCTCCAAAGAGGACTGGAGGCAACCTACATCACCCAGGAGCTTTTTGATTTTTTACTACAAAAAAATCCGAGAACACCAGTAATATACACATTACCTAAGATACATAAAGATCCCATATCACCACCAGGAAGACCCATTGTTTCAGCAATAGGAGGGGCCCTTGAACCAATAGCCAAATGGCTAGACTACCTGTTCAAGAAACCCGTTGAGGAGTTGCCCACTTGTATCAAAGACACCCCAAGTCTTCTTAAATTATTACAACAGTTTACTGGACAAGAATCTGAGTTTACTTTTATAACGTGTGACGTTAAAAGCTTGTATACTATTATCCCACATGACATGGGCATCAATGCTATGCGGACTATCCTGACATCTTCAACATCATACACGGGACCACCTGTCGAGTATGTACTAGAATTACTACACCTTGTACTCAGTCTTAATTATTTTAGATTTGAGCATACCTGGTACAAACAAATCGCAGGAACCTCGATGGGGGCGGCTATGGCGCCAATGTACGCTAATAGCTATATGTATGCATTTGAAAAAGAACATATACTTACACCCTTCATGGATAATATACTGCTTTACCGCCGATTCATCGACGATATCATTATCATTTGGAAAAATGGGGGACCAACACCAAATCAAATGTTGAATACCATCAACAATCTGGATACACCAGTCCGCCTCACAATGACAACCAATGACAAGCAGATTGACTTCTTGGATGTTCGTTTGTATAAAGAAGAGGGCACAATAGCCTATACTCTATTTAACAAACCCACGGACAGGAACACTCTCCTGCATGCTGAAAGTTACCATCCGAAACATCTCATTAAGTCACTTCCACAGTCACAATTTATGAGAGTAATACGTAATAACTCCAATGTGGCAAATACCCAACTCCAACTACAAGATATGTGGGAAAAATTTCTTGCACGGGGTTACAAGCCCGTGGATCTATCTAAGGCATTGGACAGATGTTATGAAACACCGACACAGAATACAGTAACAACAGCACCAACTGAAAGATTGATATTCCCAATAACATATACCACCATATCTGACGAGATAAAACAATCAGTGGACCGTAATTGGCGAATTCTACAGAATGATACCAGTTTACCACCTCAATTTAAACAGCGCCCAATGATGTGTTACCGTAGGGGCAGCAATTTGAGGGACCTACTGGTTAAAACTGACCCCATACATTGTTATAGCAAACCTACTACCTACCAGAACCTGGGGTGTCACAGATGTTTGGGCTGCGTGACATGCAGCCACATGATCCCCAGTAAATCATTTGTACATCCACACACTGGAAAAAAATACCCCATAAAACATAGACTAACTTGCACAAGTGACTTTGTGGTATACAAATTGGGGTGTCCTTGCGGTTTGATGTATGTGGGGAAAACTGATCTACCACTACGAGAGAGAATTCGCAACCACCGTTCAAGTATACGTACAGCCTATAGAGACAATGGGTCAGAACAGCCGGTGGCGAAACATTTTTTGGAGAAAAATCACCCCTTACCAGCAATGAAGTTTCTGGCTATTGATCACATCCCACCACCCCTAAGAGGTGGCGACCGTAAGAAGCTCCTACTACAAAGAGAACTTTATTGGATCCGAACACTGGATACTGTGCAACCCAGAGGACTAAACGAAAAATATACTCTAGGTATATTCTTATGATATATCTCCAGGACTGGACCAAAAATATTCTCTCATTTTAATGCTCCAAAAATGTTTTTGTGTATATATATTGGACTCTAAGAATTAACCACCTCTGTATATTAGTTTATAGCCTGTATGTTCTTTATGTATGCGTATTATACTGTGGACCGATGAGCGCACTAAAGTTTGACACATTACCATTGGACAGCACCGACATTATATGTATTCCTTGCACATATAAATGACAATGGTCTGTCTAGACACACGTCCCCGCAGGAACTTTAGAATCACCACTACTCTTTTTATGACAGTGTATTATTATTTAACACATTTATGGGTCATGCTCTATCCATGGTTGAAGTACTAACCTTGGATATAACATTATCCATGTATGATTATGCCATAAGGGCTGACTTATTATACAGCTACCCTGGGAATAATAAACCCAGCGTGCCCTTTGTATCTATTCAAGGGCTTATTGTTTACTCCTTGTCTATTTATTCATTCAATATCAGACATTATGACATCTATTTATTCATTCAATATCAGACATTATGACATCTCCTTGTCTATTTATTCATTCAATATCAGACATTATGACATCTAGCTCCTGCTATGCTACACTACATACATGTAGTCAGCATCTGTAATATAGCCCTGATTCCACTCTATATCCAGCCTCAGACCCTGCTATTTGCAAGTTAACCTAGAGGTATTCTATATAGGTCACTTTCCCAGCCCTCTATGGTCACACAATAGCTTTGTTTTAGACCTACTTCTTTGCCATGTTTTTGACATGGAAGTCACAATGTAGTGTCCTTTATGTCTGTGCTCTCTACCCCTGTTAGCAGATTATCCCTCTGCCATCTATCCTTTAAACCAGTGAGGCATCACAAGTATGCAGAGAGAGGATCCCTCCCCCATACCAGACACCCGCCCTCTGTGCACTGAGTACACTCTACAGATCGGACCATAGCCACGCCCACCTGATGCCCGCCCCGCCCACCTCCACACGAGCAGTTTGGTTACCATAACGATATGGTAATACAGACAGCCTTTGGCTCCAGCTATTGCCAGCATTATGAGGTTACACAGCAGCACATCCCAGCTGCTGAATACATTTCCAGGGGTTAATTTTACCCGCGTTTTTTGGCAATCACCATGGGGACCACACAGGGATTGGGGTAAGCTACACCTGTTTTGCATGTTATGTACTTATTTGTTTTTATATATTAATGTTGGTTTGTGTAATGCACCTTATCCTGATGAAAGTTCTGTATTAAGAACTGAAACGTCGATTGTGTGTGGCAGTTGCTGAATAAAAGCTAAGTTTTTTTCACCATTTACTTTTTGAAGTCCTTAGAGTGCTGTTACCTACCATTTTTATTTTTATGTTATTTGCTTTATTAGCACCAGGCATTAATCTATCTCTACAGGAGTGCAAGTATTTGAATATTTTATATATATATATATATATATATATATTATAATTTTTTTTAAAGAGAGCGAGAACAAAAGGTCAGGGTTTGAAGGTAAAAATTTGAATACTCATGTAAGTAACAGAATTACTGAAAGTGTAATAAACACTGTGAATAGTCACCCAGTGGAAAAGGATAACAGTGATGTAGAAATTGAAGCAGATACCCTTAAGCGATTCCACTGAAACTTTCAAGGACTCACAGTGAAATTGAACCGTAGTAGATACCTGGAATAGCTTTCTGGTGATAGCAGTAAAGGCTAACTGTGATCTAGAACAGTTATTTTCTGTAATGACCCTCTAATTAGAACCGTAAACAAATATAATAAAACGTGGAGCTGTTAAAAAGTATTCTTTGCTTGTTTCTTTGTAGCTAACTATGCCAAGCCCAATGCCAGAGTATTTGAATGTGCACTATATCTGTGAATCCGCTTCCCGTCTGCTTTTCCTTTCCATGCACTGGGCCAGGTCTATTCCAGCCTTCCAAGCCCTGGGGTAAGTAGATGCCTTTCCTGCCTGGAAAATACTCCTCAATGTGTCATAAACCGAGCAGCTTGTGACTTCCATTAGTTTTGCTGAATACATCATGGACACCTCAAAAGGTGTATTTTTGTGGCCACATCACTCTAACCATTAAAGGGATACAGTAGTCACCAAAACAACTTAATGAAGCAGTGGTTTCATTTTCAAACAGATGTAACTTAATTAAAAATATATATAAATTTTTTTATCTCCTACTTTGTAAATTGAACTTTAGTCAGATACAGGAGGCTCCTGTAGGGTTTAGGAAGCTATTAGCAGAGCAGGAAATAAGAAATTTTAAATTAAACAGAATTAGAAATAAATAAAGTGTAAACATTAGATGACTCTTTACAGGAAGTGTTTAGGAAGGCTGTGCAAGTCACATGCAGGGAGGTGTGACTAGGGCTGCATAAACAAAGTGATTTAACTCCTAAATAGCAGATGATTAAGCAGTGAGACAGCAGGGGAATGATCTATACACCAAAACTGCCTTATTAAGCATACATTGTTTTTTTGACTATAGTGTCCATTTAAACCCTTAAGGACCAAACTTCTGTAATAAATGGGAATCATGACGTCACACATGTCATGTATCCTTAAGGGGTTAAAGAATCATGGAGTGATGACACGGTATTAACCCGATTCTGACAGCTAAATCTGTATTTCTTCTTTGAGCATGGATCTCTTGTTGGTACTCTGTAATAACACACTTTCATCTCTATCCAGACAGGATTGCAACACAAGCCTTGTCCGTGCCTGTTGGAATGAGCTGTTTACTCTAGGACTTGCGCAGTGTGCACAAGTCATGAGTCTTTCCACTATTTTAGCCGCTGTTGTCAACCATCTACAAAACAACATTCAAGAGGGTAAATTTGTGTCTATTTCATCTCTTATCTTTATTGTCAGTTATACATATTCACTTACAAATAAACATCAACAGAATAGCATTTCACATAATTAAGACATTGGGTGAAAAGAACCTAAATTAATTATTCTTCCGGGTATTTACACTTGCACTTGTATTTCATGCCCCATGTGTGGAGAGCATATTTGTGTGTGTGTGTATGCCAATTATATATAAAACATAATATAAATATATATTGCCACTTATCCAAAGGCCATTGGCGGGTGAAAATTCAGCTCTGGCAAGTAAAAAATGGGATCTCCAGGTTTTTACACTGTTCTATTAGAATAGGACTTAAGGGGAACGGGGGGGTGATTAATTTGTGTGTATGTATGTATGAATATACACACACTACTTTTACTTTATCCTTTCAAGCTAACTACTACACAATATTGGCCTTGATTTTATTATTTTTTTTGGATATGCTTTTCAAATTATTTCATTATTATTATTTTTATTTTATTTTTTTATTCTTTATTTTGTTCGTGCGTGTGTTGAACATGTGGCGTAGCAGTGCCACTACAGCTATACATTTCCCTTTTAAACATATGGCATTAAATACATACATTGCACTTTTTATGTGTTAATAGGGTAAGTACGCAGGGATGTCTTTCGTTTTATATAGTTAACGCTAGACGTAGAAAAATCAGTGCTTAGTCGGTTTGTCTCTGAGCTGGGCTAAAAACTGTCAGTCAGACCACTTGTTATGTTTTTGTATGGCTATGCTGGGTAGCTGGTTAGAGGCTGGTGTTGTTACGTCGATTCTATGGGGTTTCGTGTGTGTCAGGCTATTTAGGGTGGCGTGATCTCATTGCGGTGTGTATTTCTGTGTGCCAAATTAGTTCATATTTTAATCAATTTTTATATATTGATATTTTGAAAAAAATCTTGTGAAAATTGTATCCAAAAATAGTAAACGAAGGCCATAATTTGAAAAGTTTTAATACAAGATATAGGCAGCTTGCGGTAACTAATTTATCTTTTTTTTTTTTTTTTTTAAGACCTCCAAGTGACAGGTCCACTTAGTTTGTTGTATAAGATTTCTTAGGAAAGTGGGGAAAAAAAGCTGTTTTATTATGCTTTTTCAAGTGCATGATGTTTTCCTACTTAATGAAAGTCCATTTCATAACATGCCATTGTGTGACTCTAATTTCCTGTGCAGACAAACTTTCTGGGGAGAGAATAAAGCAAGTAATGGAGCACATCTGGAAACTACAGGAGTTCTGCAATAGCATGACCAAGCTAGATATTGATGGATATGAATATGCGTACCTGAAAGCTGTGGTTCTCTTCAGCCCAGGTTAGAAACGGTCTTTCATTGGTGTGTGTCTTTTTTCGCTTTTGGCTATGTGAACATTGTCGGAGCTCCAGGGTAAAAAACAAAACAAAAACGTATATTATTTATTCTCACATAAAAATATTTGATTTAAATCTGAGAAGACAAGGCCAAAGGTGTTTGAGCACCTCATTGTAACAGCTGCTACAACAGACAGGATGTGGAAGCCCCCAAGATCACAGAAAAGGTCCACTTTGCTAGGGATGTTTCTTCAGCCCTTCTCTTTCCCCTTACTCATCCACTAATTAAGTCCAGACCAGTCCACTAATACAGGACACCATTGTTCAGCAGCAGTAAGCTCTTCATTATCCCTGCACTGACTAACACAACAGGTAGAGAGAAAGCAGTCACCACAGCCTGCTCTGATTGAAGCACACTGATCAAACTTTCTCTTTTATATCCATGTCAGCATGTTGCAAGGTGAAGAGATCTTCCAACTGCATGTGTGATTCTGTTAGGCATGCCCAATGCACTTTTCCGTCGTTCCTAGGGATAGAACACTGGTTATTGAAGGGTTTTATCAAAATGCAGACAAGATCTCCATGCACAAAGCTATATGGTCAAACTGGAACGAAATCTCTATATCAAATACAGTTGATATTTCCTGAATAATAAATGCCATGTAAGTTAATCTGCCAATTAGGGAAGGGGTTTTACAGAACTACTGGTAACTCATTTTTTTGTTTAAGATTATATGACCAAACTGAATTTGAACTGTTAAAATGTATATTGCTTCCCTGGGTTGAGACTGAACATTGTACTAAATGCATATCCCTCTCCCCCTACCCCACTGTACTCTTCCTCTCCCCCCCACCCCTGCTCCCTCTCTCCCAAAAGAAAAAATATGGCACGTAGAAATAAAATGCAAGGGCTTGCAAGACACAGCAAGGGATTTGTTGATGCACATAATGGATTAAATAGGAACAAATAGCTTAGAAATTGAACAAAACACTTTTTATACATAACCCATATTGTATCAACTTGCACTGCCTGTGAGTTTGGAAAACTGCTGGAAATTGTCTTTCTTTTTTTCTACTTATTACAGGGTTTTTCGCTAAAGAAACATTGTATGGGATTCAAAGTAAATTTACACTTTAATGCCAAAATACCCAAACTGAAAAAATTCAGTCCAGCTTTTCACTTTAAATTCTCACCATTGTGAATTATCTTGTGTGTGTCTAAAGGGTTACTCCAAGCACCATGACTACTTCAGTGATTAAAGTGACCATAGTGCATTGAGTGTGTAGGTGCAGTGTTTTGCTATGAAACACTGCACATTGAGTTTAAACACTTTCCTGTTGAAGGTGTCACTCAACCTCTGGCAGGTTCATTGAGGCATCATTTGCCAACATGGCAAGATTCTATAGTGACAGTTCGCATTAGGGGGGTTGGTTTTGCCTTTATGATGAGAAAATATATTTGTTTGTTTACTAAATATCATTGAGAGACTGCCTTTATGGATCATACAGATCATCCTGGACTGTCCAGTACACCGCAGATCGAAAAGTTTCAAGAGAAGGCACAAATGGAGCTTCAGGACTATGTGCAAAAAACTTATCCAGATGACACATACAGGTAACTGAACTCTTCACAAAAGGGCAAGTAGGGGGAGGATGTGATTTCCAGCATTGTATCAGGGATGGTTACACCATGGAAAGATATGGGCCCAGCAACCCCTTTTGTTATTTAAATTCTTTTATTGAAGCAAAATAAAATAATAAAAAGTTAGTTATTTGGGATATTATCGCCTACATGGGAGATGGCATACTTAACTCCTGAGTCACTTAATGTTTCTTATGGCAATAGATAGGTTTTTAATAGGGCACCCTAAGCAACAAAACCAATACATCTCAAAGGAACACTTCAATGCCCAAGTATAAAAAAAAAACTGTTTAGTAGATATAACCAAAGGATAATAAGTATGCATTTAATTTGTGTTTTTCTTTTTTTCATTGGGAGTATATAAAAAAACAGCTTGCAAAAGTTGCAGATCTTATGTCTGCTGCCTTTACAAGCCTCCCCACCCCTTCTAATCCCGACCCAGACTTTCTGTCAGTGTCCAATCACAGACTTTCCAATGCAGATCAATGAGAAGTCTTTGCCAGGCAGGTGTTCTGGGCACTAGCCTGCCTCTTGAGTTTAGCTCCACAACCAACTAAACAATAAGAAAGTAACAGGACAGGTTTTCCGTAACAAGGTTAAGTGCTAATTTCTACTGAACTCTGGACGTTTTGAAAAATGACAAGAGGACACGCTCTTCACACAAAAAAGCACTTCCGCAAACTAAACCAATTTAAGGGTCTGGATTATCCCTTTAATGTAGTCGGTTTTTGTGCGTAGATGCTGTCCCATTACTTGTACAGTGTCAAATGTATCTAATTCTGAGAAATGTCAATGTTCAAGAGAATGCCTCTGGTCAGGCACACAGCATTAGAGGCAGTACCTACTTCAAATATTACTCCAGTAAGAAAACAAATATATATACCTCCAATTAGGTCATCAATCCTGATGACTTTTAGAAGGTTTTCATGTTCCATGCCATCACCAGTGGCGTACATACCATGGTCCCAGCTGCGACCAGGCCCATCACTCCAGGGGGCCCTGCAACCGGGTACCCGCCGCCATCTTTTGTGGCCACCGCCCGTGCGGCAAACCGCCGGGGCCACCAACATGGGGTCCATCGGGTGGCCCGTGCTGTTAGGGCCACCCGAGGGAGATGGATTCTCAGGGGGCCCGGTCAGTGCTGCAGCACTTTAACAGCGCGACCGGGCCCCCTCTGATGAGATCACACGCTGGGAGGAAGTGATTGCCCTGGTCACTCCTCCCAGCAATCACACAGAGCCTGAACGGGAGGAAGCAGAGGAGGGAGTCAGAGTGGGACTCCCATCAACCTGAGCCACCACTGGACCCCAGGGAAAGTCACTCTCCTGCACCTAAAAGGTAGGGAACAGGAGGATGACTTAAACATTTTCTGTGTGTGTCTTTGTATGTGTCTGTCTGTATGTATCTGTCTTTGTGTGTGTGTATATGTGTCTATATATCTGTCTGTATATGTGTGTGCGTCTCTATGTGTGTGCGTCTGTCCGGGGGGGGGCACAGATCAGTTTTGCATCGGGGCCCCATGGATTGTGTGTATGCCACTGGTCATCACATATCGCATAATGCGGCTAAGGCTTTTCTATGAAAAGTAAATGATTGAAGAAAAATAATCAGGATTGATGACCTCATTGGAGGTAGAGCAGCTGATGGAAGAATACTGTCCTGGCTTTGGAATAAAGGTACGTTTTTATAGAGTTTTCTAGTTTAGAGTTATTTATTTATTTAAATGGGGATCCCATAATCTAAAATAAAGAAGCTTGTCTAATTATTAGCTACTTATAAACAGAATACCAATTCCTTTAGAGGGCTACTATCTAGGTTCTCTGTACCAAATTAAACTTTCTCACTGTGGTTACAATGAAAGAACTTCACAGCTCCATTAAAACTCAGTTTATGCCTTTAGCCTGGCTAGCCAACCGTGTAAAACGGCATTTATCTGCAGAGATAAACACCAATTTTGCAACAAGCAGGATGCATTGTGGTTTTAGCATTTGCTCCTGTCTAGAAGAAATTCTTAGAATAAAAAAAAAAAATCTCCTCCACCTCTTGCAATATGTCTCTACAAAACAATGTCCCAAATGACCATTGCCAGAAGATCTCACAGAAAGCCTTCCAGTGATTTTGTACACAGTGGCCATTTATAGCACTCTTTCATTCTCATACTTAGCTAATGTTTTTTTCACGTCCACTCCAGGCTGGCACGAATCTTAGTGCGGCTCCCGGCCCTACGACTCATGAACTCCAGCATCACAGAAGAACTTTTTTTTACTGGCCTCATTGGGAACGTTCCCATCGACAGCATAATCCCTTATATCCTCAAGATGGAGACGGCAGAATACAATGGGCAGATTACGGGGACCAGCGTATAACCCGAGCCAATGCACTTAAAGCACTTGTAAGTGCACCCTATTAGGGAGCAAGAAAAAACAAAAACATTTTGGGGAACATGCACTTATGCTTCAATCCAGTGTAAATGATAACATTTTCTTTCTCCATCTGGAGGTTTGAATAGCCTCCTGTTTTATCCACTACCTGGAAAGAAACAAAACGTTAACAGCCATAACCAGAAGACTAGATTGGAGCTCGTCTGTTACGTTGTATTTTTGTCTACATTTCGATGAAGACTTTAACATGTTTTTGTAGTGTAAGAAAATCAGTTGCCAGTGAAGGCAGATTGTACCATCGAATCACTTGCCAAAAAAAATTGGTATTGGCCAGGTAATCCAAACAAGGTAACTACCCTGTAATACTAACTTTTTCCTCTCCATGATTTTATATTTATTTATGTGTTATGTGTGTGTATATATATCATGATTTTATGTATCTCGTCAGGCGTAACTTACTAGTCTTGGTACTTGTTCACTTACTGTGTGATATTTTATAAAGGTGCCTGATGAGATGTCCCTTTTTTTTTTTTTTTTTTTCCAAGACAAAACTTTGAAGTAGATGACTGACTTCTTAATACTGTGTTGCTTTATCCAATACTTTAATTGGGGAGAGAAAGGATTCAGTTCTAAAATAAATATTCGATATATTTAAATCCGTTAAAATAGAAATTCACCTTTCCTATGGTATGCATATAAAATAATAGCTTTTAGCCCCTTCCCTTATTAATGTATACTTGTTTTTGTGTATTTGCGTTTCCTTAAATTTAATATGGCTTGCCCTCAAACGTAAAATTTGAGCACCCACAGTCCGGACCGGTGTGTCTTTGTTAATAAATGGCCAGGATTCAGCCTGAGGCCTTACTGTAGCTTTTGAAGACAATACATTCCTAGTTAGGAGCTTTTGATGAAAATGGCATTAAGGAGGGTTCTGTCCACGGAGTCTCTTTTTCCAATCTTGTTCTGTTTCTCATAATTTGAAGCACTTTCCTATGACTCCTCCCAGTGCCATTATGCCCCATGAAAGCCCCTCTTTTTGTCATTGGAGCTTTTGGCTCCATATCACAATAGTGCATAACGATGCAGCAGACAATCAGGTAACTGTATAGATTGGGAACAAGCCAGAGGCATCTTCATATGTGGACACTTGGTTTGTGTTCCAGCTTCTAGGATATCATAGGTGCAAAGTATGACAGTGCACTAGAAGTAAAAACTCTTCATACTTCATATATTCATTACTGTCACTCTTGTCACTTGAATTTTTCTTTACATAACAAACAATATAAAGTAATATTTCATGCAACCAGTTTCCCTTACTTGAGCTGAGAAGAGACTTTCAGATAAAAGGCTGCTGGCAGCTAGTCAGAAAATATGAAGTCATTAGTTGAGCTGGTTAAATTATCGCATTCTGCTGTGCAGCATAGAGGGAGTTTAAGAACTGCCTGGTGATTCAGAGTTCTCACTATGCCCAATGAAGTATGACAAGAAGTTTGTGAACATTAAAATTGTTTGCTTTTAATAGCAGCTGCTGAGCAGCTAAAAAAAATCAACAAAAAAAATTATACAGTTTAAAAACTGTTCCATTCTAATGTATAGAACATTTCAGATGTAAGAGTCACTTTAATTCTAAGAGCTCCAGATTTTTGTTTGGCACGTTATTATAGATTTCTCTCCTCTCTTTCAACCTTTGGGATTCCAAAAGGTTAAACTTTTGCCTGTGTGATGTTTGAGAGATACTCCTAAAAAGAAAGAAAATTGTATAAAAAGAAAAATATCTACATTTCAAGTTTTTAAATGTTTTTTGCCTCAACATTTTGCTGTAAAATGTGTAATTGTTGAATACTCCAAGCACTTGCAATTTATATTTATGACTTTCAGTTATGTTTAAATGCTCTTGTTATTATTATGCATTGTTTTTTATTATAGTTTTCCTTAGAACTGTATCAACGTTCCCAGAGCACGCCATTACATTTTCACTGATGGACAAAGACTTAATACTTTGAGTGCCGGTTGGGTAATGCCACTACATTCTTTGGCACCCATTGGTTTGGTTATTGGGATGAAAATTACTAGTCACTAGTGTGAATGTTTGTTCAAGGAAAAGAATACATTTCCCAGCTGCTGTGCACAGTTCTTCCCATAATTCTTAGCATTATGGGAACTTTTGCTTGCAGTGGCACAGAGACCCAGAGGCTGCCTTATCCTTGTTTTATGGCATATAACCTTACTGAAAGGTTTACATTGTCTTTACTCATCCATAGAATTTAATCCTCAAATCGTGTATTTGGCACTTTAGAATGAGCCTATTAGGTTACATTTTATGTGTGTTTCCTATGGAAAGAAGCCTGAAGAAAGCACTCCTTAATAAACCCTTTCCTGCACTTTCCCTTTGGAGATATGCTGCAAACACCCATTTTTCTACATATCTCGTACAGCAGGGGTAGGCAACCTTTTGGCACTACAGATGTGTCATGAGAGATGCCCTATACATCATCTGGAGTGCAAAATGTTGCCTACCCTTGTCCTAGAGTGTGTACGTACATAGATGTGTGTGATATAGATTGGTGCTAATCCATCACTCCATTCTATCTGACTCTACAAACAAGTGAATTGATTGGGATAGTCTTTCCAAACCATTATTGCATATTAACATTGTTATTTACTAAGATAAGGATGCAAAGTTAATTTCAAATTAAAGTTCATAGTAACCAAACTGACAGCATACCTAACTAAGAGAATTTTTCCAGTATGGCTATGTGACCTTAAAGGGACACCAGGTGCTAGAACCACTACAGCTTAATGTAAAGGTTCTGGGCCAAAGATACTAAACTGCCTTTTCCGAGAAAAGGCAGAACTTGCATTACTGTCTAATGCTACTTCTAGTGTCTGTCACTCAGACTTACTGGATGTGATTCTGCCAAGATTGCTCTGCATAGAGACGCTTTCCCCATAGTGATGTATTCTCCCCTAATTGCTTCTCTATGGAGAAACATTAGATTGGATGAGAGCCATACTCTAAAAAGCTTTTAAAACACTCTAGTGTTAAGTATACAAACATGTATTCCTAATGCTAGTGTTCCATTAAATTTGAAATTCACTTTGAATTCTTACTGTAATTAATAAATCTGTAAATCTCCAGCCTGGATTGTCTTTGGGACACCGTTCAAATGATGCCAGAGTCGGCCAATGATAATAACTGATAATGATGTATGTTGTGATCCTATCATGTACTGGTACCCTTTACTTTGGGCAATAAATGAATTTTAGTGGCCTTGGGGAACAACTGCCCCTGCCAGTTCTCACCTGTGTAAAATGCTCACTTTGTATAAAATGAGTCAGATGTATTTTTATTATGTGTGATTGGAAATCTGACATTAAATCATTGCATATAGTCAGACAAATTATTGCTAACTAATACGTCTCATGGCAACAAACTGTAAATGTTAAAGGGACACTATAGTCACCTGAACAACTTTAGCTTAATGAGGTTGTTCAGGTGAGAACTATAGCTCCCTGCAATCTTGAGAAAATACAGTGTTTACATTGCAAGCTAGGAACACCTCCAGTTGCAGTCACTCAGAGTGAACCAGAGGGACTTCGGAGTTGATAGAGGCATAATATGCCTCCATCCACTCAGATCTGCTGTCAGCAGAGCACAGGGCAGTAATGTGCACAGCATCCTGTGATTCAGTATCTCCTCCCTCTGCATGCAGACACTGAACTTTCCTCATAGGGATTAATTGATTCAATTAATCTCTTTGAGGAGATGCTGATTGGCCAGGGCTGTGTTTGAATCATGCTGGCTCTGCCGCAATCTGCCTCTTTGTCAGTCTCAGCCAATCCTATGGGGAAGCATTGTGATTGGATCAGGCTACCACATGTCAGCAGACTGTTTGTTTGTTTTTCTGAGTCTAACAGCATGCAGATTTACAGCTTCAGGCTTGAATACAGTAATATTTTTACTATATTTATGGAGGCATGAGGGGCCCAGGGGGGCTAGATGGTGGTGTTAACACTATAGGGTCGGGAATACATGTTTGTATTCCTGACCCTATAGTGATCCTTTAATAAAAGGTTATGCTTGAAAACCTATACAATAAGTATCATTGACATCCAGTATCCTTATGATGCTTCACATTGGAAAACTTTAGCGTTTTCCATTATTATTATTTTCTTCTAGTGTCCTTTATCTGCCTGTCTCAAGTACACAACTTGGTTCTCTGTGTTGGCGGGGGGGCAAGCCAGGGCTCAAAATTTCCACTGTCTCACTAGCATGTCGTAATTGAAAATTTAGCTCTGGTAAATAAAAATGTTTCCCTGGTAGGTGCGACATGGACCCTTCACTAACTTTTAGCCCTGTCTAGTAGCATAGGACTTGTAATTTTCATACATGGCAATTATAATTTCAGTATATAAGGCTTTTCAAGCAGATTACCTATGGCTCCTGCAGTATATATCCATTAATGCCCTTTATTGAGCCCCCTTCACTCACACTGGCACAATAGTAAATTGAATTATAGCAAATTCCTGGTCTTGTGTCTGTAACAAGAGGCTCGTGAGGCTGGCGATGGTTCTGCACAACTAATCTGAATATCATCAGTTTGCTCAGGTGTCATTAGGCATAACAGAAATGTTTCTGTCCCTTCTACATGTTTGGGTTTGTTTGTGCATGATTTGAGGTGGCAAGTGAACTTTGTTCTTGAGGTGGCTTTCACTGGTAACAAATCTAAGATATTGGTGAAGATTTACGTGTCACTTATAGAAAAGTGCTTAGACTGCAGAAATCACCATAGAAACCAGTCAAATATTCCTACTAATTGCTTTTAGACGTTTGACATATTTTTCTATTACTGACACTTTTAATGCCCCATCAAAAACATGGACTGCATCTTGAGCTATATACTGTTTCAACCAATCAGTAGTTTTATGATTATATATATCTATCTCTCTCTCTCTCTCTATATATATCTCTCTCTCTATATCTATATCTATATCTATATAGAGATATATATATATATATATATAGATATATATACACACATATTGTCACTTGCACCACCACTTTCTAGTTAAAAAAAAATTGGATTTTTTTTATTTTTTCAATACATGGTGTGGTCCATTCTGTTCATTTAAATACCATGTATCTTCATTATGATGTATAGCGAATGGTGTTTTGGCAGTACAGTATATAGCAGAAAATATATCTGCAGTGCAGTATACTAACAGAAGATCTATGTGCATTATGGTATATAGACCTGTGTATAGTGCACACATGAGATGGAGTAATAATTACCTGGGGACGCCGCTAATGCTTATATACATGATTTGTACCACTCATGATAGTTTGTAATCATCTTTTTCAGTATCTTATTAACGTCTGTCCTTCTGCACTATACATATGCTAATACATCCACAATACTTTCCACAGTTACCTACCAAATGTATTAATAAAACTATGTACAACTGTAAACTACACTGTAATGGAAGTGTGGTGAATAGGTGTCTGTTTTCCAATGAATGGTGCAGTACAGCACAGATTAAAAAATGTAAACATGTTAACATGTTGTTGTATTACTTTGAAAACTTACCGTAAATCTTTTACCTTTTTTTTTCTTGTAAATGGACAGGCGCTGTGTATTTTGCATTAAGTAGGGAGTAACGTCTACTCTATTTTAACATATGATTTAAGTCATGTCCATTTTAAGCCTTCCTTCCTTTTACCAGCCTTTTTTTGTGTGATGATGTTTTAGCAAAGGGCATGTTTTTTTGTTTGTTTTTTTTTTATCTGAATTTTATATCTAATCATTGTCTTCGTCACGAAGAGACCTGCATTGTTGTTTTTTTGTATATAGAGTATTGCAGTGCATGACTTAGCTTATGCATTTTATTAAATGCTGTTTATATGTTGGCATTGTATTGTTGTTGCTTAATACTACCTGAATGAGGTTTATACTATTAAAGTGAATAACATACTTTACAGGCTGCAGCAGTTTGTTTACTTGTCTGTGACATTATTGTAATGCTATAAATAGAGGTTATTGGATCCCCAGTCTTTCATTCTACACACTCACCCAGTGTGTGTTAGGTGGGTCAATATTTTATCTCTATGATAATCAAATGATACTTAATGTGCATTGTAATGGAGAAGGAGTACATGTGCCAATCTGCTCCTCCTCTACTAAATATCCAAGGAAAAGTCAGAATGTGTTTCTGGAAATTATACCAGCCATTCTTCACATCTACTGCCAGTGGGATAGCCAGTTGCCCTGGCACTATGTGGTCTATACATTAAAATGTGTAACCTCCCATGCCTCTAAATATATGTAGAAATCTAACCTTGCCCTGTAAAATAAAACCTTTCCATACCATACAAGTACACCGTATCCTTTTAGAATTTTAAAAATTAGATTTCACCTGAAGCTCAGGAAAGCTGTGTTTTTGTTTTGTTTTTAAAAAAATCAAAACCTAGCAATTCACTTCCTCCAAAGGTTCTACTGTCATACTAAATTTATACTTGTAAATATGAACTAGATTTATATTCAGTAATTAATACGAATATAAATATGAAACCTAAATTTTTAAAAAATTTTTATGAAATTGCATATTCACAGCCCAATCAACTTCTTCTGTGCCTTACGTCTACGTGGAAGAGATGCAGATTTTGCATGCTGTGTTTTCGGGTTTATAGTCTCACTCAACACATCTTTCATTTGAAATACTTCATATAATTTCCTCCTAGCAATCAGTAGGTGTGAAGGATTTTTCATGTATTTGCCTGTGGGCCCTCAGTTAAACCTTCTCCCTGCTGTTTAAATGCCTGTATCCGTTCGGTTCAATATGTATGTACCACTTTAAGAACCAAGGGTATGTGTGTGTAATGCATTGCAGAACATTTTTAAAAAGTTGACAGTTGGCAGTTAATTCCTGGAGCCGTGAATAAAGTTCAGTTGACTCCCTGAACGGTGTTTCGCTGGTTACTGGGGGGATTTGGGATATTACCTCCTATACCAGCGGAGATCTGGGGACTTAATATTGCAGTCCCGTAACAGTAGGAATCTGTGCAGGAGGAAAGGGAACTGCAGTACTAAACAGCTGGATCCCTGGAATCCACAATGGTCACCGTCCTGCAGGAAAAAAGTTAGGGAAACGGGGGAGGAAGCATAGTAAAACAAAGACACATGAAATATTGCATAGAAAGTGTGTCTATCTGGCAGGAAATATCCTTGTTGGGGTGTGAGTCTGCATTTTTTTATTACTGGCATTTATCCAGAGCCAACCTATTCTGCAGGGTTGTACAATTAGGGGAGAACGTACAATATATACAGACCAATACAAAAGGTAAAGAGGGCCCAGCCCGTGAGTTGAGTTCTAGCCAGAATTTTGTAAGAAATGGATTCTCCCATATCATTCCATCCAAAACTTAAAAATGTAAGAAAACAAACCAGTCTCCCCTAAAGGTTGCAAAAAAGTGCCAATACATGTACTGCAAAATATACATGTAATATAAATATTCTGTATATATTTTACAGTACACAGATTGTTGCATCTTTCCCTCCATTTGATTCACATATCAAGTAAGGAGAAAGATTAGGAAAATCAAAATAAATAAAATTTGATATTTATATATTAAATATAGATAAAAAAATGTTCTGCCCACCCTTAAATTGGTCACTTTTGGTAATCTGTGAATAAAACTAACATTTAGTGGCTGTCTCCTAACCATCAATCTTATTCCTTTTTTTTTTCTGTCCTCACAGAATTCATGGTAGCACTTTTTTGGGATATACCAGTAGAGAGCACTCAGGAGTCTTTCAAGGTAAATTAGGGATTATTCTAGCTTTTAGTGAACGAATAATCTGAATTTTATTAAAGACAGGAGGCGAATATTTGCTTCTTTCTTTACTGTAACTCCCAGCAGCAAAGAAATGGTTAACAATGTTGTATGGAAAAATCAACCAATCATAACATATCTCAACTACAATATAGTGTCATCAAACTCCTCCCACTTCCTCTTTCTTGATGTTGCCAGTCAGTAGCAAAGTCAACCATGTAAACTTTAACCGGAACAGTTCCCGAAGCTGAAACTCGAGATGAAATCAACCATGTAAACGGAAAGTTGATCGAATAAACTTGAGATCTTCACACTAAAAGAAAAGAGAGACTTTGTGAAAGCAAGGTTTCTCGGACAAGAGAAAAAAATATATATAGTTGTACCCCCTATTTCCAATTATAGTTCAGACGAATTGGCAGAAAAATCAAAATTATAAAGATCTATCAGTACTCTATGAGATAGGTGTATAACCACAAAGGTGAGCAAATCGTATATAGCAGGTTTGTATGTAATAATGGTATCATACATTAATTATTGATTATGAGACTTACCTCGAGGGTTGGTTCCGGAGTGAACGAAGGGAGGGAAAATATTCGCCTCCTGTCTTTAATAAAATTCAGATTATTCGTTCACTAAAAGCTAGAATAATCCCTAATTTTATGGCAAGACAGGAGGCTTCATATTTGCTGTTTTAACGCTCTCGAATAATAGAACAAGCCGCACGTGTTTGTGTTGGTTTAAAATAAAAAATCCGAAAGGTAGATTCCCTTGACCAATCTGCGCAGGACAAAATATCCGCTAGTGAACTGCCGGCACGAAAGGCAGAGGATGCGGCCGCTCCCCTAACGGAGTGGGCCCCAAATGATCTATCGATTCCCGCCTGGATAAGTAACCATCTTATCCAGCGAGCGATAGTGGGGGAAGAGACCGGTTTGTGAGGTCTGACGTAAGAGATGAAAAGGGGACCGGTAGGAGAACGTAGGGCGGCAGTCGCCTCTGTGTAACAACGAGTACACAGAGCCACACAGAGGGCCGGCCTGTCGGGGAAGTATGGGTAAAAGACAGACGAGGAATTCGTCTTAGTGCGCCTAGTAATCGTAAATCGGACCCCTTCTGGTGGGAAGGAGACAGCGTGTGAATCAAAAGCTTGAACGTCAGAAACTCTGCGGAAGGACACCAGGCACAGTAGCAGGGCCAATTTTTGCAGAGAGCTGTCGAAGGGATAAGGCCTCGTTAGGTGGCCAGGACTCTAACAGTGCGAAGACTCGAGATATATCCCAGAAGCCAGAGTATTTGGCAGAAGGTGGCCTCGTCAAACGAATGCCTCGTAAAAGTCTGCACACAGAAGTATGTTTCCCAACTAAGGAGTTATCAATAGGGTCATGTCCCGCCGAAATGGCGGAACGAAAAATATTAATCGACCGGTATGATTTACCTTGATCGAAAAGGGATGATAGAAAATTTAGAATGGATGAGAGAGATGCTGAAACGGGATCGAAATCCCTCTCCAGACACCAGCTGACCCAAACTCGCCATGCGGCGAGATAGGTGCGCCTGGTTCCTGGGGCCCATGAATCCCACAGGAGTGTTTGAGCAGTGCTTGAAAGTCCTGCGACATGCCAAGCCCCCCTGAAACTGTCCAGGCCACTAACTGAAGGTGGCCCTGTAGGGCTAGTGGATGGTAGTCGCCCGTTGAGTTCTTGAGAACCCGATGTGAGCGAGGTAGAATGATGGGGTAATCTGTGGAAAGTTCCAGAAGAGTGGGGAACCACGTCTGGGCCCGCCATAGAGGGGTAACTATCACAATCCTGACCCCCTGTGATTTGACCTGGTGGAGAGTACGTTGAATCATGGAAAAAGGAGGGAAGGCATAGGCTCCGCTCCGTGGCCAATGTTGGAGAAAAGCGTCGACAGCTAGGGATAGAGGGTCTGGTAACCAGCTGAAATAATTGTCTGTTTGACGATTCAGTCGAGACGCGAAGAGGTCGAGCGTGAGCGGTCCCCGCAATAGGTGAATATGGTGGAATAGGAGAGGATCTAATTGCCAGTCGCTGGCATCCCTCCAGTGACGTGAAAACCAATCCGCGACTAAATTGTCGGGTCCTGGGAGATATTCTGCCCGAATAGACAGATTCCTGTCTAAGCAGAACTGATACAGATCCTTGGTGAGGTCTGACAGCAGTTTCGATTTGGACCCTCCGAGTCAGTTTACATATCGTACTGCGGAGATGTTGTCCATCCGAAGTACCAGAGAGCAGTTGGATGCTTCTTTGGCAAAGCTGCGGATAGCGAAGGATCCGGCAATGAGCTCGAGACAATTTATGTGAAGTGCCTGTTCTGACGGGGACCAGAGACCTCCTGTGTACGTTTGGGCGCACGTAGCACCCCAACCGAGTAGGCTGGCATCGGATTCCAGAATAAAATCTGGTTGAGATCCGAAAATCGCTTTCCCATTCCAGGCTTCCATATTGCGAAGCCACCAGTGAAGTTCAATGAGAACTTCGTCCGTTAGGAAAATGAATTGGTCGTAAGAGGTCGAGCGATGTAAATAGGAGGTTTTCAGCCGTTGCATTGCTCTGTAATGCAAGGGCCCTGGAAAAATAGCCTGAATTGATGCAGACAGAAGATCCAGAACGTGTGCTAGGTCGCGGAGCCGAGGTCGTTGTGACTTGAGTAATTTTTGAATCTCTCGTTTTATGTTTTTGATTTTGGAGTAGGGTAACTGTAGAGTTGCTTCTGAATCTATCTGAAAACCCAGAAATTGGACTATTTGAGAAGGTACCAGGTCTGATTTCTGTTAATTTATGACAAAACCTAGGTTTTGAAGGAGGGCAGAGGTCATGTGTGTGTGTTTGCGAAGTAATTGTTGATCTTGTGCCATGATCAGGATATCGTCCAAATATATAATTGAACGTATGCCCTGAGAACGAAGGAGCGCTATGACCGGTTTCATCACTTGGTGAAACACCAAGGGGCAGAGCAAAGTCCGAATGGGAGGCATGTGAACTGCCAAATGTTGCCTTGCCATCGGAATTGGAGGAAGGCACGGTGACTTGGTGCTATAGGGACCGTCAGATAAGCATCTTTGAGGTCGAATCTGGAGAACCAGTCTCCCACGCAGAGCAAGTCCCTGAGAAGATGGATACCTTCCATCTTGAAATGACGGTATGTGATAAAGCGATTCAACGCCTTAAGGTTGATAATGGGACGGTGGTCCCCCGTTTTTTTCCGAACCAGAAATATGTTGCTTAGGAAGGTGCAAGGGAAAGGCGAAGGTTCGATTGCCCCTTTGTGTACCAATTTTGTCAGTTCTGTGTTCAAGGTTAAAGTGTCTGCTTTTGACATCTCTAAGGGTGTCGGATGAGAGTATTGAACTGGATGTGTGATAAAATCTATTTTGAAACCTGTGACTGTATGAAGGATCCAAAGATCCTGAGAAAGAAGTTTCCACTGTTGTAAAAAGAATGTTAATCGACCTGCGATTGATACATTTTTTAAATAAGCAAGGTCCATTACCTGAAGCATTGCGTCCGCGCAGGGATGCAGAGCCACGTCCTCGAATTGAGCCTCTGGTGCTGAACAGCTGCCTGTGGTAGGGTCGTGAGTATCCTGTGGACCAATACTCTGTGGGTCGGGGCCTGTAGCCTGTAAAGGCTGCTGTACTGGTAGCTCGGCCCCTTGAGCGACCAGCTCTCCCAGAAAAACGATTTTGAGTAGTGAGAACACCCTACGTAGTGAGGACTGGGCTTTATTGAGTGTGGTAAAAACTGAGACATGCTTGGAGAGGTCTCGCATGAAACTGTTACCAAATAGAAGACCATCGGCCTCTGGGCCTAGTTCTTTAGTGCTCAAATCTACTAGTTTTGCATCGATTTTGTACAGTGCCGCTTTGCGTCTCTCAATTGAAATAGCCGTATTGGCGTTGCCCAGTAAGCAAAGGGCTCTCTGTGCCCATTCTCTTATAATATGCGGGTCTAGTTCACCGCTGGTGAGTGCCTCATCTGCGAGTATGAATATTTGTATGATAGGACCTGAAATGTCTAATAATTTGTCTTGGGTCGCTTTCAAACCCTGTTCAATACCCTTACGAGGGTCTTTACCAGATTTTGTTAAACAGGTGACCAGCATGGGGTCAAATTCAGGGGTAGAGGCAACTTTGCCTGGGATAGTAGGTCTCGGGCATTCAGCCCTTAGTTTGTTTCTGATTTCTTTTTCGAGGGGCTTGCGAAGCCACAGTTTACAGAAATTAGCAATATGATCTGGGGGAGCCCATTCTGCTGAGCGCGGGTGGCGTATCACCCTTGGGTCAAAAAGGGGAAGGCCTGAAGCATCCAGGAGGGTGTCTGAGTCAGGTACCTTACTCTTGTGGTCTTGACTTAGGAAGGTTTCTTTTACGAACTCCGATGTTGAGGAATCCTGGGGCGCATTCACCATGGGATCCTCATCAGAGTAATTGGGGTCATAGTCACTTAGAATATGGCCAGACAAACGTGAAGTAGAACCCTCTAGAGCGTCTGTAGCAGCCTGCGAAACGTATGGGTTAGAGTGTTTAACGACCTTAGCAGGAGCTTTGCCCTTGCCCGCAGTAGCGCTATTCCCTTTCCAGGGTCTCTTGCGCGGGGCACTATCTTGGTCGGAGATATGGGAGTCCTCAGAATCAGAGGGTTGTTGTGTAGAGGGGTGTACCTCTGGATTACGTTCATGGTAGACTGCCAGAGCCTTAGGAATGGACTCTGCGATAGTTGAGAAAAGCCATTCCTTAAGTTCGGCAGAAATCGCAGGGTCTTGGCGATCTGACATAATGTCAATTTCAAGATAAATGTAAACCCTATATAAACAACTATATATATATATATATATATATATATATATATATATATATATATATATATATATGTGTGTTAGAATGTCAATTAATGATGAGGCAACTCAATTAGAACAATATATATATATAATGTATAGTAAACAATGGGGGTCACCCACAAAAATAAATCAGGTGGTGTTAGCCACATAAATATTAACACAGCAGTGTTTTCAGTAGGTGGTGTCAACCACACAGATATTGTACATAATATGTACTTTAAATAAGTAAGTGGGGTTCACCCACAGGAGGGAAATAAAATGGTCAATCACACAAAATTTGTAAAATCAAACCACACTGTAATTATACAATTTAGGGAAAGGGGTTCACCCAGATTGTAATAGAATGGTCCTGTGTGGGCAAAGCCTGTGGAAAAACAGATAGGAGATAGATCAGTATAGTGATCGTTTTTAATGAGCATATGAAATGAGGTGGAGATAAGATGGCAGCAACCTACCTTCCACAAGATTAAATAAATATTGAAGTAACTTAAACCAGTAAAGCAATGCAATTGGAGCAGACTCACCTGGGAGGCAAGCAGCAAAGAAAGAGGAAGTGGGAGGAGTTTGATGACACTATATTGTAGTTGAGATATGTTATGATTGGTTGATTTTTCCATACAACATTGTTAACCATTTCTTTGCTGCTGGGAGTTACAGTAAAGAAAGATAAGCAAATATGAAGCCTCCTGTCTTGCCATAATATTTCATCTGTTGCTTTATTGAGCAATTACAAATTCACACAACGTTCCAGTCGACGTTTCAGTCTGTAAAAGTTGAAAAAAAAAAAAAAAAAAATATATATATATATATATATATATATATATATATATATATATATATATATATATATATATATATATATATATATATATATAAATAAATAAAATTTTGTCTCCCAAAAGCACATTACTCAACATTTGCACACTTGTGCCCAGTCCCTGTTTGCGACTGACTGTAAATTGTGCTGTCACTGTTTGAAATGTGTTTGTTTCTTGTGGATCAGCAGCAATGACCTGCACATGGGACTGATAGAAGTTGATTTACCCCAAGAATACACTGGTAAAGCTTTACAAATAATAAGGTTCTTGGGATATAACATAGTCTTGGTTCTCCAGGTAGTAATTGTATCACCCAATTTCATACAAATGCCATTATGTTCCTGCAATGCCAGTGTCTACAATGAGCTGAGGATAGAACACTGTCAAAGCTTGTTCTAAACCAGGGGTGTGTGGGGAAACACTACAACTCCCGGCAAGCCACGCGACTAAACCCTGCCTCATCCTGGTTATGACGTATTTGGTCCCGTCGTGCCGTGCGGCTGTGCTCTCCTTTGGTTGACCCCGCCGCAGCCATGCCGATGAAGGGCCGGTTCCCGATTCGCAGGACGCTGCAGTATTTACAGAGCGGAGACATCGTGTTCAAGACCAACGTGAAGGTCATGACCGTGAATTATAACACGCACGGAGAGCTAGGGGAGGGCGCTAGGTGAGTGTGAGTGACCGCAGAAAGGACTGCAAGGGAGTGTGAGTGACAGGAGTGAGGACTGCAAGGGAGTGTGAGTGACCGGAGTAAGGACTGCAAGGGAGTGTGAGGACTGCAAGGGAGTGTGAGTGACCGGAGTAAGGACTGCAAGGGAGTGTGAGTGACCGGAGAAAGGACTGCAAGGGAGTGTGAGTGACCGGAGAAAGGACTGAGTGACCAAGGAGAAAGGACTGCACACCACAAAGAGAGTGTGAGTGACGGAGAAAGGACTGCACAAAGGAATTAGCTGAGTGACCCGGAGGAGAAAGGACTGCAAAGGGAGTGAGTGACCGGAGGACTGCAAAGGGAGTGTAGTGACCGGAGAAAGGACTGCTGGGAGTGTGGTGACCGGAGAAAGGACTGCAAGGGGAGTGTAGTGACCGGAGACTGCAAGGAGGTGTGGTGACCGGAGTAAGGACTACAAGGGAGGTGTGAGTGAAGCCGAATGGAGACACAAAGGGGAGTGTGAGTGACAGGAGTAAGGACTGCAAGAAAGGGTATGGCTGAGTGACCGGAGTGATAGGACTGCAAGGGAGTGTGGCAGTGACCGGGTAAGGACTGCAAGGGAGTGTGAGTGACCGGAGAAAGGACTGCAAGGGAGTGTGAGTGACCGGAGAAAGGACTGCAAGGGAGTGTGAGTGACCGGAGTAAGGACTGCAAGGGAGTGTGAGTGACCGGAGTAAGGACTGCAAGGGAGTGTGAGTGACCGGAGTAAGGACTGCAAGGGAGTGTGAGTGACGGGAGAAAGGACCGCAAGGGAGTGTGAGTGACGGGAGAAAGGACCGCAAGGGAGTGTGAGTGACGGGAGAAAGGACCGCAAGGGAGTGTGAGTGACGGGAGAAAGGACCGCAAGGGAGTGTGAGTGACGGGAGAAGGCTCCAGTTAAATAAATCTTTCTATTTGCAGGAAGTTTGTGTTCTTCAACATTCCACAAATCCAATACAAGAATCCATGGGTGCAGATTGTAATGTTTAAAAACATGACTCCATCACCTTTTCTAAAATTTTATTTAGGTAAGCATGAAGTATCAGATTGTGTTTGTTTAACCCCTTAAGGACGGAACCAAATGTACACGTTGTGAACGAAACAAAATGTAAACAAAACCTGGCATTTGCGCTACATGTCTGTCCAACCATAATTCAACTCTTTCATAGTAAATGCACCCACCCTTATTATATATGAGTTTATTCAGGGGAATCAGGGCTTTCATTTAATATCAAATATTTAGCTATGAAACATAATTTAATATGAAAAAAAATGGGAGAAAATAAGATTTTTCTTTTGATTATTTTTTTTTTTAGTTCTACATGACATTTTAACTGTCAATGTCATGATACGGTTTGCTTTCACTGCAATAAAATACACTATTGAATTCAGCAAAGTCTCACGTGTAAAACAGTACCCCCTATGTACAGGTTTTATGGTGTTTTGGGAAGTTACAGGGTCAAATATAGCACGTTACATTTGAAATTGAAATTCGCCGCATTGGTTACGTTGCCTTTGGGACTTTATAGTAGCCCAGGAATAAAATTTACACCCATAATGGCATACCATTTGCAATAGTAGACAACCCAAGGTATTGCAAATGGGGTATGTCCAGTCTTTTTAGTAGCCATTTGGTCACAAACACTGGCCAAAGTTAGCATTAGTATTTGTTTGTGTGTGAAAAATGCAAAAAACGCCAATTTTGGCCAGTGTTTGTGACTAAGTGGCTACTAAAAAAGACTGGACATACCCCGTTTGCAATACCTTGGGTTGTCTACTATTGCAAATGGTATGCCATCATAGGGGTAATTTTCATTCTTGGGCTACCATAGGGTCTCAAAGGCACAGTAACCAATCTGGCTAATTTTAATGTGAAAAAAATTAAACGCAAGCCTTATATTTGACGCTGTAACTTTTGAAAACACCATAAAACCTGTACTTGAGGGGTACTGTTGTACTCGGGAGACTTCGCTGAACACAAATATTTCTGTTTCAAAAGAGTAAAAAGTATCACAGCAATAATATCGTCCGTGTAACTGCTGTTAGTGCATGAAAAATGCAAAAAACTTCACTTTTACTGGCGATATCATCATTGTAATACATTTTACTGTTTTGAAACATTAATATTTGTGTTCAGCGAAGTCTCCCGAGTAGAACAGTACCCCCCGTGTAAAGGTTTTATGGTGTCTTGGAAAGTTATAGGGTTAAATATAGTGCTAGCAAATTAAATTCCCTTTACTTTCGGCATGGGATGTCAGGCATGTTCCGCTAATTGTAATTAAGATACCTAATTATGTAAAAATATTACATAAATATATATGTAGAATTAATATATGTGTGTATGTATGTATGTATGTGTATATATATATATATATATATATATATATATATGTATGTATGTGTATATATATATATATATATATATATATATATATATATATATATGTATGTGTGTATATATATATATATATATATATATATATATATGTGTGTGTGTGTGTATCTGAATCTATGTGTGTGTATGTATAATTTTTTAAAAATATTTTTATTTATATATAAGTATATATTTATGTATGTAGATATATATATTTCGTTCTATGTGTATTTTGATATAAATATATATATTAATATCACAATACAGTTAGAACGAAATAACACACATCTATATAGTTTAATTATTTTTTTATTGTATTTTTTAACGTATTTACATATTTAATTTTTTTATATTATATATAAATATATATAACAATAATTATATATATATATATATTTAATCAGTATCAGTCTAGGTGTAATTTGAGATATATATTTTACACTTTACTTTTTAATTAATTTTATTTTCGGCCTGCAGGGGGACCACCTGTCATTACAGGCAGCCCCGCTGCTGGCAATACAGGAGACAGCTACCCCCGGCCATGTGATTGTGGGGTCCTCGCAAAGACCTCACTCTCACATGGCCGGGGGGGCTTCCAGGGGGTCGGACGTGCCGCGGGGGGCTCCCTGGGAGTCCCCCTCACCGCAATCGCCGGCGTGGGATCGCCGGCGACCGGGTAAGTAAAGACCGACCGGAGGGCGTACAATTACGCCCGGCGGCGTTTAGAGCCGCCTAAAATAGGGCGTAATTGTACGCCCTCCGGTCTTAAGGGGTTAAATGACATTTTCAATAAAAGAAACAAAGTAATAATTTGAATTTAAACACAAAGGTGACTAACCCTTTTTGACAGATTCGTAGGAGGTACAGTGTTGTCATTAATGTACTTAAGGACTGGCTCCTTACCAGATACAGACTGGGTTTAAAGGGACACTATCTGCTTCATCTCATCAACAGCTGATAGTGTTTTGGAATCCCCTACTGCCATAATTTCATTCAGCATTAAAGTTTTACTGCTAAATGAGAGTTCCCAGCAGCCCCTCCCCTCTGTGCTGTATTTGCTAACGTTAAGTATCGGCCTAAGCAGCAATGGGAAGCTTTGATCGGTTGAGAGCATCAACTGATTATATGAAGGGTATCCCTGCAAGGAAGTATTTAACTTCTGCCTACGCGTCATACAAAGTGTATTTTAATATTTAAGTACATATATTAGTATTAAAATACACTTTGTATGACGATATATATATATATATTTACAATAATAATTTAAAATAAAATATTGAAACAAAATTTAATATAAATTATATATTCATATGTAATTTCATTCTAACTGTATTTTGTTATTAATATATATATGTAACAAAATACACTTAGAATGACATTCTATATATATCTATATATAAAATACAAATAACCGCAAAAAAAAAAATAAAAAAAAAAAATATATATATATATATATATATATATATATCTCTCAAAAAGGAAGAGATGCACTCTCAGGTCTTTGTAAAAAAACTCGATATTATTTAATAACAGGTAACATACATCTGATCGACGTTTCAACCTCTTCAGGTCTTCCTCAAGATCAATATACAACACAAATATATAGGCAACATAGGAGGAGTTACTCACCAAACAAACAGTGCACACCGGTTTCCATTAGTCCGAACCCGGAAGTGTAAGTGAAGCGTCATGTGACGTATGGGCGTGGCCATTACCATGATGTGGTTGCTAGGAAACGGGTAAACTAAACCCGAGCAAATATGTAGTGAACATGAAACAGCTCGGATTAGGTAGAGCAGTGTTTCCCAACCCAGTCCTCAAGGCACACCTACCAGTCCAGGATTTAGGGATTACAGGGTGTGTCTAAGGTGTTTTTACAAAGAAGAAAAAAAACACCTTAGACACAACTGGGTAATCCCTAGATCCTGGACTGGTAGGTGTGCCTTGAGGACTGGGTTGGGAAACACTGAGGTAGAGAATTATCTGTGCAATGGAGTGAAAGGGCATAAAGCCCTGTGAATTATACAGAACTATAATACCTACCAAGTAGCATGATATAAACGCAATACAGTGATCACCACTAATAGTGAGGACTCAAAGGTCCATTTCTATGAAAAAGACTATATTAATATTGATCCAGTATCTAAGATACACCAATTAAAGTGACCATATGTATGTGAATCTGAAGTAGTGTAAACATGCACCCGGTAAAAACAATACAAAAAAACAAATGTATAATGCGTAACACATACAATTAAATCAAGCATAACATGGACACAAAGTATACAGAGTATTAAAATGAGAATACTATGTGGGAACTTTAATTAGAGAATCCTACAAAATAGATGAAGATTAGGACAAAGGCTTATAGCATCTAAGGTTACTAGTTGGTCTCCCATACAAGTACTAGCCAGGCCTGAGTCTGAATAGCTTCTGAGATCTGGCGAGATCAAGCATTTTCAGACTACGATGGCCATAGGTTCTAGGCAAGAGAGTATGGACACTGGGTATTCAATGGTAATCTATAGGTAGTGGACTAAAACCACATTCAAGACAGAACAGAGGAAAAAAAGGACTAATCCATATACTCTGTATATCATGTAAATACACGGAAATAAATACTTCAAATAACAACTGCAGAGTCTATAGTAACAAGAAAACGGGTGTAGAGATGCCAGTTAGGCTAAATAATCACTGAAAGTGATTGGAATACAGCCATATGAGGTAATACTGAAAATCTATTGCAATATCAGTCACTGACCATGTGAGGGAAAAATGTACAGAAATTGCATACAGAAAAAATATATATATACAGACTATACAGAAAAATGTATACAAGAAATAAAATAAAATAGAATTACAAAACTACACTGCCAAAATGGTATATGCCAGTGTCGGAGGACCTAATTGATCACTATAACCAAGTCACTAGAGGTAAATGGAGTCTAGAGAAATATCACCAAAAACAAAACAAACAAAAAAAATAAATAAAATATATATATATATATATATATATATATATATATAAAAAAATACCAGTAGCTCCTGCATTCACGCTCAAATTACCCTTGTTGCCCGGGTGCTAGCAAGTTATAGCCATCCATACAAAAATCCAACAAGTAGCTGCACTCACGGTAAATAAAAAATCTAAATTTATTGAAAATAAGTTAAAACATCCACGATCAACGTTTCAGTCCTACAAGGACTTTCCTCAGGATCAAAAAGTGTTTGTGACTAAGTGGCTACTAAAGACTAAACATACCCCACTTTCAATACCTTGGGTTGTCTACTTTTTCAAATGTTATGCCATTATGGGGGTAATTCTCATTCCTGGGCTACCACACCGTCTCAAAGGTAACATTACTAATCTGGCAAATTTCAATTTGAAAATGGAACGTTCTATATTTGACCCTGTAACTTTCCAAAACATCATAAAACCCGTTAATGGGGGGTACTGTTGTACTCGTGAGACATCGCTGATTGCAAATATGTGCATTTTTTTGCAGTAAAACCTAACAGTATTATGACATTAACAGCTAAAATGTCAGACGGAAAAACAAATTTTAAAAAAATCTTATTTTTTTTAAATTTTATTCATAATAAATTATGTTCCATATATGAATAGTTAATGATAAATTAAAGCCCTGTTTCTCCTGAACAAAATGATATATAATAAGTGTGGGTGCACTTAATGTGACAGCGGTGAATTACGGTTGAACAGACATATAGCGCAAACTCCAGTTTTTGTTTACGTTTTGTTTTGATCAGAACGTGTACTATTGACTCCGTCCTGAAGGGGTTAAGAAGAATTAAAAAAAAAAAAAGTTTTGTATATATGCATTCAATGAAAACATGCATCTTTTTTTTTAATTGGATGCCTTGGGGGTATATCTAAAATAGCTTGCAAAAGCTGCAGTTCTCGTCTGAAATCTTTGCAAGCCCTCCCCTTCTTCTCCAGCCCATACCTTCTGTGGCTGTTCAGACGCCCCACTGCAGCGGAATGAGAAGCCTTTGCCAGGGATGTGCTCTGAGCAATTGTCTGCCTCTTAAGTTTAGATGTATTAAAACTGTCTGTTTGTCAGTCAGGGGAGGTATAACAAGGTTAAAGGAACACTATAGTCACCTAAATTACTTTAGCTAAATAAAGCAGTTTTAGTGTATAGGTCATTCCCATGCAATTTCACTGTTCAATTCACTGTCATTTAGGAGTTAAATCACTTTGTTTCTGTTTATGCAGCCCTTGCCACACCTCCCCTGGCTATGATTGACAGAGCCTGCATGAAAAAAAAAAACTGGTTTCACTTTCAAACAGATGTGATTTACCTTAAATAATTGTATCTCAATCTCTAAATTGAACTTTAATCACATACAGGAGGCTCTTGCAGGGTCTAGCAAGCTATTAACATAGCAGGGGATAAGAAAATCTTAATTAAACAGAACTTGCAATAAAGAAAGCCTAAATAGGGCTCTCTTTACAGGAAGTGTTTATGGAAGGCTGTGCAAGTCACATGCAGGGAGGTGTGACTAGGGTTCATAAACAAAGGTATTTAACTCCTAAATGGCAGAGGATTGAGCAGTGAGGCTGCAGGGGCATGTTCTATACACCAAAACTGCTTAATTAAGCTAAAGTTGTTCAGGTGACTATAGTGTCCCTTTAATTTATAAAAGTGACAATTTCTATAGAAAAAAAGACACTTTTCACACATAAAGCACTTCAGGTTGCTGAAATGTTTTAGGGGTCTGGAGTATCCCTTTAAGGAAGGGTTGAAATAGGACACATCTTTAACCCCTTAAGGACCCATGACATGTGACATGTCATGATTCCCTTTTATTACAGAAGTTTGGTCCTTAAGGGGTTAATGTCACCCTATAAATTGCCACAAAACCTGGCAAATATATACATGTGGGGTATTGCTAATAAAAGGCAATAGCAGAATAAAAATCTGTTGCAATATTTACAGTTGCAGGGTTAAGGGTAGTGGGAGTTGGCACCCAGACCACTCCAATGGGCAGAAGTGGTCTGGGTGCCTGGAGTGTCCCTTTAACGGAGTCTGTCCCACACAGGTGCCGCCATCCTCTTCTGGCGGGTTCTCACATGCACCTGGCACTATAGCGCCAGGAGCCAACATTCCTGCTGTACTCTTGAGCATGCGCGAGAGTACAGCATTGAAGTCTGTGGACAGAGCCAATTCCCTGCAGCAGTCACTGGTGATGGCTTGGGGATAAACGCTTCTTTACAGCGGTAACTCCGTCCAGTGTTAAATGTCAGACGTAGATAAAATACGAAGACAAAGTTTATCCCTGCTTTGTCTCCGTATGTATTTTTACTGGGTTGGAATTTCAGTGAATTCCAACAGTTAGCATGAGTATCCTGCCCCTGCATTCTTACTGTTCAATTCTCTGCCATTTAGGAGGTAAATCACTTTGTTTATACTGCCCAGTCACACCTCATTGCAGGTGACTTGCATAGCCTTCCTAAACACTTCCTGAAAAGGGACCTAGATATTTTAGGTTCCTGTATTGCACAGTCTGTTTAATCTAGAATTTCTTATCTCCTGCTGTTAATAGCCTCATAGACCCTTCAGGAGCCTCCAGTGTTAGAGCAGTATACAGGGCAGTTGAAAAATAAAATTTCTAAAGCAAAGTAACATCTGATTTAAAAAAAAAATGTATGCAGGCTCTGTCGGTCACCAACAGGAGAGGTGTGACAGGGCTGCATAAACAGAAATAGGTGATTTAAACTTCTAAATGACAGAGAATTGAGCAGTGAAACTGCATGGGGCATGATCTATACATCCAAACTGCTTGATTAAGCTAAAGCGTTTTTTTTTTGTTTTTTTTTTGTCAATTATTTTTTATTCTTAATCCACAAAATTATACAGGCAGTGCACAATGTAGAGAAAAAGAAGTAACCAGGTTTAAGACCTCACAATACATTTGTGCCTAGCCACGGCAGTAGCAGTTTGAGCATGAGGATTAGGTTTTTACTATATTTTATAAAAGTAGTAACAAGATATATAAGCTGTTAAACCGTACCAACCGTTCCCCACAAGAGATCGCTAGGTGGTTCAAATATTACAGAATGGTGGGCTGGCGTTGTGTCCCTTGTCGTAGTAAGGACATAAGCTGTGAGTGAACCCACTTAGTGGGTCCTCCATGGCCGCCATGCTGTGTTGCATAGTGGCCTGTTTACTGCTAATTGCTATCAGCTCTTGTTCAACGCTAGTGAGGCGGACCTCGTGGGCAGCAGTTTGGAGTTCAGCGTCTTGGAGGCGCACCGACGGAGAGCCTTTAAAGTACCTTCTGTCACCTGTGGATTGCCAGATTTTATTAGAGTTAAGTCATCTCTCCGCTTTGCATTAGGTGTCTCCTATTCCCGCATGACGACATGGAGGGCCCGTCAGAGAGAGGCGCCGTATTAGGCCTTGTGGGATTCCGCGGTCTCCATAAAAGATCGCCAATATCAGCGGTTGTCAGAGGCTTATCTGCCCTATATTTCTTGTTTTTGCATCCCATCATATGAGGTAGGGGATGCTCACCCTTTGGGGGAAGTATCGCTGGAAAATCGGGTAGTAATCGACACACGTCCAGTCAGTATGGCTGCTGGCTCCGCACCCCCAAGCTAAAGCTGTGTTGATACCTATAATATCAATTTAAATGTATTAATAAGATATAGCTGATTGTCTTTAGTTTCTTTAATTAAAGCAACATAGGTGTTGGCCAAAGTATGTGTTAATAACGGTGTCTTCTTTCTACAGACAGTGGAGAGCAAGTTTTGGTTGATGTTGAAGAGAAAACCAACACAGAAATTTTGCAGCACATTAAGAAAATATTGGGAAAGACTGAGTAAGAGAATACTGTAATGATGGATTTAACCAGCAAGCTCTGTACTTGTTTGTCTTTTGATTATGTAGTTGGCATATGAAAATATTTTAGCTCTAAGTGCTAATAGGGTGCTTAGGTCCTAATCTTGTCTGGCTGTATTTTTCTCATTTACGTGCAATCAATTAATAATGGGCTAAATGTAATCCAGAAAACATTTGTATGTTTCTGCAACCCATGCATACTTCTGTTTTGTAACCTGTAGGTGTCAGTCTAGAGTAGGTTTACATTCCAGACATCTATGGCAATTCAGCTTGTTGCTTTAGATGTAACTTTCCTATCCTTGCAGCCTTAAATGTACAAAAATATTAATTGCACAAAAAAACCAATTTTTTTTATAAATGTCCTTATTTGCCGGAATAAATGCATATGTCTGGACATACCCAATGGTTTCTTATTAACAGGCAGTCTTTTATACTGTGCCTTTGTCAACACTAGTGCCAAAACATCCTTTTTCCTCTGAACTCCAAATAAAAGACTGCCTGTTAATAAAAAACACTGAGTGTGCCCTGATGTATGTAGGTATTCCAGTTGATTCCTTTTGAGTTGGCCCTCCTGGTTTGGAGCACCCTGGTGGAAGTTTTCCCCTAGTGAGTGTGTATTGTCTCTTATACTCTGCAACCTGGGAAGGTACCTGCCTCATTTGCTTGAAATTCTAGTTTAAAGTCGAAGTTAGGGAAATCAACAAGTCAAGCAGACGAACATTCAACTGGGTCGCTAGTTGCTCATATACTACATACCATATACTGAATGGTCTGTTTTTAGTTTTGTTTAAGCGAAACTGACATTGAGAATTCTCATCATTTACATTTTGTGTTATTGTGGTAGAATCCTTCTATCCCTCATGGGAAAGGTGTAACTGAAAAGCATTAAAGGGACACTATGCACTAAAACAACTTTACAATACATTAGTGAGACATGTACAGACTTTGGACTCACTCCCAGGACCAGTATTTGTGCACACTGCATACTGGATTGTTGTTACTCTTTGACAGCCTTAAAGGGCTCCTGTCATGCCCAAAACTACCTTTGCCCTTTTTTAAAGAACATAAAAATCTTATCTACACATTGTTTTGCTAGAAAATGTATAGATTAAGAGCAAACCTTATTTAAAAATAACTCTCCCACCTGTCAATCATTTCTTCAGCACAGACTAAAGAATTGATTGATAAGTGAGAGCAGAATCCCCCTGCTCTCCATGTGACGCTGCTTGTGCTGGCTGGGGAGGTATAGGAACAGAACAACTGGCACCACTCAGTTCAGATATTGGCAGTGAAGGCAACGTGACCGCGTCATGGAGGTTTGCCTCTGTAACGATAATGCTGTACTGAAGCATAGGGTGAAGTGAGTCACAACAGATTTCTTTTAAAACAGAACTGAGCTTCACATTATTGCCTTGTTATGGCAGTTTGACATACATAAAGCTGCATGGACAGGGTTCTAGCACTTTAACTAGATTATTAATCTGAAGTATTTATGGTACCAAGAATGTTCGATTTAAAGAATTGTCTAGGCCATGTTACAAATCAGCTGTATGTTTTTATGGCTGATGGGGAGACAAAAACTTGTTCTGGTAACTAGCACTGTATATGGCTGAGTTACCCAACTTCCCATTTAAGAGAAATGTTCTAGAGAATTTTCACTCCCCAGAAAGGCACACTTAAATATTATCTCCAAATAACGGGCTGCCTTACAGGTGATACTCGCAAAAATTAGAATATCGTGCAAAAGTTCATTTATTTCAGTAATGCAATGTAGCTGTAAGCCATAATCATCGCACTTATGACAAATCACGGCTTGAACTATCTTGCTTTGCATGTAATGCGTCTATCTCGTATATTAGTTTCCCCTTTTATGTTGCATTACTGAAATAAATGAACTTTTGCACGATATTCTAATTTTTCGAGTATTATCTGTACTATTGTGCCTTGTCTGTCTTTCCTCTAAAGCAAATAAGTTAATACAGAAATAATGCAGTCTTTTTAATCTTTTTTTGTGTAATGAATTTTATGAACAGTCTCTATTAGAGATATTGCAAAGACGATGGAGCCAGCTTAACCATGGTGTTTTTCTCTCCCTTTCAGAGAGACTTTGAAAGCAGAGGAACAGGCAAAGATGCGCAAGTCTAATCCAGCCAACTTTGGGCCACAGAAGTACCACCTTCGAGAGTGCATGTGTGAGGTGGAGGGGCAGGTTCCGTGTCCTGGATTTGTCCCATTGCCAAAGGAAATGACTGGGAAGTACAAAGCCAAACTAAAAGAAGGCACAGAAGTGTGAGCCTCAAATTTAACTGCACTGGTCACAGACCAGTAAAGGACTTGTAACTTCAAAGACTTACCTGGGAATTCCCTTCCTCTTTCACAGAGTACAGAAACTTGCAGGTTGGTCAGATTTATCATTGAAGTGTACTGTATTTCTCGTACTGGCCAGAAACCAGCCCAGCAACAAACTGCTAAAGAAACCCAGAGCCTTTTGGGCAAATCTATGGTATGGGAATTCACAATGACTATTTTTTTTCTTTTCTCAAAATGTTTTTGTAACGTTTATTTAAATTAAATTGTACGGATTGTAATATTATAGTTATTGTTTGGTTTTATTCAGATCCAAAAAGTTTCCTGACCCATATACACACCAGCCTTCTCTGAGGGGTTAAATATGCGAGAGAGTAAAGTATGTCATATCTAGCCCAAGTAATCTTACCGGTGACACAATGGGACTTTGAATCATATCCATTTTTTTTTTTTTTTGTTATAACGGAGACCAAAATAATAACCGCAAAATAAATGGAAATACAGTTTAGTGAGGCTTATTTAAGCAGCTTATCAATGTCATATCTACATGAAGCGTTATTAGTGAAATATGCTACTTCTAGACAAATTTGTTTATTACATTACATTGCATTGCCAGATGGATGTTGGCACTTATTTAAAAAGAAGAAACCCAATTTAAGGGATACATTCAACCTATTACAGTCCTGGAGTTGATATGCCTCTGGCACTCGGTAAGATTCCAGTTTATGATGATTGATGGTTTATGAAAACTGCCTTACCTAAAAACCACTTATATTAGGATGATGACTTGCAATCCAAGAGGAAACAAATTCAGTACATGGGTGTCTGAGTATTAAAGCACCAGTCCACGCACTATAAACACTACAGTGTGCTTTGCAAATGATTTGACAACTTGAGTCCATTATTTATTGTGCTGGTTCATCTTATCAAACCAAAATAGCCAAACTAGAAACACAACTGACTTGGAGATTATTTCTATTATGGCCAGCACTTTAAATTCCCAGCTAGCCTCACTTTAGTGCCAATCCACTGGTAGTAATAAATAGCAACGTGAAACCAGAACGTAAGATGTTGTAATGTACTCAGTGCAGCAACAACAACGGCTGGGAAATAAATGTAGGCAAATAAGAGCGGAATGTGCATGTACAGAAAAATCAGCGAATTTTGTATAGGAGAGTATTTGAGAGCATATCATTTAAAGGGACAAACACCAGTACCAATAAAAGTTTATTGCAGTAGGTGTAGTGCAAGCAGTCCAAATCCGACAGCTTTTATAAAACGGACTCCTGTGATAATGCAGACATTTTATTATTGAATAAATCTATTCAATACTGAATGTCAATGATTAACTGTGAGTGCATGGGACGACTTGCCAAACCTTGTACAGGAAATGCAGAATTGAAAGTGCTACATTAGAGGCAGGCTAGGGCTTTGGATGCTGGAAGAGCCCACTGTTTGTCAGACCTCCACAAATGGAATGGGAAGGACAGCACCCAAAGACTGCAATGAGCTGTATTAGTAACAGTGATTACAATGTCGATGTAATGTTTGGAAAACATTGCCTATAGCTCTGTAGTCAGACAGAAGTCACTCTGACCTATAATAAAGATTTGCTATATGAAATGAGGAACGTTCTACCAATAAAAAGATCAATATTTAAAAATATACGCACATTCTGTTGAGACCAGAAAGTGGCTGAGGTTTTTCAGCCTGTCCTGATCATCCAGTTGTTGTTTATTTTCTTAATAGGTGTGTTAGCCATATTCAACAAATTCCAGAATGTATTTCTGAGCTATATAGAACTGGAGATGCAAGTAGTTTAAAATTAGACATAAAGGAAACTACTTGGAAAGTTTAATAAAAGGTTGCCGCTTCCAAGCTGATTATCTTTTGTTTTGGGAGAGGTTTTCCTCCCCTTTCATGGTCGTGTATGACTTTGTGTGATGCAGTCTCATGCACAGCTATAATAAAGCCTAAATCTGTTGCGTAAAGAAAACTATAATCAAGATAAAAACACAGAGGTGTTCTGGTATAGATATTGTATCTCCAATAGCTAATACACTTCTTATACAGAATGATTGAGTGGAACTGCTCTGTAAATTAATAGTAGACCTCCCACAGTTTTTATCATGGTGTTCTTGGCAGTGATGATGGTCGTAAATGTGCAGTCTGCAATTTGGTTCTCTCTTCTGGGATTAGAACGCTCTCAACACAAGGTGTGTGTGCACAGTCTAGACATGGTATCCAAGGCTTGCATAAAACTGATATACCAAGCCCAGAAACCGATTTTGGCTGGCTGATTGATAAGCAGCTGTAGGTGGAGCTACACCCTGAAATGAAAGGAAATATATCTTGTATCAAAGTGTTTCATGCCAACGTTTTGCAGTAGGGATCGACCGATTATCGGTTTTACCGATATAATCGGCCAATATTCGGTATTCTTGACAATATCGGTATCTGCCAATTCAGATACCGATATTGCCGATAATACCTCCTAGGACCGCCAGGCCCATTACAAGCCTGGCGGTCCTGGGGGGGGGCAGAGAGCAAGCATTTACTCACCTCCCAGCAGCTCCTCCAGCTCCCCAGTGCAACTCTCGCGAGTTGCACTGGGGAGCTGCTGGGAGGTGAGTAAATGCTTGCTCTCCGCCCCCCCCAGCTCAGCCAGTGCCACTGGACCACCAGGGACTGCTATATCCCCCTCCCTGGCCAAGTATGAAACAGGGAGGGGGGACAACAAAAATAATGAAATATTAAAAAAAAAATTAATAAAAAATGCCCCCTCACACACACACTCCATTATATGCAAATACACTACGCAAACACACTGTGTATATAATGCAGTGTTTGTATAGTGTGTGTATATAATGCAGTGTGTTTGTGTAGTGTGTGTATATAATGCAGTGTGTTTGTGTAGTGTGTGTATATAATGCAGTGTGTTTGTGTAGTGTGTGTATATAATGCAGTGTGTTTGTGTAGTGGGTGTATATAATGCAGTGTGTTTGTGTAGTGGGTGTGTGTATATATAATGTAGTGTGTGTAATGTGCGTATATAATGCAGTGGGTGTGTGTAGTGTTCGTATATAATGCAGTGTGTGTTTGCGTAGTGTGTTTATATAATGCACACTACACAAACACACTGCATTATATACACACTATACAAACACACACACTCTGCATTATATAAACACACACTACACAAACACACACTTTACATTTAGTATATACTGCATTCACTTTACGCACACTACCCACACACTACACAAACACTCTGCTTTCATTATATCCACACACACACTACACAAACACACACTGCATCCACACACACACTACACAAACATACACTGCATCCACTACACACACACTGCATCCACTACACACACTACACAAACACATACAGCTCCCCTGTCTAAACACACTGCATCCACTACACGTGGCATGTATATGTTGTGCATTTACCTTTTAGAAATAGTTTTTATTTTCCAAAATGGTAAATGTACAGAATATCGGCAAATTATATCGGCTATCGGCCTGAAAGTTCACAGAATATCGGTATCAGCTCTAAAAAAAAATCAATATCGAGTGATCCCTATTTTGAAGTTTGTTTTCTACACCTAGAATAGATTTTTTTTGTTTTTGTTTTGTGAAAATATCATATCTAGAATTCCAGGCAATATTAGCAATTATAAGTCGAGGAGTAAGTGGATTTGTTTAAAGCTAAACATTTGCATATTGTGTTCTGCACTTTCATTTATTTTATCACCAATCTCTGCCGAAACATTTCTTTGGAGATATATTTTTGTATGTATTTTTAAACATACATACCCAAACCATTGTCTATTCACAGTGATGACTATAGCTCTGAGTTATTTAAAAAAATTATAATAATAATAATTGTGTTGTGCTGCATCCCCTTAACAAGTAAATTCTCCCATTTTCTGGGGACATTATAGTGGTCAATTAGATATCTGATTATTTCAAAATTTGGATTTAAAACCTTGGCAGATTAATGTCACATTTGAAGCAGAATAACAGCCCCTTGTTGCAAATGACCCAATTTGCAAGATAGGACAATTTGGGCTATTTTACTTGGGTTATTTCAGGTCTGTTTACATTGCATATTCTTCATCATAATACAGCTGGTGATTCTGGGAAATGTTTCAGATGAAAAAAATTGGTTAAATAGATATGCAGGTTAGGGCTCTTTGCACTATAATTAAAGTGTTATGGAATGCCCAATTATGTCTCAGCTGGGATATTCCCCAATCCTTTATACACAGTTGTTAAAAGATCTCAGATTTTGAAGAATTAAGGTGTGCTATCAACTGCTCCCATACTTCATGTCTCTGCAGGATGATGAGCAACTCTTTCCTCTTCATTCCAATAAAAATAAATATAATGAAGGACGTTTTTCGTGTGCCATCCGTTCTTCGCTCCCGCTGACATGTCACAAACGCTGTGCTGATAAAATCACAGGTGTTGTCGTAATCCTCGCTGATTTGACGCACATTTTAATTCTCCACTGGCTTTTGATCAGAAGACATTTCCTTCTTTTTGAGTCCTTTTGATCTGCAGATGAGCGGTAATTACCAGTTCATTTACATTTCAGTCTCTGCTTTTCAGTGATTAAGTTTGTGTAGAGGGGTTCTGGAATCGGAAGCAGATCAGAGGGAAACGTATAGACACCGTATCTAGGGCAGTTCTTTATTTAACCACTCTGGCTAACTTAACTCTTCAGCTTCTTTTACCAAAAACAGTTATACTGCGCCCTTACACTTGGGAATCTATTCACTAAGAGCTGATTAGAAGCTGAATATGGTTAGGTTGTAACAGTTTGGTTTTAAAGTGCGCACTATGAAAGCACTTTAACTTGCTGAAATGCTTTGTGTGCATAGTGTGTCTTCCCCCTCCCCTTCATTTTACAAAAAGTGCAGATTTCGGTAGAAATGAGCACTTGTATAAATTAAACTTGTTACACCCATTTGGCTGTCAATCAGACAACCAGTCCTGTTACTTCCTGGTTGTTTAGCTCAGTAGATCTAAACTCAAGAGACACAAATTGATCAGAGCATCTGCCTTGCAAATACTGCTCTCATTGAGCTGCATTGTAAAGTCTTTGGACAGTCACAGAATGCCTGGCCTAGGGAAGACTTGCACTACAACAGACAACATATCTGCAGCTTTTGCAAGCTGTTTTAGATCTATTCCACTTCCACTGGGGAAAAAAAAATGCATAAATACATGGATGTCTTAATTTGGGGTACATCTACTAAACAGTGATTTTGATTTTAGTTTTGGACAGTGGTGTGTCTCTTTCAGTGAATGTAACCCATTCAGCAATTCACAAGATCTTTTCGGATGGTTATTTCAACAGAAGTTGTGCTTCCATTTGGCTGCTGTTGATATCGGCAGAATCTCCATATACCTTGGTTGACTCTGCAATTTATAAATAGTCGAATTGCAACTAAATTTGCTTAATTTTGATGTACAAGTGACTGTCAGGATTATCAGTGGAATGAATGCCCCCAGATTAAATTAGCATTTAAATCTGCAACAAGGTATAACTACAGCCAGCCTTGCTGTGACGTATTGTTTTAAAGAACACTTGTCCAGCCAAGTAATATAAGTTGAATAAGAGACGCAAGTCAAATTCAGTCTTCCACCTCTATCTGTTTCTACTGTTGATCCAAAAGAAGGTAAAACCCCCAATTTAAATCACTTTACAATTTATCCACAAAATGAGTGGACAAATCCTCCTTAATTACAAAATGACAGACTGGTTTCTGTTTGGACCAAGAAGCCATTTCCTTTTTATATATTATATCCATACATATACGTAATAATTCTGTTTTTCAAAAACATACATCCGGACATATAAAAAAAAAAATTCACATCTTTACGGTTGTTCTTGTAATTAACCCTACCCTCTTTCATAGACACTCTTCTTTCATCAAGTCTAAATGGGGGACTTGTTTTCCTTTGAACAATCCTCTTAAAGGGACACCGAAACAACTTTAATGCATTTCCAATGATTTTGGCCTCATTAATATGCTGTTTTTTTAATGCATGCTCAAATCTTTGTTTTTGCATAGAATAAATGTTTTGCAGAAAGCTGCACGATAAGTTGGCCTCTGTAACCACATCCCTTAGGCTAAAGAGGCAGGATTATGGTTCAGAATTCTGCAAAAACTTTGAGCGTTTCTTTTTACATTGTATTGGTGCCCTTTGTCCCTGAACAGCTTATCAGCTTATCTTGGTCCTGGCCTTTATTTGCATGATATTGCTGTACCCCTATGAGATACAGAAGGAATTGTGCAGGCTCTTTGTGATACAAGTGGAGTGCTGAAAACATGCACAGATAATCTCACCATACTTTTAGAATATATCAAAGATATAGGGTATATACCATAAACCTATAGTGAGTACGCTGTAGCTGGTTGGCAGTAGGATTTTGTGATGGACCGCCTGGCACCCCGACCGGGTACCTCCATCAATCGCGACTTCCTAGTACTTGCGAGCACCATAACCGCTGCAGCTTGGTTGGGGTCTCACTGTCCTCCACTAGTGATGTCGCGAACCGTTCGCGAACTTGCGGTGAACTCCGGTCAGCTGACACATCCCTGCCAATCTCTGGCAGACCCTCCCTCCCACTTCCTGGACAGCATCCACGTTGAAGGCAGCTTCAACATGGATGCTGTCCAGTAGGTGGGAGGGTCTGCCGGAGATTGGCAGGGATGTGTCAGCTGACCGGAGTTTGCCACGAACGGTTCGCGGCGAACCGTTCGCGGCAAGTTCAAACGGTTCGCGACATCACTATCCTCCACCCACCCTGGACCCAAGACCAGGATCAAGCTTCCAGTGGGTAGACCTCTCCTAGTCAGGAACAGCTCTAATAAGAGCTAGTGATCATACTCAGGGGAGTATTGTGATACTCCCAAACTAACCTCTACCTTACATACCTGTCTCTTGCTCTCTCCTAAAGGGTAGCACTCTACTCTCTCCTCCAGCTCTGCCTCACTCCCACCTTATTTGATTGCAAATTCCTGTCCTATTGTGTTCTACACCCCACCTCCTATAGAGTGTAAGCTCGTTTGAGCAGGGTCCTCTTCAACCTATCATTCCTGTAAGTTTTTTGTAATTGTCCTATTTATAGTTAAATCCCCCCTCTCGTAATATTGTAAAGCTCTACGGAATCTGTTGGCGCTATATAAATGATAATAATAATATAGCAATCCCCCCAAACATGAGCCAAGACTTCAGGAATGGGTAAACAAATCTCTCTTTAACGGTAGCCACACTTGGCCTTATATGACAATCCCCATGGAAGGGGTATGCCCACAGGGACCTTGTGGGGGACTGATTTGCATCTTCACAGATCAATAACAATAAGGTTACAAGGCACTACACTCCCACACACAGCACACAATCCCTCCACTCTGCCTGGGAGATAGTTGGATTAAAATTAGTACAGTTAATGATCCAATTATCTCCAAGCACATTAAAAAAAAACATAAAACCCCACAAATTTTACATCCTCTGATTTGGGTGACCAACATATCCAAAAATCACCCAGATCAGTTCAGGGGTTCAGGAATTTCCTGCAAGTCATTTATCTGACTGACCGCATGGTCCCATAGCCGAAAATAGTTCCATAGAATCGCGGCTAAGTGCCGCTTGGGAACCGCAAAGTTTTCATGCTGAAAATAGTTCCAGGGCATTCGTGGCTAAGTCCCCCTATTCGCGGTTTTGGTCCATGCGAACAAGCGGCCGCCACCTCGTGGTTGTCCATAGGATCTACGGCCAACCAGACGAACACTTAGACCACTACGGTGGAAATTGCAACAATGTATCAATTATGCTTAACAAGCTCCAGGGTGGTCTCTGGTTCGTGCGGCTGCTCAGTTACCGAACCATATAATTCAAATAGACAAACTGAGACTTTTATATCACAGTTTACAGGGTCCATAGTCTGTGGGCAAGAGGCTGGCAAGCAGGCCCCTCCAAGAACCAGTGACTAGGTTTAGTTCGTCACAGATTCGATCAAATGTGGGTTTTTGTTTTTTCCACACACATGAATTCTATTTTGAATGAAGTGTTGATAGTGGTTGAAGCAACCCTTTGAATATGGGATGCAAACCTGCTGTCCCCTGATTACTGAAAGAAAAGAATTCTGCAAGATGAAAAGTGTTGTTGTTTTACTATTTCTGTAATATACTCCTTAAGTTCCATGTGTGAATGCCATCTGACCCAGGAGCTTTGTTTACATACGTTTACTTTAATTGCTGTAGCACTTTATCTGTATGGTCTAGTCCAGCATAGGGCAATGAGTGGTTCTGGAATGAACGGCTCTGCGGAATGGGCGGGCCGACGGTAGGCAGTGGCTTTCCGGAAAGGACGTGCGGACGGTGAGCAGAGACACATGGTGGCCTGCCAGTTTGTCATTTCCCTATGCAACCTCATTGCTGGGAGGAAGTAGATACAGTTAACTTCCTCTGGGCATACAGAGATTGAGAGACCGGCACCAGGGCAAAATTCTTAGTCTAATACTAGAGTTACCCTCTGCCCACACAGTCCACCCTGTGGCAATGAAAGGATTCAAACACTTATTCCAGTGCTTAAGTCCCTCAACAGTGACTCTGTCTCCTCAGTCAGTGCAAGGGAGAACCTAATTCGCATGTACAACACTCAATGCTCTCCTATGAGAGAAAAGGCTGGAGGTCCAGTGTTAAACTACATGAAACAGAAGGAAACGCCTCTAGTGAGTGTCTAGTCACCAGAACAACTACAGCTTATTGTATATACTCTGGTGAGTATAATCATTCCCTTCAGGTTTTTTGTAGTAAACACAGTGTTTTACATTACAGCCTAGGCATATGTTCACTGGCCACTCCTCTGATAACTGCTAGAGGTGCTACCTGGGGCAGTGCTGCCATTCAGTGTCTCCACCCTTTTTTAAATTTGTATACGGAGGGGAGGGGGGGGAGAGAGAGGAACACACTTAGGTTTGATCTTGATCTCGGTTTTCATTGTCTAGTCACTTTATAAGGAACACAATTTCATCTATATACTGTACTATTATACTATATACTACTTCATAATACTATATTACTTCAAGTGTAGATGAAGTTATTCAGTAAAGACTAAAAATACAGCATGTATGATTAAATCTGTGTGTTACAAGCCACAGGTGCAACCACAACATCTCACCCATGCACTCTTCAAACCACAAATTGTGTTATGCCAAATTCGTCATTTATGGGTGAATGCCATCTTGGAGAAGGAAGCGATCTTCAGGTTAAGTATATCTCTCAATCTATACAATTGCTAATCTCTCCTATAAATTTTATAGAATTTGATGAGCTGCTCTACCCCCCTCGTCATTTGATGATTGTGAGTCTATTTTAGCTCCACTCCTACCAACAGAGCACAAACTAGTATTAGTCTGTTAGTGAATCTCTTCAACACAAAGCTTTAATGGTGATTTACTGAGATCTCAGTTTATAGTGCTTTTGTAGGTTTAATGAATGTGCTGCATCACTCACTTTGTGCTGGTAAAGTGGCTCTCACGTCAAACTTAACTTTCTCCAAGTTTCCATTTTCAGAATCTGTTTGTCGGTTCTGATCTATTTTCTCTTGAAAACATAAGACAACGGAGCGACTTAATGTTGTCAAGCGTAAAAAATACAATAAAAAAATAAAAAATAGCTTAATGACGAAAAGAAGAACAGATTGTGAAAGAGGAAGAGAATAAAAGAACGGTAACTGACAGCCATTTTAAATGGTCTATCCTGCTAGAATGGAGGAGAATCAGGGGTCTATACAAAATCTCCAGCCTTTGGGAGAAAAATGTACTGTATTCAGAATATGCAAGAGAGGATATTTATAAAAGAGTGTCAAATTAGTAGTTGCGGAGCAATTCCCTCATCATTTCCATGGCGATTGCACCATGTTTACAATTCTGCTCCACATTTTTTTCTTCAATAGATTTGCTCTCATTCTATTTGATGAGATACCCAAAACATTAGTTTCCCCTCAAATAAGATCCAATCACACTGAGTTTATTTTTATTTTTTTGTTTATTGAACTTTTCATTATACAAAATGTTCCAGTAATCGCTGCCAGATGAAATCACATGCACATTTGACATAACCAGAAACCAAAACAGCAGGTTAAATGCATTCACAGCATTGATGTACCACTATGCATTTATTCTTGCAAAGCATTATAGGGGTTTATCTGCTAAACTGTGCACTGAACATATCGCTTGTATTTTCAGTTTGGCTGTTTTAAAATAATTTTATAAAATAAAAATTTATATCTATCCTTTCATGAGAAAAAAAAATATTAAGAGGAAACATTTCCTTATTCCTAACAATGGAAAGTTTCTTCACTTAACCCTGAATTGTAGTGAACTGATATTCAAATTCAAGGTACACTATAGTCACTAGAACCACTCCAGTTTAATATAGTGGTTCTGGTTTCTATAGCTTCTCCTTGCAGGAAATTTAATGTGAACGCTGGCTTTACAGAAAAGTGGGAAAAAAAACGTTTTCTCATTGCTGCGTAGTAACACCTCTAGGTGCCGTCACTCAGGCGGTCACTAGAATTGCTTCCTATCTCCGTGATGCACGGTGTGCAGGACCTGTGTTCAGTGTCTGCATACCCTGCATGGAGAAGCTGAACGTTCTCCAACGAGATGCTGATTGGTGCAGCGTGGCGTTTTACCATCCATGCTCAATAGCTGCAGTGAGACCGGTACAGTGATGGAGAAAAAGTTTAATATATTTTTACTGCAATCTGAGGGGGGAGGAATCCTGAACAGCCACTCCAGCACTATAGTGTTAGGAATAACACTTTTTCTTTTCAAACTATGTATAATTTATCTGAAAACAAATACATGTTTGTATTCCTAACACTATAGTGTTCCTTTAAGGACACACCAGCCAAACTGTGACTATAGCAGAGTTGTAAAATTTTTCCACATCAGCTATTTTTACCTACATTTTGCATGATTTCAATTCGCTACAATTGAGAGTTTAGTAGACAAACTCCTAAAGTTAGCCTTTTGTCAAGCAATTCAGAGCTGCAGGAAACTGCCACAATCAGTTACTATTGAGCATTCATTTTCAATGAACGGAGCTGAACACAGGCCGGTTCTGAGAATTCCCAATTTACTTGACAAAGGCTAAATTGTAGGGTAAACAACATCTGGATCTACCTGATGACAATACATTTGGAGAGATTTGATTTCTTCAGAATGCTGGAAACAGCAAGTATTTGCAATGCAGCTTAGTCAGTCATCGCATACCTTCAAAATGCAGGCAATTCAGAAGCTCAAATGGTGAAAACGTAGCACAAGAGCCAATGAAATCTGATCAGGCATTAAGAGAAAACTATGCATGAATTCCAACAGGCATCCCAGTTGGTGAATTGTCCCCAAATAGATGAAGACTTAAAAGAACACCACAAGCACCATAACCACTACAAGTACATGATGTTATGATGCCAGACACCCCAATGTAAGTATTTAAATGGTTTGTCAATGGTTTGACTTCTTACCTGGGATCTGCCAGGCGCCTCTATCTGCATCCAGAAGCTGCCTTCAAAGAGCTAAAACTGGCTATAGTGGTTATGGTGCCCGGAGTGACCTGGAACCCACCCCCATGTACGTAATCAAATTGATTGGTAACGGTTTGGCTTCTTACCAGTAGTCTGGTGGGCACTGCTCCCTGCTTCTCTGTAGCTTAAAGTGGGAACTGAAAGCTCTTAGCAGGAGCTTTCATTAGCTCTCCTAAGCTAAGCCCTGCAATACATGCTAGCTTATTGCCGAGAGTATCAGCAGATCGCTCTCAGCCAATGGTAAGATATCTTCTTGATTCAGGAAAATGTGCTCAATAGATCATAAGTAAAAAGTTAAACCATTAGCAATGTTTGAATAATTTAGGTGGGAGAAGGAAGTGAACTCATGGCACCATAACTGTATGAGAAGTTATTAATAATCAGGAGACCAGCATTACTCTAGATGTAAACTAACACAAATGTGTGTTTGTGCAGCATGTTTTAACCATTTGAGTTTCTAAACTGCATGAATATTGAAAAACATTAACAAAAAGATCACACACACAATTATAGGTTCACCAAAGGAGATCCAACCAAAAAACAAGCAAGCGAGGCTTAGTGATAACAGCCACTGCACTCAAAGATATTATGATCAACACCTCTCAGACTGACCTAAGGCATGGCAAATGTGCCCAGGCTAGTTTTGTCTTTTTCTTTTCAAACTATGAAAACAAATAAATGCTATGACCAATTTCAGAAACAAGTTATCTATCAAATCCCAGCTCCATAAGTAATAACTGGGCTCTCAGACCCTTTACAATGTAAAATAAATGAATACATTACATGCTAGCTTTAGTACAGAATGCAGAAGTAGTCCCTAGTCCCTATGAAAAGTCCCTCACATTCAGATTCAGCCACAAATAACAATATGAAAGACAGTCAGTGGGACTTGAATAACATTAAGCCTTTTTAGTGAAGAGAGATCAATCTACACACCATCTTGCATTTAAAGACACACAGGGCATTTGTGTCGTAAACTCCACGTTGCCCTCTGAGTGCTTCATTGCTTTCATATCATAACCAGGAACAAAGCATAAAGATCAATACAATTGCCTTATTTATTTCTCTACCCTCAGCTCATTTATAAGGGTAGGAGATTCTCCAGTCTTTTAAACACAATAAAATAACCTGATACTGCTGTGAAGAACGTGAAGGAAAAAACATTACACGAATAGGCACTTACATGAACAAAGAAATATGCAATAAATCATTTAAGGCTCAAACATACACATGGTTATGTAACATTTTGCCAATAGATAATCTGATGTAACCTAGTACTGAACCATATTTAATGCCTTGAAAACTAAACTCAAAAACCGGTTTAATAAACCATTCACAGAGGATTATTTGCTAAACAGTGCATTGTCAGGCGCAGACCATTGATAACATTTTAGCTGGAATGGCTGTTTGGCAAATAAAACAATCGCTTTTTGCAATGATCAACAACATACGGTGTAGAATAATTTAAAAATGCTTTTTCACCCCCTGTGAGACAGGAGTGGGCTGCTAAAAACATTCAGTTCAGTGTGTTCAAATATAGAGATAACCATTTGAGACATAGTGAATGAGTCAGAGTTCGCGCAAAAAACAAATTGTGTTACTCATCAATCCAACTTTTTCTATATGTGCAGTTCCTGTCTCAATGTAAATAAAATCAGAAAGGATCAGTTCACATCTACCTTGTTACCTTGTGCGAGTGGTATTTTTTTTAATATAAAAAAAAAAAGGTTTTACATTAGTGTGATAACATTGCTTTAATAGTGTTTTATTAATGGGGTTAGAAGGTATATATTACATCACATTATATAGCTAACATTCATCACTTTAGAACAAATGAAAGCTGCATTGCATATGGTCTGAAAAATAGCTTACTGTATATAAAAAAAGGCAGCGGAATGTGTATATATATTTAACCATTACCATACAAAGCACTATAACGGTGTTACGTTCAGACGATCACAGCATCAATAAACTGCTGTGTCAAAAAAAAGTCTTGTTCAAAGGATCCACTAACATAAGGCCAGGACGGGGGTTTAAGACTTGGAGTATAATTTTATGTATAAAGGGGTTCCTGGGTCTGATACAGATATTGACAAGTTACAGTCGGCAGCACTGAACGCATATATCCCTCAAAGGAACACTCCAAGCCACTAAAGGAATTTAGTTTGTTGAAGTGCTCTATGTATGAAGAATGAGTCCTCTTTTTTTACATTTAAAAAAGTGCAGATTTCAATAGAAATCTCCACTTTTATTAATTAACCTGGTTACACCCCTGGCTTTTTACTTTCTGGTTTGGTTAGCTCAGTGGGGCTAAAGTCAAGAGGCAGCAATTGCACCTGCCTTGCAAATACAAACTGAGCGGTTTGTGATTTTTAGTCACAAAATAGACCATATATTTTAAAGTGGTTTCTAAAATGTAATAAAGATCAGATTACAGATTTTATCTTCTCTTAATCTTTAAAAATGTACGGCTGATACAGATTTAGTTGCAAAAATTAAAGCATTAATAAGTGATAGGTACATGCCATAATTTCAAGGCAGGTATACAACAATGCAGCAAGATTTATTTTAAAAGTCTATTACAATGCTTATTTAAGAACTTATTTTATGGCAGAGACACTATTCTATTAAAATAACATTTTGTTCCCCTTATTTAATAATTAAATTTTTAGACTTGGGATCCAAAATTGTTATATTAACAGGAGAATCGCACACACACACGCGCACGCACACACACACAACCATACATTTTCACCGGCAAATCTATTTAATTGTAAACAAATTTAAATGGAAGAGTTAAAAAAAAAAAAAAAGGGATGATTTTTGGATAGAAAAATTGAAGCAGTAACTTGTTCCCTCTAATAACAATTTCTCCACTGTGGATCATCAAGGAAATGTGCACAGCCCTCTTAATGTACACAGTAAAGAGGTGCAAATATAAAAAAAAAATTTAACGCACATTCAGTAATACTAGTATGTAATATAACTTCAGTAATAATAATAATAAAATAATAATAAAATAATAATTGTGCTTTAAATTAAAAAGCAAGCCCATTGCCAACGGACAGCCGATATGCATTACATAGAAATAGGATGCCACAGGTAGAAATTATGTGGCAATTGAATACTGGGGTCCTTCTCGGATTTAATTTAGGGGTTATTCAACAAAAAGTGAGCTGTGGACAGTTGATAAGAGTTTCAAACATTTGGCCAAAGTTTCCAACCTGTATTCAATTTTATCCTCACTTGTGATAAACTCTGTGGGTAACGCACTGTTTAGCCCCTTAATGCATGCATGGATAGCCAAGAGATGGTGCTTTACCAACTGTTGTAGATTCACAAAAGATGGCAAAGCATCATGGAGGTGCAGTATGACATATCGCATTATCCTTTACAGCAGAACTTGCAAAGCATTGTGGGAAATTACATGACACTCACTGGCTATCCCTGGAGTTTGGATATTTGCTCCAATGATGCAGAAAGCTATGCTGGCAAAGCATCATGGGAGATAAATATCCTTGTCCTAGAGTTTGTATCTTTGCTCATTAGGAAAATTAAGTAGAAGAAGAAAAGAAAAGAAATGAAAAAAAAACAACTAATGTTTTTAAAGGAAAATAACCCTGAATCTTCCAATGTGGAAGATAAAAGGTTAAAAAGAGATTTCCCTTCACATACAAGTGGTCGCAGAGCTGTTCTCACCATAGCTTATGAGCAATAGTAAGGATTTAAGTATATACTACAAAAGATGCTACAGGAACATATCTTTACCATGAAAATTCCAATCCCCAGAGCACGATGGGAGGGAGCATTCCATGTAAATGTTCTATTACAGTGATATCCCCCCTTTAAACTATTCACTCATTGATCATGTTTCTCATGGGATCAGCATTAGGATTTGCCTAAACTATTATAACGCTTAGTGGCACTGACCCAAATAAACGGAGACCCCCAAATATAAAAGTTAAAGCCAACAGATCAAAATAGACTTTTTACATATGTCTGAGAATGGCAAAAATACTTAGCATTAGCTCAATACAATTAAAGAGATCTCAAATTTCATGAGCTGGTTATCAGAAGACAGAGGAATCGTTATTGGTTGAACTCATTGAACCACTGTATGAAACCTCTCTGGAAGTACTGGGAATCGGTCTGACTCATCCCACTGTGAGAGACCAGAGCACGTAACTTCAAATTTGTTCTGTCAACATGTGTATATTCTATCAGAGAGATGTATAAAGTGCTCTTTCATGTAGGAGGAAGTGGAGTATTGGATGCACTATTTTCTCTGCAGGAGACGTAGAAGTCCATGCTTACCGGTAACTAGAAGTCACTAACTCGATTACTGAATATAAAGACCCAATATGACATTAAGCTTTAAACGCCATCAGTGCAATGCTCACAGTCTGGAATGGACACTCTCAATGAACTATGGCATGCCTCTTCATGCTGTAGTGTTTTCTATAAATAGAGATCTTAAAGACAGTATCAATGTCAGTGTACTTGTTCTTTGTAGTTGTATTCCTAAATGCAATAGCTGAATCACAAGACGTCCCAACATTAAAGATCAATTGACTCGAATGGGTTAATATAATTTATGCTTATTCCCAAGATAAACAATTTGAATTATTTTATACCGGTTACTATATCGACACAACAGGTTTTAAAGACATATTGTGCATTTTGTTTTGCACATGTTTGTGGCTCGCCATCTTGTATCATTTGATACACACTAAATGCACATGATCCCTAATAAATGAGGGATTTTTAGCTCTTTACGTGTTCCAGACAGACGGGTGACCAATTGCATCATCATAAAAGAAAGGAATGCAAAATTAAACATGTATTTGTTATTTTTCAAATGTGGCTTAATAAGTTACAAGAATATTTAAAGCATTCCCTTGCATACAATATACAAATTATACGAACCTATTAAGAGTATCTTTAAGTGGAACATGTTACAGCCTTTAAAAAAAAAAAAAAAAAAAGTTTATGTGAGAGGCTGATAGTAAGGCCCAACATAATATGGAGTAGGAAAATGCAGAATCTACTGTCACACTGCATCACAACACTTCACATTGATGCCCTTCAATTGTAATTATCTGCATGCCAAATACAGCTGTGATCTAGCCTGGTAAAGCTGGGTCTTAAACCTGTTTGGCACGCCAGGCTCATCTGGACTCAGAAACACATAGGATAATCATCCTTCTGGCTCCCAGGACTACAAGTTATAGTGATATGCAAAGTGATTCAAGATGTTGCTGGCCTAAAAATGGATGCTGGACTCTGTGATAATAAAGTCCTCTGCCCAGGAGAATTTCTACTCCAACTTTGGTCACTTGTTCAGGCTCTTCTGCTTTGCCAGTGTAGCCTTTAATTCTCTTAGATTTTCTGTTAATACCTCAACCTCATCCAGGCGGCCACTGTGTTTAGCATCAAAGATGTAAGCTTTGATGTTATCAATCTGCTGTAGGAGTAGATCTTCGTCTATTGCCTCATTTTCCGGGGATTCCTCGTCTTCCTCAAAAGGATTCCCCGACCCAGAAGGTTTATCAACATCAAAGGGATTTTTAGAGGACACAGGCTCCCAGTAATTGTGCTTTGTGTCCTCAAAGGGGTTGGATGGAATGGTTTCCGACCCTTTCTTGCTCTCTACATCTATTTCATTATTCTCATCATCTTCTTCAAACGGGTTATATTCTCTACGGCCATTCTGCTGAATGTAGTTTTGCAGGGGAGGTGATGGCTCATTGTCTTCATCTTCAAATGGATTTGGGGGTGTACATTTGTCAACAATTACATTGGGCAGTAAAGGAGAAAGACACGGAGGATGATTAGGGATATTAAAACTGGGCTCAGTTAACATTCTATCTTGAGATAATACAGGAGAAGGGGAAGTCAGAAGAGGGCTGGATGGTAGTTTAGGGAGCTCCAAGTCAAGGGCTGAGGTCTGGTTGTCTTGCCAGATTGATACCTGTGCTGGCTCTCTGAAGTCCAGTGAATGAGTCCTGGTGTGTTTCGTCAAGCCCTTGAGATGCTCTCGTTTCTCTTCTTTTATCCTCAGCACCTCCAGCTGCTCCCGTTGCATTTCCTCCTCTTCAGCCAGCTGTTTGGACATGCGTATGGCGGTTTCTACCTGCTGTTGGTCATACTCCTCTTGGAGCTGTCTCAGATTCTCTTCCAGCATTTGTACCTCATCCACCCGGCCAGCCTCTCTTGCCTGCAGGATGTATGAGGTGATATTCTCAATCTGCTGAAGAAGTGGGTCTGAGGTGTCTCGGTTTCGGGGGGCTCCAGGTGTTGGAAGCCAACCCTCCACCTTCCGGATGCCTCTCTTGGGTGACAGATCTCCATTGAGTGCATTGGAAGAGCGAACAGCAGGATCTTTTTTTCTCTCCTCACATCTTCTTTGGGCTTCAAAAGCTACCTGCGAAAGGGCCAAGTAGAGAGAGTCACAGACCAAAGACACAGACAGGTAGTTTCAAACACAATGCAGACACAAAGTTATTAAAATGCTGAAAAGGTTTTAGAAAATATTTCAGAATAAAATGAACATCTAGGATATGTTCACCATTAGTACACACCCACGGCTTCCTTAATGTGAAGTCCACTAACATCATTCAAACACAAAAAAATTTAAACTCACCTTTTTGAAAACATAACCGACCTACAGAGAAGTCAGCCGATAAAAGTTTCTTGCATTGTTTACCCTTTGCATTTTAAATACGTTGGTAAAAAAGGAGAGAAGAAAGTCCATAAGAAACGAAAAGGATTAGAAGACACTAATGTACCCCAGTATCTCACCTGCCGGTCCTTCTGCATTCTCTGCTCATTCTCCTGCCGACGCTTCTCTTTCAGCTCCTCATACTTCTCCTTAGTTGGCAGGGACATTAAACCCAGGAGTTTCTCCTATAAAGAAGTGGGTTACATGGATTAATAAACCAGAGCCATAATTATTTTTTGGGATTCATTAATTTTTTTTTGCCAGACAGTATTAATAATTCATTATGGAGTGCTTGGCAGCCCGTTACCTGCACAAATAGTGTGGCTGAGTATCTAACCATCTTCTGCAGTTGCTGGGTTTTGGGGTGAGGTTTAGGCTCTTCATTCATTCCTAGAGTTAGAATCTTCTTGCTGGGAAGCAGGTAGCAAGAATTAGAAAATTATTTGTAACTGCCATTATATTTACAGTAGTCTAAAATGTTATTGTAAATATTTGTTTATTGTTCTACATTAAAATGTCATAAAAAGAAATGGGTGGTACATTATAGACAACATGGCTTGTGTTTGCAGATGCCAAAATACAACATTAAAGGAACACTATAGTGTCAGGAATGCAAACATGTGTTTCTAACACTATAGTGCTTAACCAAGGTTTAGGTTTACTAACCTTTTCTCCCACACCTTGCCGGTCTCATCACTGCTGGCTCAACCTCCATGACTGAGATCATCAATCTTAAAGGACCACTATAGAGCCAGGAAAACACTCGTTTTCCTGGCACTATAGTGCCCTGAGGGTGCCCCCACCCTCAGGGACCCCCTCCCGCCCGGCTCTGGAAAGGGCAAAAGGGGTTAAACTTACCTTTTTCCAGCGCTGGGCGGGGAGCTCTCCTCCTCCGATCCTCCTCCTCTCCTCCCCGTTGGCTGAATGCGCACGGGCAGCAAGAGCTGCGCGCGCATTCAGCCGGTCACATAGGAAAGCATTCATAATGCTTTCCTATGGACGCTTGCGTGCTCTCACTGTGAAAATCACAGTGAGAAGCACGCAAGCGCCTCTAGTGGCTGTCAATGAGACAGCCACTAGAGGATTAGGGGGAAGGCTTAACCCATTCATAAACATAACAGTTTCTCTGAAACTGCTATGTTTATGAAAAAATGGGTTAAACCTAGCTGGACCTGGCACCCAGACCACTTCATTAAGCTGAAGTGGTCTGGGTGCCTAGAGTGGTCCTTTAATGATCTCAGCCAATCCAATGCTTTCCCAAAACGCAGCTGCACCAATGAGCATCTCTCAGCGTTGGGCAGCAAATACCCAAGAAGCACCTTTGGTGGCAGTCTGAGTTTCTTGAGGTGTTACTAGGCAGCAATGTAAACACTGACTTTTCTCTGAAAAGGCAGTACTTACATTGCTCAGCCTGCAGGGACACACTACAGACACCAGAACAACTACATGAAGCTGTAGTGGTTCTGGTGACTATAGTGTCCCTTTAAGGAGATTCACACACGTGAGGTATGGATCTTACATCACTACACGACATGTGAAAATAAAATTAAAATAAACAAAAAACACTGTGAAAAGTGCTGGACACATAGCTTACAAAAAGATTGACTTCCCATCAAGTTCCTTCTAGTTGGTACTTTTGTGCAAGGGATAGAAGTATGGGCTTCAGGGAGCCTTGAAATTATCATCGGTAACTACTATGAAACAGGCACTATTTAATCATTATAATCCAACAACCACCCAACAGAGGTTTTCCATGGCCCAAACCTTGTTTTGGTTTTTTTGCCAGAAACTGAACATGCAGCACTATAATTCAGTAAAAGAACTACTAGCCAACAAGACATTTTCTCTAATACCAGTTATGTCTAAATTATAAAAGGGTGTGCTCTAGACCAGCCTTTCTCAAACCATTTCTAACATAATATATGATATATGTAGGAATCCCAAGGTTTACAGAAAATATATTGACTCCATCGCCCACCATTCATTGAGAAAGCCTTGAGGACTAATGGGGAATGTTTCCAGGAATGCACGGTTCTTTCACATGCTTAAGAAGATAAGAACCAACTTCTCCATTCAACATTCCTAACAATGGACGATGAAAGCTGCCAGGAAGCTCAGGAGTTAAAAAAACAAAAACAAATAATCTATGTATATGCAGTCTTCACAAACCAAAATCCTGGGTGTTCCTTACCTCAAAGCATCTATTAATTCGTAGTGTTTCTGCACCTCTATCCGTACATTATTGGCATGTTCCAAATTATAGGTTGTCTCGCCCGCACTGTAAATGTAAAGAGAAAGCTCGATGTAGATTATTTCCAAGATAATTATCCGCTGTCAGAAAGGTAGTTACTGGGACTTTGCAAGTCATCTGGTGACAGCAAAGACACGTGGGTGGAACAGCACCCTTTCTTTTGTGTGCTTTTTGAGTACAGTAACGGTAGCATTACCTCCTCCCACCTTCAAGATTTAGGATCTCTGACACCCCACTGATTTCGGTTTTAATTTATTTATTTTGCCATAGCAATGCAGTCTAGTTCATGCTGTGTTTTGAGCATTCTCTAAACAGAATAAAGGCAATTATCTGAGTATTAACAATTGTTTTGTCTGACACTTTACAAGTGGGAGATGTTCTTTAAGTAATGCAGGATTTAAAAATATATTTAATAAACAAACAGATAATCGGTAACAATTGTTACAGGTTTGGTTTAGGTAGACAAACATTAATTGTAATCCCAATTTTGCATAATTATGTTTAAAGTGGAGTTGTAACGTTATGTAAAAATAACATATAGGCGACAAGTAAACGGTTACAAAAGAAAACATCTATCACATGGATAATTTAATAAGGGGAAATGCTGATACAATGTACATGCCCACATCCCTTAATTCCACAAACACCCTTTTTTGTTAAAAAATAAATAAAATTAAACCATTTATTCAGGAATGAAAGGAACCCAAGTCAGAGCAATAATGAAGCACAGAGAGGCTTGGAGGTATGTATAGTTACTGTCTTGGTCCCCAAGAATCCCTACATAACCGCTTTCCTTTAAAAATATGAACCACCTGTTCTAAATTTACAACCCAAATCTCACTGTCACCTACAGCAGTTGTGAATGAGAAAGATTAGAACACACAAAAATATATTACCGGAAATTTTGGCAGACACAGGGAATAAGATGGCTGTATTAATAGCATCAAAAACCATACAGATAAATGCATAAATGAATGAGTCTATTTTGAAAAAATGCAGAATTTGTTTCGAAATTTTAAATTTGACAGCTACGTTTAAACTTAAAAATCCAACAGATCAAAATGTAAAAACTTGTAGCAGTTACACAGCCCCAGACATTAAACATTTCAAAAATGGACAGAGTGTGCTCCAGAATTGGCCCAATATCTTTTCTGTATATTTATGCATGTTAATCTTAATTGCCATAGTTGTGCACAGATTGTAGGATTTTCCTTTTTTATGTTTAAGTAATAGCAAGTGAGGTTATTTATCATTCACTAAACTCTGCAATGGCAAAACGGAGGTTAGAATAGTCAAGCTGTAACTATAGCCAAGTTAAAAATTGTTTTCAGGTCATCTATGCTACCCTTGCCAATCAGCATTTAGTGTGGAAAAAACATGCTTTTTGTTTCTATTTTATTTACGCACACACTAAAGATTTTATCTACTCTGTAAAGTATATAAGTTGGCATCTCATACAGGGCGACGTGGTGGCGATGATTCTATATATGCTTGCTCCTAGAAACCCCTCTCTTTTCTGTTTAATGTTTCACCCATAAAGTACATACTGCCCTCTGACCCAGCTTATTTGCCCCCCAAACCCCAGTTTAATGGCTTCAGTAAAGCTAAAAATAAATAGAATTTTTGCTGGGTGTCCATGATTTATGTAAAAAAAAAAAAACAAAACATTTTGCAGGCTGACGGTACTCACTTTATTGACTGGGCCATTTTTATATATTCCGGAGCCTTCTGTTCTACCTTCTCCATACAGCTTCGAAGTCTCTGGAAATCCAAGCAGAACTCAATGAATCTCCTTCTAGTGCAGCTTACATTCACCAGCTCCATAACCCTCTCTTTAAAACCGTCTCACAGTCACTAGTTCCATTAAACTCGTTATAACTGGCTCACAGTCACCAGCTTCATAACCCTCTCTTTATAACCAGCTCACAGTCACCAGTTGCATTACTCTCTCTTTATAACCGTCTCACAGTCACTAGTTCAATTAAACTCGTTATAACTGGCTCACAGTCACCAGCTCCATGACCCTCTCTTTATAACCGTCTCACAGTCACCAGTTCCATTAACTCTTTATAACTGGCTCACAGTAACCAGCTTCATAACTCTCTCTTTATTACTGGCTCACAGTCACCGGCTCCATTACCAGCTCATAGTCACTGGCTACATAACCCTGTCTTTATTACCAGCTCACAGTCCCCATAACCCTCTCTTTATTACCAGCTCACAGTCACCAAATCTACAACACTTCCTTTATTACCGGCTCAGTCACCGGCACCATTACCCTCACTTTATTACCAGCTCACAGTCACACGGTCCATTACCCTATCTTTATTACTTGCTCACAGTCACCATAACCCTCTCTTTATTACCAGAGAACAGTCACTGGCTCCATTACCCTCCCTGTATTACCAGCTCACAGTCACAGGATCTATCACACTTCATTTATTAGCAGCTAACAGTCATTGGCTCCATTACCAGCTCACAGTCACAGGGTTTATCACACTTCATGTATTAGCAGCTCACAGTCCTCATAACCCTCTCTTTATTACCAGCTAACAGTCGTTGGCTCCATTACCCTGCCTTTATTACTTTCTCACAGTCACAGGGTCTTTTACCCTCCCTTTATTACCAAATAATTAGCATAGAATTATGGGAATTGTAGTGTATATACTGAAGTGATCATTGCAAAATTTTATCCCTCACAAAATTTTTTATTTATTTTGCCATAGCAACACAGTCTAGTTCGTGCCGTGTTTTGAGCATTCTCTAAACAGAATTAAGGCAATTATTTGAGTATTAACAATTGTTTTGTCTGACACTTTACAATTGGGAGATGTTCTTTTATAGTAATGCAGGATTTAAAGATATATTTAATTATTTAGGAAATGTTTAATCATAAGGAATACATTGATATTTGTACTGGGATGTATAAAGAATGCACAGTTGTTACGAAAAATACATTTAATGAACAAACAGATAATCGGTGACAACAGGTTTGGTTTAGGTAGACAAACGTTAATTGTAATCCCAATTTTGCATAATTATGTTTAAAGTGGAGTTGTAACATCATGTAAAATTAACATATAGGTGACAAGTGAACGGTTACAAAAGAAAACATCTATCACATGGATAATTTAATAAGGGGAAATGCGGATACAATGTACATGCCCACATCCCTTAATTCCACAAATACCCTTTTGTGTTAAAATTAAACCAAACTACAGAAGCAGTCGTCATATATCCATTACGCCTCACCTGGTAGAGCTTGACAATATCAGGCGTGTGGTCTTTCTCATCCATCTGCATTTCCCTTTTGAGAAGTGTGTCCTTGCAATGCAGACAGCAGCGGATCTTGTCATCATCCTTGTCCTCAAGGACGGAGCTCACGCTTCCAAGGCTACTAATACTGCCCCTGCGGGAGGTCTGAGTGCTGCTACTGGGTGATAGGTTAGGGCTGCCATGAGATGACAGGGAGTGTTTGCTGGCGCTGGTTAGTTTATCTGTGAGAAGGACAGAGTGTAACTGAAAATGTATAGATACAGTGTCAGCATCTAAGACAAAAGAAACCGTGAATGTACAACTTTTATACTAGTTCTTCCAAAAAGGACATTTGAAAATTAAACACAGTTATGATAAAAGGCAATGAACAAAAATGACATCTAAAAAATACCTTAATTTATCTGTAACAATGGCGCAGTTTTTAAGAAGATATTCACTTTGGAGGTTGTGAATTTACAACAGGCAGTCCCTAAGGTATTAAAATCAAGGATAATTGGGGGGGAGTCGGTATATAACAGTTATGGCAATCAAAAAGAATAAATAAACAGAAAATAAGAAAGAAGAAGATAAAAGCAGAGTGGAAAGATTAGCTAAAGGAAATTACAGAAACGGAAGATGGGCTTAGGAGGTATTTTGGGTCAGATGTTTGAGTTGAAGTTTTCCTTACTAGCAAGTGCGAGCGTGACAAGTTCTGTGCATCTCTTGCACATAATGGAGCCGCACAGCCGGCAGTGATGACGCCTGTTACGAATGGTGAACCTATTCCCACAGTCCGGGCAGAACGGAACATCGTGATCACTTACCCAGGGAACCACAGACTTCTCAATGGCTGCAAGGAAACAAAAGTCTAATCACTCACAAGCTTCAGACATACTGAGCATTAACAAGAGCAGAGTTAGCCTACCTCTTATCCTGGCAGAGTCACTATTCACTCGGTCAAATGAGGTCAGCTAGGTTAGAGAGAAACAGAGAAGGTTAATTTTTACATCACGTTCAGAAAGAAAATATTTACATCAGGCTGTGACAGTCATATAAAAATACACAATGCCTCCAATGCATCAATTATTTAAAACAGCATTTTGTGTTAATTTACTGAAATACAATCATTTAGATACAACATTTCCATGGATTATCTACAGGCAGCCATGAAACAAAGCGATAATAATTACAGAAAGCCAAGGAAGATCTACCTTTTCTAATCGTATGATGAGTTTGTTCACTTCCACCACGTAATGGTCAATCCGAGCGGCTCGATGTCTCTTGAAATCGGACAGGTGGCTCCTTGTAGCTCCTAACATGAGAAAACATCCCATAAAAAGCAATGAGATAAGAATGGAATAAATTGGTTGGAGCTTTTCCAGCTGCCTCAGTCAGAGGTGACAGAGTGTGGCGTTTAGTCATTAAAACTACATTGTAGCAAACTGAAATCTGATTGTCAAAACCCAGGCTTAAACAAGCAAGCTGTGACTATAACCAATTTAGAGAAATTTTCCAAGCAAACTATTTTGTCCTAAAGTTTGCCATTTGGATCTTAGAAAGCAACAGTTTGAGGATTAGTAAATAACCTGGTTTGTCTCTACAGAAATCATTGATCTGCAGTTCTCTTAATTTTCTGCTAGGAATACAACTATACAGGGACATGGGAGATGCCCTTCAAAACAGGCATGGACCTCCTCTATGTGAGTTTAATCATAACAGCTAGTTTGAACTACCATTCCGGTCTAGCTGAGACTAGAAGTTTCTTTTGAATGGAACTGATGAGCAGAATAACATTATTGGGGACTTCTGGTTTAAAAAGAATATTGAAATAATGCAGAGAAGTCCTCAACGAGTTCAAATGAGCCAACTGATTATTCACAAATGTATAATAACAAACATAAGCAGGCCATGCCATGTTGATTTGTAAAGATTTGTGTTGCTATAGAAACCTGCCTTTGAATGAATATAGTTTTTTTTTTTTTTTTACCACCATAAAATTACCTTTTTTGATAGACTTAACTGCAAAACCAGTGGCAGGTGGATGAAGGATAACTATTTTTTTTCAATTTAAAAATAACATGCCCCCCTCCACATCCGACCATCCAGTAGGATATATGTAGTAACTATGACAGTACCCATCCAGAAGCAGAAAGCATACAGGCACAAAAACCAAAATTATTAATATTATTACAATTATAAAATCTCATTATTTGGATGACTGTTATATTACCGCTTTGACTAAGGAAAAGGATAAATTTAAAGTAAGAAAAATGTGTTTTTCCATAAGTCACAAGGGGGGTACTCGATGATAGGATAAAGTAAGCCCCAATAAAAATTTTTTTAAAAAAGCCCATTGTCCAGTTGTTAACTGTATCTATGGGAAGTGATGTGGATGGCGCATTCTGTGTACAGAATGTATTTTGTTGCAGTTCTTTATGCCAACAGGTAATGATCATTGGGTTTCTTCCGTCAAGGGTATGGTCCACACTCAGGAAAGAGGGTAAAAAGACAACTAATAGTGCTCACTGAATAAAAACAACAGTATATATAACAAATAAAATAGTACTCACAAGCAAAGGGCAGGCTAACAGCGCTGGTGGTGTGATCCCCACTTCGGATTTCTTGGAGTGCAGGATAATTATTACAATACACAATTTAATAAATTTTGATAAAGCCCTGAGGCAAAATGCGTTTGTGGATTTTTAAATTGTATATTGTAATAAAGATTTTTGTTGGTCACTTCCCTGGTGCCAACTATCTTTTTTTTTACCTGTCATTTTTATTATCCTGCACTCCAAGAAATCTGAGGTGGGGTTCACACCACCAGCGGTGTTACCAAGGAGTAACTTGCTTGTGAGTACTATTTTAGTTATTATATATACTGTTGTTTTTATTCAGTGAGCACTACTAGTTGTCTCTTTTAACCCTCCTTCCTGAGTGTGGACCATACCCCAGAAGGAAGAAACCCACAGCATATCCCATAAGCGGTGATTATACCGCTGTACGTCCTTCACACTAGAGCTAGCAATAGCTCTACTAAATGTGAGTTTATTCTATCTATATACATATTTGACCGTTTATATTGCACTGTTGGTTATTTTTATCTGGTTTTTTTTTGTATTTCGTATGTGTGGATTCATGCGGAAAAAGACACTGAGGATATTACTCCTGTTTAAGCACCTTATTCTATATTTGATCTGAATAATATCCTTTTTAGTGGACTTTTTTTTTTACTGATATTTGTATTTTTTTTTTTACTTATTTTACGTGTGTGATTTTGACTTATTTTATGTTTTGATTTTCACTGCTCTGATATTTTGTTATAGAAATTGGCGCAGCCCTTACCTCTATTTTTCTCATTATCTTTGTTTCCGAAGGGTTTGGAGGGATCTCTCTTTAAGGGGTGCCATCTGTTAATTAGCGCTTACTCTCCCTTTTTTTCTAATGATCATTGGATATTTATATCAATGTCTCATCTGAGCAGCTTAAAAAGACACTCCACCACCAAAACACCACCTTCTCCTTGTGGCCACTGTAATGGTGATAAACTGACCAGACAGTGATAAGCTGAACTTCAGCAATGCCGAAGTCAATCATTTATTATCAGTATGGTGGCAAGAGGAGGAGGGGGGTGCAGAAGAGATGGGAATCCAGGCACACAGGACAGGGGTTAGATTGTTTGAAAATGGCTTAACATTATAAGGCAAGTCTGTGCCCAAGGACTCTAGCCCCCATAAGGAGGTCATTGAGACTGAGTTGTTTTGGGGGTGAAGCATGTTTTTCAAATGCAGCAAGCTACCATAACCCTGTAATGGGTTGGATGCAGTCATTTAAGGGGCACTATATGCATCATAAACACTAGAGCTCATTGTCACCAGACCACTGTGGCCTCTGAAGTTTCGAACCTGTATCCTTTATGCAATGAAGTTCATTCCAATTTCTAGGTGGAATACATTATAATGCATCCCTTAATGCAATCATGTTTTTTGTGGTTATTTTTTTTCTTGTTTGTTTATTCGATGTTTTTCTTCTACCATGCAGAAGCCTTTATTTGATTACTGCAACATAATTTGGTCAAAGGTAATTGCACCCCGCATAATGGCAATGTTTTCCGTTCCAGGGTTAAAACTAGAGGCCCATAACACTGAGATTACGTGAAGTGGTCTGGGTGCCTATAGTGTCCCCCCTTTAAGTGTCTGTCATACGTAAATGTAGAACACATATAGATGTAAAGCAGGTTGTATTTTGAACAATTACTATTTTGATGGAAACAGAAAATTATACCAATTACATTGGTTCAACAAATTATTATACTTATTTAACAAAAACACTCACTTTGGCTGTGCATGGGCTGATTGATTCACTCACCGATCTCCTGTGGGTCCCATAGACATGGATCCACCCCACCATAGCTGAATGCTTCATATCGTTCCTGGCTTCCACCTTCAGTACGCTCTGCCCCGTCTCTCTTCAGCAGCTTGTCTTTAGCCTTCTTGGCAATTTTCACCAGACCTGGTAAGAGGTATAGCTTAATAGATAGGTTTAAAAAGGACCCAGCAAGAACCATCAAATGCAAACATACATAAGGTGGATGGTCACATAAATAGTCATCCATGCCTGATTTCCTTTTAACTTCTTGCCAGATGAATTTTTGCTAAATTTGCTAAAGGGCAAATCACTACATTTTTGCAAAAGAAAATTGTGCCCTTTGCTTCATGCATCAAAATAAGTATAATTCCCTGCATGATAGTCCATCAGATGCATTCCTGTATTATAGGTTAAGCAGCCTCCTTCTCACAATTCATGTATAAGGGGATTCAACTAATACTTATTAACATTCTGGGCTCAAATATTTTGCTGCAGATATTACGTGAATTTTGTTTTATTCCCCCCCACCCTCAATAAATAAAATAAATAAATAAATGGGGAGAAAAAAAAAAAAAAAAAACACAACATACACACAACCATACTCACTCTTCAGCTGTCCCTTTACATCTCGATCATCGCTGGAGTGTTCTTCTTCATAATGGGACTGAAGTTGGTAGAATGACTGCAAATCTTTCAGACACAGAGGGCAGAGGAAACCCTCCCTCACCTCTCCATGTTCATCGAATGGTGCATTGTACTGAGCCGCCATGATGTCACAGGTTCACCAGCCTCTCTTCTGTATGGTCCACACAAATTTTGTTTTTAGGTGGCAGCAGATTCATTCTCTGCGACATGAAGGCAGATGACACATCTTTATTGTCTACCAGCAGAACCTGGCAAAACAAAACCAGTTTATTTTGTTAACATATATATTAACCCTTTAAAGATCCACACCAATATTCTCATAGTACAAATATTAGTAATCTCAATGCTCAAAGCCTCATAAAACTGATGAACAAGAACATTTTTAAACAACAAAGTTTGCAGTACCCCTTTAGGCCCTTAAAATGTGAGCTTACCTGCCAACGTCAAAGCAAACCTCTTAAAGGAGTCCAGATGAACTGGAAATGCACACGAAGATTTATCAAAGTGTTTTGATCAAAAGAGTGACAAAATGACTGAGCTGGGCAATCACCATGTAACAATCAGACACATTCCTTTGGTGACAGTAGTCTAAAAACAACCAAGATAACTTAGTTTGTCTTAACCTTAACAGTTGAGCTTACATTACATTTCATGGAGTGGTACTACAAGACTCTAGTTATTAAAAGTACACATTAAAGGGACACTATAAGCATAAAAACTTGTTTTGGGTGTATACATCATGGCCCTGTAGTCTTACTGCTCAATGCTCTGCTATTTAGTTGTTAAATCACTTTTAACTTTCAGTTATGCAGCCCCAATCACACCTCTACTGTGACTGACACAGCCTGCATGAAAAGAATGGTTTAATTTTTAATGAGATGTGAACTTGCTTTAGAAGTGTTTATCTCCTGCTCAATTAATTGAACTGCAATTCCCAGATTTTACTATTACCATGACGTAAAGTCATTATTTTATTAAAGACACGGAGGCTCCTATTATGCATAACTCTTTCTTTATTCCCTCAGCAACAAAGATAGAGGAATATAAATATTATCAAAATGAAAGAAAAAAAACTGTATAGGCACACAGGCAACCAATCACATAACAGAGGAAGTGACTATAAAAGGCCTGTGCCTCCCACAATCCCCCTCTTTCTTGCGAAAACCAAAGACCAGGAAACATGAACGACATCCCACTTGGCAAAAACAGGAAACAGGAACAAATCTATAACTTCAAGCTAAAAGAGAGAGAGAGAGAAATATGGTAATAACCCAACTCTAAACTGAAGATTTACCAAGCAAAATGTCAATAGTTTCGTAGGAATTCATCCTATAATATAGAAAAAACTATTAGTATATAAATCATATAAAATCAAATATCAACAGTATAATAACATAAATACGTAGGACACCATAACCAGACCAGATAGTAACATACCTGAAAATTTAACCACATCTCATCCAAAGACCCAACACCGGGAGGGCGGGTGGGAATAATACTTGCCGCCGTGTCTTTAATAAAATCATGACTTTACGTCATGTTAATAGTAAAATCTGGGAATTTTATTAAAGACACGGAGGCTCCTATTATGCAAGTTTAAAGCTGTGCTATCACGTGAGATGCGATGTGGTTGATCGGTCTGAAATAAAAGTCACGGAAGGTCGACTCCCAAGACCAATCTGCAGCCCGCAGAATGTCCTCCAGACGACAGCCGACTGTAGAAGCTTTCGATGCCATGGCTCCACGCACCAAATGGGGTGTGAAGATAGAAGTGTCCACGCCAGCTAAAGAGAGAAGCCAGCGTATCCAACAAGCCAAAGTCGGGGTGGATACGGGCCGGTATGGAAACCTAAATGATATGAATAACGGATGCAAGCCCAATGAACGAAGAGGCCGTGTAATATCCAGATATACCTTTAGATACTCTACCGGGCATAATGCCGGAGTCCCTGAGAATCTGGGGTATACAAAAGATTTGGATGCTGATTTAGTCCTTCTGGATATGTTGAACGAGATACCCTCAGGGGTAAAAAGTAATGGCGTTCCAAACAAGGGCCCTGACGTCAGACACTCTTTTACATGAAATTAAGTAGAGAAGCATCACTAACTTAAAAGAGATTTGTTTAAGTGTCAAGTCTTGGTTTGGGTACCATAACGACAAAAATTGTAGCACCACGTTGACATCCCAGAATGCAGAAAAAGGAGTCCTAGGAGGTCGAGCGAGGCGAATACCTTTGTGAAGGCGACACACAAAAGGATGTTTTCCTATGGGCAAACCATCCAAACCTCTATGTCCAGCTGAAATTGCTGAGCGGAAAAAGGTTGATAGTACAATACGCCTTACCCGAATCAAACATGTGCATGAGGGACTCCAAGATCATATGGAGAGGGGCAGATACGGGATTCACTGACCGTTCCATGCACCAACCAGACCATGAACTCCATGAAACATGATAGGCTGCTCTTGTACCTGGAGCCCAGGCGTTATCGAAGAGCAGGAGAGTCGTTCGTAGAACGTTTGGGACTTTCCAAGGTCCCCTGAAAGGAGCCACGCTATCAGACGCAATTGGTTCTGTAATACCAGTCCGTGTGAGTTCCCATTTGGATCCAGAAGGAGTTCCTGGAAACCCGGGATCAGCCGTGGATAATCTATCGACAACTCCATCAGGCGTGGGAACCACGCAATCATGCTGAATGGGGGGAAAGCATACATGCGGCCCGTCGGCCACTCCTGAAGGAAAGCGTGCATTGCCAACGCCGCCGGGTCTGGTCTCCAACTGTAAAACTCCGGTAACTGGGTATTCAGGTGGGATGCGAACAAGTCCATCACGAACCGTCCACATAACCTGTCTAGGCTTCGAAAAACTGAAACGTGCAAGTGCCAATCTCCTGAGTCTCTCAAATGTCTCAAATTCCAATCCGCCCCCGAATTTGGCCAGACCCGGGATGTGCTCTGCCGTCACAGAGACATTGTTGTACAAACAAAATTGCCAAAAGTCTTTCGCCAAGAGAGCCAACATCTTGGATTTGGTTCCCCCCAAGTGGTTTATATAACGTACTGCCGATACGTTGTCCATCTTGAGGAGAATGCAGCAATTCGCCCGACCTAGGGAAAGGCTGCGAATCGCAAAGGCCCCTGCCAAGAGTTCCAGGCAGTTGATGTGTAAGGATCTCTCTATCTCGGACCATCTGACTCCTGTGGAAACGTTGCCACAACGTGCCCCCCAGCCGTGTAAGCTGGCGTCGGATTCTATCACCACGTTCGGTATGGAACCAAAAATGGCTCTTCCGTTCCAAGCCTCCATGTCTGCCAACCACCACACCAGTTCGTCCCTGGATTCCTCATCCAGCCGTATCCTGGACTCGTAAGAATGACCTGATCAGAGGTGCGACCCTTTGAGCCGTTGGAGGGCTCGGTAGTGTAACGGACCCGGAAAGATCGTTTGAATGGAGGCTGCGAGTAGACCGATAATTCTTGCCAACTGTCTGATGGACAAATCTGACACTCGAAGAGCTCGCCGAAGCTCTTTCTGGATGGCCTTCATCTTGTATTCCGGTAAATACAGGAATTGTTGAATGGAATCCACCTTGAAACCCAAGAATTCCATCGATTGAGCTGGGGTCATGATCGACTTGTCCCAGTTGATCATGAATCGCAAGTTCTGGAGCAGACTGACCGTCCACTCCACGTGGGTCTGTAGCTGACCTGTGGACTGGGACATGATTAGAATGTCGTCCAGGTAAATAATCAGGCGCACGCCACGCGTACGAAGGAAGGTCACCACCGGTCTCATGATCTTGGTGAAGCACCAAGGAGCTGAGGATAGACCGAACGGTAGACATGTAAAACGCCACCGTCTCCCGTGCCAGGTGAAGTGGAGGTAGTCCCTGTGTTCCTTCAGTTCTAGCTTTGCCATCCAATCCGATGTACGGAGGAGGTCTCTGAGGCAATGTATGCCCTCCATCTGAAATTGTTGAGGGGTCGGAGATTTATCACCGGACGGACACCTCCCCCTTTCTTTGGTACCAGGAAGAGGTTGCTTTTAAAGCCTGGGGCGGCAAACGGAAACTCCTCTATGGCGCCTTTTGACAACATCTCTCCGATTTCCGCGGAAATCATCTCCTCCTGTTCCGAAGGAAGGGACAATTCTCTAGGGACAGATAATTGGACAGGCAGAGATACAAACTCGAGGTGATAACCCCTTACTGACTGTAACACCCAAGCATCCGAAGTCACAGCTGCCCAACCCCGGCAGAATAAGAACCTCCCCGCCACCCGTATTTGAGCAAGAAAGAAAGAAAGAATGGGTACTCACCATAAGGACGTCTGCCCGAAGTGGCACCGCGGGGGTATCTGGAACCCCATGACCTCCCTCTAGCTAGGAAGAAGGGAGAAGCTCTCGGATCCTAGAAGCCCCGGGATGGGAAAAAGGAACCTCTGTTGGCTTGGAATGAGCCTCGGAATCCACGGCCTGGTGGACGGCTCCTGCTACGCCCGGCCCCTCCGAAAACCTTAGGTGCAAACATGCGCTTCATGTTGGCCTCGGCTTTATCAATGGCCGTAAAGGTTTTAACGTATGACCCCAGGTCCTTCACGAAGGTGGTACCAAATAACATCCCATCGTCGGATGAGCTCGGTTCCGCCACCGTCATGGCAGCCAATTTGGGGTTGATTTTTAGCAAAATCGCTTTATGTCTCTCTGTTGACATAGCGGTATTCGCATTCCCCAGAAGACAAATAGCCCGCTGGACCCATCCTATGGCCACATCTACATCCAGGGCCAAGTCGGCAGCTCTAGCGGCATCCAGAAGCTCATACAGCTTCGACAAAGAGCCCAGGGTATCTAGAATTTTGTCTTGGCATCCCTTTAGGGAGTAGTCCAGGCCCTTTTTCGGTTTCCAGTCTGACTTGTTTAAAAATTGCACGATCTTGGAGTCAATCTCAGGGATCCTGCAGGCCGAGCCCGGGAGGGAAGGCCTGGGACATTCAGCGAGGAATTTATTGCGGCCCTCCTTAGAAAGGGGGGTGCGCATGCGCCGCGCAACATATTGGGCGATATGCCCTGGGGGTTCCCACTCGGCTGATCGGGGGTGACGTAGGTCATCTGGATTGAACAGGGGGTTGCCCTGTGGATCCAACAGCGTCTTACTATACCCAGTGTGGCCAGGTGGAGGACCCCGTGTAGTGTTAGAGTTCCCAGAAGGGGTTAAACCCGTATGGGGTAAATCCTCACCCGACTCAACCTCATCATAAGAGTCGTATTCCATCACGTCTGAGTCAGCCTCCACACTCCGGTCGGTATCCGACCCTTCCTCATGGGCTCTAGCCCATTTCCACAGTCTAGCCTTTTTAACCCGGCCAGGGGCTCTTTTGCGCATGGGAGGCGCGCCTTCTGTAACTGCCTCAAGCATGTCTATCACCTCTCCCATGGCAGAGGCAAAGGCCTTCTGCAAGGATGATGCCAAAGTGGCGTCCAGTAGGGCCTGAAACTCTTGGGAGGCTACATTACCCTCAGGATTATGTTGGGTAAAGGCCTCTGCAAGGCCCTCTGGACCCTCATCTCTGTCTTGCATATTAGCAAAAAATTACACCCACAATATCAATATAAAATTCTTGAACTAAATTGATTAGGAAAAACAACAGGGTTGAGTAACCCACAGGGAGCAGTGAGACCGGCCGCAAGCAAGATCCGCCTCCAAAATGGCCGCCGCATGTGGAAGCCGGGCAGATACCGATCACAGGCACCACACAGGTGGGGGAAGGGGCGCGTGCACTTCACCCACGCGGGCAGACTACGAGAGTGTGGAGAAAGCCGGCGGGGAAAACAGAAATAAAAAAAGGGGGGGGATCCCCACTAGGCACACCACCAGAAAGCAATGACTGTGCAGATACACTAAAAGACACAGCAAGTAATCAAATAACATGCAGAAAATAATAATAATAATATTGCAAAAATCCATAAGAGGAGCAAGATACTTAGCTGGTCTGAGGGAGCAGCAAACAAAGAGGGGGATTGTGGGAGACACAGGCCTTTTATAGTCACTTCCTCTGTTATGTGATTGGTTGCCTGTGTGACTATACAGTTTTTTTTCCTTTCGTTTTGATAATATTTATATTCCTCTGTCTTTGCTGCTGAGGGAATAAAGAAAGAGTTATGCATAATAGGAGCCCCTGTGTCTTTAATAAAATCACAAACAGGCTCCTAACAGCTGTCACATGTTATTAAGAACAAGAGATAAGAAATTCTAAATTAAACAGACTGTGCAATAAAGGGAGTTTAAATATTAGATGTCTCTTTACAGGAAGTGTTAGGAAGGCTGTGCAAGTCACATGCAGGAAGATGTGACTACTGCAATATAAACAAAGTGATTTAACTCCTAAATGGCAGAGATTTTAGCAGTGAGATTGCAGGGGCATGATCTATACACCAAAACTTTACGCATATATTATCATTATTACGTTTTTAGGATTATTACATATAGACATTACATACATATGTACTTTTATGTATATCTGGGTGGCTAGAGTTGTTCTATATAGTAAAAGAGCAAGTTATGTAATCTTTATTGCGCGAAAAGACTAGGGGATGTGCGCACTTCCTCGGATCTCGGGCAAATTGTTTTTTTGTACTTTAGAACGACATATCTGAGTAATTTCAGATACCCTTTACTATATTATCAGTTTTATAAACCCCTTTTCTCAAGCTACACTTGCAACTGCTGCTTTAAATATTTTTTATAATAATAATTATATATGTTTTATCTACAGAGATGATTACCAAACCAGTATTCATAGACTTTAACTGTTTAAGTTGTAGAGATTTTCCAGTTTTGTTCCATTGGGTATATTCATAAAACACCAAACTGCTGGGGGTACGCAAGGTACGGTTTGCAAGTTATGTAAATAAATAATGCACAAGAGTGTAAACAAAAACATGTATTTATTTGAATTGTATACGAAGGAGCACTCACCACAATGTATATTTATTGGATAATTTCAGAAATGCTCTACCAATCCCTACACAGATAAAGAACTTCCCAAAAGCTGAGCCATTGATCTAAAGCAGCTACCATGGTCCATTCCGGACTGAACTTTTTATGGCATTATCCTAAATCTAGCTCCTGCACAACTCACTCTGACGTACAATTCGTGGTGCTGTTACATTTATTGGGTTATTCGATAAACTGGGAATTAGTGGGGACTGACCAGTAGATCTGTCAAATTGAAGGCTGTTGGCCAAGCAGAACAAACAGCCAAGTTGATTCATTTTTTTATGTCACTACCGTATATACTCGAGTATAAGCCGACCCGAATATAAGCCGAGGCCCCTAATTTTACCACAAAAAACTGGGAAAACTTATTGACTCGAGTATAAGCCTAGGGTGGGAAATGCAGCAGCTACTGGTAAGTTTCTAAATAAAATTAGATCCCAATAAAATTACATTCATTGAATATTTATTTAGTGTGTGTATAGAATGAATGCAGAGTGTGTGTGTATATAATGAATGCAGTGTGTGTATATATAATGAATGCAGTGTGTGTATAATGCAGTGTGTGTGTGTGTGTGTGTGTGTGTATATATGTGTGTGTGTTTGTGCAGTGGTGTAAACTGGGTGAGGGGAGGGCATTTTTATTTTAATATTATATTATTTTAATAATATTATTTTATTATTATTTTAATATTATTTTAATAATATTATTTTATTATTATATTATTATAATTTTAATATTTTTAAATGCTTTTTTGTCCCCCCTCCCTGGCCAGGCAACAAGCAGGGAGGAGGGACAAAAAAACATTTAAAAAAAAAATAATGCAAATATTAAAATAATAATAAAATAATATTATTAAAATAATATAATATTAAAATAATAATATTGAATCCCTGGTGGTCCAGTGGCATTGGCTGTTCAGTGGGGGGGCCGGCAGTGAGCTGTTACTTACCTTCCTGCAGCTCCTGTCAGCTCCCTTCTCCTCCGTCAGCTCCGTTCTGCCCACAGTGTAAGTCTCGTGACACCCGCGGCTCTCGCGAGACTTACACTGTGAGCAGAACGGAGCTGACAGAGGAGCTGCATGGAGGAGAAGGGAGCTGACAGGAGCTGCTGTAAAGGTAAGTAACAGCTCTCTGTCAGCCCCCAACAGGACCGACGGGCTTGTAATGAGCCCGGCGGTCCTGGTCTGTATTATGGCAATGTAAGTTGCCATAATACAGACCTTGACTCGAGTATTAGCCGAGTGGGCGTTTTTCAGCCACAAAATGTGCTGAAAAACTCGGCTTATACTCGAGTATATACGGTATTTTAAAAATAAACTAAATTTGCTGACAGGGTTATTCATAAACTTGTAAATTGTCAACAATGAACAAGGAGATTGCAAATGTTAGGCTAAATAGCAGAGCTTGGAAAACCCAGCTCAGCTATTCTTCCAAATTTACTATTTTAGCCTAAAATTCCTAATTCTTGTGGATGTCCGTTAAAGGGACCCTCTGATCATCAAAATAACATTAGCTTCCCTCCCCCGACCCTTACTGTAAGTAAAATAAAAATTGTCAAATTCAAAAAAAAAAATAACATTAGCTTAATTAAACAGTTTTTGGTTTATAAATCGTGTCCCTCCAGTGTCACTGCTCAATTCGCTTTGCTTATGTAGCTTTAGCCACACCTCCCCTGCATGTGACCCACTCGGTCTCCCTACATACTGTGAAAAGGAATCCATCATTTTTTAGCGTCCCTTACTGCACAGCGCATTTAAAGGGTTACTCCGAGTACCAGGACCACTTTGGTGATTTGAAATGGTCATGGTGCTTTAAGTCTGTATGTGTACCATTTATGCTGCACAAACTGAATTTAAAGGAACACGATAGGGTTTAGGAACATAAGCATGCATTCCTGACCCTATAGTGTTAAAATCACATTCTAGCACCCCTCTGGCCTCCATAAATATAGTAAAATCGTACTTGTATTCAGGTCTGCAACTGC